CCCCAGGAGGAGCCGTGTCCAGGGTGGCCGGGGAGGGACCATGGGCGACGCCTGCCGCCCGCGGTGAGGGAGGAATGGCGGCTCGGCCACACAGCCACACCGCTCTAGGAGTCAGCCGGGCGCAGACGGGGCCGCCCCCTGCACCGCCACCCTACGGGGGTGGGGGAGGGTGTCAGGGCTTGGTGGGCTCGCCATTAAGACTGGGGCAAGTTAACCGCGAGTGAGTCTCACACGGAGGACGCACTCCTGCCCCGGCTGGGCCCCCGGGGGCGCTGGCTCTGTGGCTGGGGGGGCTCCTCCCTGGATGTTCCCGTGCTGGGCCTGGCCACAGCCCCGATGATTAACCAGGCCGTAGGGCGGGCTCTGAGGGGGCGCGGGAGGCGCTGCCTCGGCAAGGCTCTCCACTTCCTGGCCGGCGGCCACCGAAAGGCTCGGCCATATTCTCTTCCCTCTTGTCGGCCCGCACCCCTGTGCCAAGCAAAGCTGGAGCCATGTCCGCCCCCTGCAGGCTCCGAGCTCCGTCCTTGAACTTGTCCTCTGCCTGTCCCGGGCCCGGCCATGCAGTTCGAGGCCCCCAGGTAAGCACAGAGTTGTGGTTGAGCCTGCTGGGCAGTGGACGCTGGTGTCCGGTCCCTCTGGCCCATGTCAGGCCAGGCCAGCCTGGGCCCTCGGTGTTCCTGTGTGTCCAAGGGCACTGCGGGCAGCAGGTGTACTCCAGAGCCGTGCCACAGGAATGAGCGTGGCCTGTGTCCCCGTGGCTGGGGCTGTGAGGGGAGGCAGCCAAGCACCTGCCCCCAGCCCCTCCCAGCCTGGCAGCCAAGACTGGGGCCTGAGACCCGTGCCCTGGTGCCCGTAGCTCGCAGACAGCGAGGTTGAGGCTCTGATTTTGGGGGGGTGGGGACAGACCTGTGCCCATGAGAGTGCTGGGCAGGGTATCAGGCAGTGGGCTGGACCCCTGAGCCCCAACAGAGTCCGTCAGCTGCTGGGTCCTGCGGGCACGGGGGCAGGCCTGGATGGGGGCAGATGGCCGGGCCCTGAGCCCCTCCCTGCAGCCTCTGTGGGTGGAAGGTGCCAGAAAACCGAGGGCATGCCTGGGTGGGGATGGAGAAGGTGGGGATGCCGCAGGCTGGGCCCTCCGGGCTCTGAGCAGGCGCCTGGGAGCTGTGTTTCGGGCTGTGACCGCCCACAGCGAGGGCCAGGTGCAGGCACAGGGCCCCCTCTGTCCCCCGCCCACATTCAGACCTGTAGCTCTGGCCAGGAGTCAGTGGGAGGAAGGGCACAGGCCTCACCACTCTGCTCCCAGTCTCCAACCTCTCCTGGGCTGTTGAGGGCCAGGCGAGGGCTGGGCAGGGAGCTGGCCATCGGGGCACCCACAGCTGTGGCCCCTGCAGCCTCAGACCCAAGAATGGACCACACCAGGGACTTCCAGGGGCTGGGCCTGCTGCCAGGCCTGGGAGAGGCTCTGGCTCCTCTCCCTCAGGCCCCCTTGGGTGTCGGTCCTAGCTCCAAGCACTGGGGCCCAGCTGTGGCTCCCCCTCCTGGGACGTCCACAGGCCCAGGAAGCCCTGGCCCAAGTCCACCCTCCAGTTGGCTCTGTCCTGTCGTGGCCCTGTCCCCACCTCCAGTAGCTCCTCCCCCTCAGGGTCCCACTCTTCTTGACCCCCAGTGGGCGGCCCCAGACCCCTCGGGTGGCCGTGGCCATCTTACTGGGCAGCATTGGATGGTGACTGGTCTCTAATACTGCCTGGTAATGATGGCGGCGGGGCCCAGCACGCAGCAAAGGGGCCGCCCCGCAATCCTGCCAGGGCCCTGGGCAGAGGCACCCCTCCCCCACCCAGGAACCCCCAGAACACAAGGGTTGCTGACGGCACTGGGGGGTCTGGCCCTGCCCACAGCGCCCTGGGCAGGTGCAGCTGCCACACCTGGAGAGGGAAGGCCCAGCCTGCAGCTTCCTGGCCCCAGATGGCTTCGCCGGGAGCCGCCTCGCCCGGCCTGGCCTCGGGGTGGCCAGTTCTCCCCAACAGCCCCCTTGGCTTCCTGCCGCCCACCTGCCGTGGCGGTGGCCCAAGGTCTCCCTGCTCCAGAGCAAGCAGGATGGCTGGCCTCGGGGTCTCCGCGGCTGCCTGGCCTGCCCTCGGGCCTCTGTGGGCATCTTACTGGACAGTGCTGGATTCTCGGCATGGCTCTAACACTGTCTGGTAACGATGCTCACCGCTGTCCCACGCTCATCGGCGCCATCCAAGCTCCAGGACGCTGGGATGGGTGGGGGCGGCGCGGCCCCTCCCCAGGTGGGTGGTGGGGCTGCCTGGCACCAGGGTGCGGCCCCCTCACACCTCCAGCTGTGGCTTCCCTGCCAGGCAGGACCCCTCCCCCGGGGACCCTGGCCTGCGGGGGCAGGTGGGGTGGGCTTCCAAGCCTGAGGACAAGGAGTCTCCATTCCCTCCCTGGGGCCGCGGGGGCGGGAAATGTGGCCAAAGCCCAGAGGCCAGGGTTACCCATGGCTTCCCCTTTTGATCTGAGGCCAGGACGCAGGGCCTGGGAACCCCACCCTGCACCAGGCCCCAGCTGGCCTCTCCTGGGGGGAGGGGTTATTCATTAACCCAACCGAGAGCAAGGGCAGGTGGCAACCTCTCCCGGCTGCGCTTGCGCCCACCCCTGGGCCGGCAGCTGCCTGGGGCCCGAGCCTGGGAGCCGCCAGCCTTCCCCCCACAGCACGAGCTCCAGGGCCGCCTGCTCTGCCACGCTGCCTGCCCACGGGCGTCTTACCAGACACGGTTAGATCTGGGTCCTGCCGTCTAATACTGTCTGGTAACCCGTCCGTCCGCCGGACCCTCGCCACGCCGCCCGCGGGCCGAGCCCTGGCCTCCAGGACCTCAACTGCCCCATCCCACAGTGGCTGTGACCCCTGACAGGCACATGCAGAATCCCACGTCCTGGCTGTCCCCAGCCCCCTCCTTCCCCTGAGAACCGGGGCTGCTCTGTGATAGGGGCTGGGAGGGAAGCCCCTCCCCAGGGAACGGATGTCACACCCCCCCAGACCAGGCCCTGACCCCAGTGCCTGGGTGTGATGTCACACCTCCCAGACCTCAACTCTGCATCTGGGACAGGGCCTGGGCGCTAGCCCCGCCCCTGTCGTGCCCTGAGGGATGGCAGTGTCCTGGACAGCTCCGAGGGCCCCTCCAGCCTGCGCCACACTTCCTGTGCAGCTAGGAGAAACCCCAACAGAGCGACTCAGGAGCCCTCAATAAACGGAGTGGTCGTGACATCATACCTGCGTCAGGTCCTGATTTTATTCATGCCCAGGGCTCACCTGCAGCCTTGCACAGGACAGCTGAGGACACGGCCCAGCCCCTCCCCGCCTGCACTGACGGAGGCCTGGCCGGTTCTCCACACGGGGGATGGGGAGGAAGCCCTGACCCACACAGGGCAGGTTCAGTGTCTAAGCCCTTGGGCCTTCCTTGGTAGGGGCAGGGCCCCCTCCCCAGAACCCCGTGGGGGGCCCAGGGTGTCTGGGATGAGGCCCTTGAAGTGATGGACGGGGCAGGGTTGGACAAGGGCCCTCCCTGGTACTCACCCACCCAAGCTCAGCACCCTCTGGGAAAATGGGGCCTCCGGGGGCAGGTGCCTGGACCTCGCCCCTGCTGCTCTGGGGGTGAAACCTCCTGCCCCAGGGCCCCCGACAGGACCACCAAGCTCTGTGAAGCAGGGGGACCGCCAGACTCTAGGAGTGGGGGCTGGGAGAACCCCAGCCCTGGCTTGGTGGTCCCTCTTCCAGGCAGGACTCTCAGTGGGACGGATGGAGCCCTGTGGACCCCTGTGGACCCCGGCCAGCAGGTGAGACTCCACGTGGGGAGGAGTGGGGGGTACCCTCGGGGCGAGGATGGGTTCCAGGGGAGGTTCATTTCCTGGGGCTGCCAGGAAAAGCTGCTACAGAGAAATCACACACGGGGCCAGTGTTCTGGCGCAGGCGCTTATAAGACCCCACCTGCGACGCTGCCATCCCATGTGGGTGCCGGTTCGAGTCCCAGCTGCTCCACTTCCTGTCCAGCTCCCTGCTAACATGCCTGGGAAAGCAGCTGAGGATGGCCCAAGTGCTTGGCCCCACACTGTGTGGGAGACCCAGAAGGAGCTCCAGGCTCTGTTTCCACTTGGCCAAGCCCCGGCAGGCACAGCCATCTGAGTTGTGAACCAGCCAATGGAAGTGCTCTCTCTCTCATTTATTTGAAAGAGAATCTCTTGGCCGGCGCCGTGGCTCACTAGGCTAATCCTCCGCCTGCGGCGCTAGCACACCGGGTTCTCGTCCCGGTTGGGGCGCTGGATTCTGTCCCGGTTGCCCCTCTTCCAGGCATGTGGCCCAGGAGTGCAGTGGAGGATGGCCCAGGTCCTTGGGCCTTGCACCCCATGGGAGACCAGGAGAAGCACCTGGCTCCTGGCTTCGGATCGGCGCAGCGCACCTGCTGCAACGTGCCGGCCATGGTGGCCACTTCGGGGGTGAACCAATGGAAAAAGGAAGACCTTTCTCTCTGTCTCTCTCTCTCACTGTCTAACTCTGCCTGTCAGAAAAAATAATAAATAAATAAATAAATAAATAAATAAAAGCACTCTTGGTGTGAGCGTTTGGCCTAGTGGTTAGGACCCGATGGAGCTCCAGGCTCCTGGCTTCAGACATTTGAAGACTGAACCAGTGGACGGAGGACCTCTCGGGGTCACCCTGGAGGGTCATGAGGACAACAGAAGAACCAGGTGAGGGTCAGAGGTCATGACCCCAGCAGTGGGGGTGCACCCAAGGGTTAGAGACCCCTGCCCAGTCCACCTAAAACCCGCAGGGCTCTGCTGGATCACGGTTGCCAGGTAACCATTGCTGGGAGACAGTTGCCAGGTCGCCACTGTTGTGTCCAGCAGAGGGCTCTCACGACCTCGCCAGGCAGGTAAGAGGGACAGGCCGGCCGCCAGTCTGCACCTGCGCTCCTGCGCCCCCCTCGGCCACCAGACCTGGGCCCCTGCCTGAAGCAGAAGGCCGGCGGGGGAGGGGAGTGGACAGGGAGGGGGTGGGGCGGCTGGGCTGGGCACTCTCAGGACCACCTGCCTCCTGTCTCCCTGAAGTCCGCGGGCCCCGTGTCTCTCGCAGTCCCTGGCCAGAAGGCGCCGGCTTCCATGCACGGCAGCTCCTCAGAGCCCGCGGCAGTGTGCGGGCAGAGGCTGATCCGTGCGCGGTCTCTGGTCACTTGTTCCCAGGTCTGGGAATACTTCGCGTGTCCCTTCCCAGGGGGCGGCCTCCTGCCCGCCCGTCTCACCAGGTAAAAACCTAGAGTTTGCCCCGCCGGCTGGGCAGCAGGTCCACGGCGCCCCCCGCAGGGCCAGGCCTCGCCCCCGCGAACCACACCGGGTGGTTTCAGGCTGGCGTGGCCTCCGGGGCAGCGGCGCCTGGGGCTCCTGACCCTTGGGCCCCTGCGTCCTCCGCCTGGTGGCGCTGCTCACAGTGCGTACAGGAAGTAGCCATGCAGTCCACTCAGGAACCTGGCGTGCGAGCGACGGAAGAGCCGAGGCTGCCTGGGGCTCCTCCGGCCGCGGCCAGCGCGAACCTAGGCCTCCAGAGCCCTCACCCCTGGACCCTCCTCCTCCCGCCTGCCTATTGCAGGCGCCTGCCGAAGCCCCAGATCTGCACCTGCAGGCGGGGCTCAGCCCCAGCACGGAGGCCCTCCCGAGGCCCCGCTCCCGCTCCGCCCCTCCCGCGACGTCGCCTCTCGAAGCCCCGCCCACCCCTCCCGCGGCCTCCCCCCACCTCGGCTGCCCCCACCAGGTGCACAATTCCAGGGTTCTGACCAGGACCCTCCTGCGGCCTCCCTCCGGCCACACCTCGCGACACCCCCACAGTGCTCGCAGGCCCCTGGGCGGGGCTGGAACTGGGCCCTTCCTGTCCCGGGGGGCCCCTTTGCACAACCTCCTGGACAGGACCCTGCTGGTTACTCCTCACTGTTCCCGTGTTCACAGTGCCCAGCTGGAGCCTGGGGGAGCAGCCCTGCCCGCACCCTCCCAGCTCACCCCTCCATCAGCATCCATGACGCCCACCTCCGCCCATCTTCCTCCACACCTCTCTGTGTGTGTCCCTGCATATCAGGGCAGGTCCACTTGTGTCCGTGCCTGTGTCTCTGTGTGCTTGTGTCTGAGTGTCTGTCCAAGCGTGTCTACGCATACGTGTCTGTACACGTCTGTGAGTGCCCGTGTGTCCACATGTGCCTGTGTCCCTGTGTGCCCCCGCATGTGTCCAGCTGTGTCCGTGTCATTCTGCGGCTCCCACTTGGAACTCCTCCCTAAGAAGCCTGGGCTCTGGGCACTGCTCAGCGGCGTCTTGGGGGTCCCAGCGCCCCAGAAGGACTCTTCGGAGCAGGGTGCTGGGGGGGTCTAACTGATCTGCTGCCCCATCGTCAGGCCCTGCAGGCCAGGTCCAGCGTCCACACCCGGCCCTCCTGTGTGGGGAGCTCCTAGCTTCTGCCCGCGCCCCCACCCTGCCCTGGGTGCCTGCCAGCCTCGGTTCTGGCTGCTCCAGGCCTGGCCCCATCCTCCCAGTGCCTGGAGCCGGGCAGCTCCTTCGCTGCCACTCTGGGGCAGAGGCCACGGGCACCTGCATCACCGCCATTGGGCAGGCATCCGCTGGCTGCCCAGGGATTCACTCGGGAGCAGCACCCAGGCCCCTCCCAGCCGCCCCAGCATCCCCACTGCTTGCTTTCTTTCAGACCTGCAGAAAGTCCTCTCCCCCAGCAGGCCACCCATGGACTCGCAGGCCAGGAAGTGGCCACAGGTTCCCTGACATGCTGCAAAGGTGGCACCTGGGGACCAGATCCAGGGGTCGGGCCGTGGGGCCAGGCAGCCACAGGGACGGCAGTAGCAGGCGGGGTGCCGCTCAGGATGCCCCGGTCCTCCAACCCCTGACCACGGCCTCCTTGCAGCCGACAGCCAGACCGCGCTCCTCAAGGCCAGATGGACGGGCCGGGCAAGGCAGGGCTCGCCCCGCAGAGATCCGACTCGGAGGGCACCGCGGCAGCACGGGCCGCCCGGCCCCACAGCCACCGTGGGGTTGGGAGCCGGCCCCGGGGGGAGGCCCCCACCCAGCCCCCTGGGAGACGCCTTTCCCCTGGCAGGGGGGGCCCCACGTTGCGCCCTGTCCAGAGGCTGGTCCCGCGGGCTGCCCAGAGATCCCGCAGGAGAGTGGGGGTCCCGTCTTCCCAGCGGGGCTCTCGGCCCGGTGCCCCCAAGCCAGCCGGCCGCAGCCACACCCGGTTCATCCACTGCCGGAGACCGTCCACGCGGGCCCAGCTCAGCGCCAAGAGGAAGAGGCGGTCCAGGCTGTGCCGGTGCCGGGCCAGGGCACCAGGTGACCGCTAGGCAGCCTCATGGCCAAGGGCCTCCCAGTCAGTCCCGGGAGGGCCCCCACCCCACCCCATGCCACCCCACAGCCCCAGCCTGACAGCGGCCTTTGGGTCACTCATGACATCATCATGGACATTGTGACCCCGGCCCTCCAGGCAGGCCCCGGCGCTGTGTGTGCCCCCACTCCGCCTCACTCCCCAGCCCTGCCTGCTCCTGTCACTATCACCCTCAGGCTCTGGTCAGTTGCAAGCCGCAATGAGGCAGGGGCTGGGGTGAGAGCCCGGTGCAGCTGGTCGTGGGCTGGGCTTGGCCCGACAGACGGGTGCCCCCCACCCACCAGATCCGCCCCTGCACAGGCTGGGCCCCTGGGAGACGGATGGGCAGCGGCCGAGACAAGGGGCTCCTGCCCACGCAGGGCCAAGACGCAGGTGGGGGCTGCCAGGGCTGGGAGGTCCAGGGGTCCTGGCCGCATAGCGGCCTGCGCGTCTGACCTTCACCTGCCCTCAGACCACCCGGACCACGCTGGCGCCGCCCCGCCCGCGGCCGCTCCCCAGGGCGGGCAGCCGCCCAGCGTGGGACAGGGGCCCTTCTTCTACATCGGAGGCACCAACGGGGCCGCAATGTGAGTGGGGGAGCCCCACCGTGGGACCCTCCTCCCATGTCAGTCACCGCGCCCCGCCCCGCCCCCCGGGGGAACCCTCCTCCCCAGGCCCCGCCCCCGGGGCCATGTCAGTCACCGCGCCCCGCCCCTGGACCCCTCATCCTACGCGACCCCGCCCCCGCGACCCCGCCTCCCACAGGCCCCTCCCCCGAGGCCCTCCTCCCGCGCGGCCCCGCCCCCTACGCCCGTCCCCGCGCCCGTCCCGCAGAATCAGCGCCTACTGCACGGGCAAGGGCTGGCGGCGCACGCAGGACCGCTGCGCCGACTACAAGCTCAAGTGGTGCGAGGTGAAGCACAGAGACAGCTACTGCAGCTTCCGGGAAGGTGCCTGCGGGAGGGGGGCCGGGGGCGCACCTGCGGGAGGGGGGCCTGGGCGGTGGACCTGCGGGAGGGAGGATGGGGGCGCACCTGTGGGAGGGGAGGTGGGGGGCGCACCTGCGGGAGGGGGGCCTGGGCGGTGGACCTGCGGGAGGGGGGCCGGGGCGCACCTGCGGGACGGAGGATGGAGGGGGCGCACCTGCGGGATGGGGGGCCAGGGGGCGCACCTGCAGGAGGGGGGCCGGGAGGCGCACCTGCAGGAGGGGGGCCGGGGGGTGCACCTGCAGGAGGGGGGCCGGGAGGCTCACCTGCGGGAGGTGGGGGGCAGCACCTGTGGGAGGAGGGCCGGGGGGCGCACCTGCGGGAGGTGGGGGGCAGCACCTCTGGGAGGAGGGCCGGGGGGCTCACCTGCGGGAGGTGGGGGGCAGCACCTGTGGGAGGAGGGCCGGGGGGCTCACCTGCGGGAGGGGGGCCTGGGCGGTGGACCTGCGGGAGGGAGGATGGGGGGCGCACCTGTGGGAGGGGAGGTGGGGGGCGCACCTGCGGGAGGGGGGCCTGGGCGGTGGACCTGCGGGAGGGGGGCCAGGGGCGCACCTGCGGGAGGGAGGATGGAGGGGGCGCACCTGCGGGAGGGAGGATGGAGGGGGCGCACCTGCAGGAGGGGGGCCGGGAGGCGCACCTGCAGGAGGGGGGCCGGGGGGGTGCACCTGCAGGAGGGGGGCCGGGAGGCTCACCTGCGGGAGGTGGGGGGCAGCACCTGTGGGAGGAGGGCCGGGGGGCTCACCTGCGGGAGGTGGGGCCTGGGCGGTGGACCTGCAGGAGGCGGGGGGGGGGGGTGGTGCACCTGTGGGACGCGGTTCGAGGCCGGCGCCCGTGCAGCCCCACCCTTCCTCTGCGCCACAGGCGAGCAGCTGCTGTTCCAGCTGCCCAACAACAAGCTGCTGACCACTAAGATCGGGCTGCTCAGCGCCCTGCGGGAGTGCGCCCGCGTCTCCAGCAAGGTCCACCAGCCGGGCCCCGGGTCGCAGGCCAGGTGAGCCGGGGCCTGCTCTGGAGTGCGCTGCCCCGCCCCCACCTTCCCACAGCCCCCGCCCGAGAGCCCGCCCCCCGCCCTGCAGCTGGACTGATCGCCCTCAGGTGTCCACCACGAAGCCTCTGTCCGTCTGCTTCCATCCAAAGGCTCTTCCCCACCCCTCCCCCTCTTCAGACCCTCCTCCCAACGCCAGCCAGGGTCCCCTGTGCACTCGGTGCACATCTGGAGTTCGGGGCACGCCTCTCTGGTGGAGCTTGCGCGGGGCAGCCCTGGACACCACGAGCCCCCGAGGTAGATGCTTCCAGCCCAGCGCAGGGGGGGGCTGGCCAGAGGGGGCCTGGTGTTAGCTGGGGAGGGCAGGGCGGGCAGGGAGAGGCCTGGCCCAGTTCACACAGGTCCACTGGCCACCCAGGGCAGGCAGCACTGTCCCAGCACTGAGGAAGGGGCCCCGAGAGGCAGGGACACTGCTCCCCTGCACCCCGCCTGGCCACCCCTCCCGCCCCTGAGGGCTGCCCTGCCCACGACCCTGCTGTCCAGGGCCCTGAAGATGGAGGACTTTTTTCCGGAGACCTACCGCCTGGACGTCAGGGAGGAGCGCCAGGCCTTCTTCTCGCTGTTCGATGGTGAGGTCAGGCCGGCGGGGGCAGGACGCAGCCCGGGCAGTCAGGGCCAGGGCTGAGGGCCACTCTCCGCAGAGACCCAGGTGTGGATCTGCAAGCCCACGGCTTCCAACCAGGGCCGAGGCATCTTCCTGCTCAGGAGCCAGGACGATGTCGCCACCCTGCAGGCCAAGGCCCAGAGTGGGGAGGAGGACGCCAGCTCCCGCAAGATGCCCTTCCGGGTGCCCCAGGCACGGGTGGTGCAGAGGTGAGGGCCTGGACCTGCTGCAGGGGTGGGGTCCCATCTGCCCAGGGCCACAGACACGGGCTCAGGACCAAGGAGGGCTTGGTGAGTTTGCTCCTCTGTCCCGCAGGTGGCCTGAGCTGCCCAGGTCCCCCATGCCAGCCTTCCCAGCCCCTGCCCAGCCCCTTTCCTTCCCAAGAGTACCCCATGGCTCTTATCTTTGGGCTGAGCTCAGACCCTGAGCTGCCCACGGGGGCCGGGGGTTCAGGGCCGGCTTCAGAAAAGTCCACCGGCCCTCAGCCCTGGCCAGCGTGGGCCTGGCTCTGGCTGCGGCCGACCTCCCCTCCCACCTGCCCCACAGGGGTCCTCCCTCCCTCCCTGCTGTGGGCGCCGTGGCCTGTGGTGCCCCAGACATGTGAAGAACCCAGAGCCTTCCTCTTCCTCTTCCTCTTCCCCACCCCGACCCTCCCACGGCTGCAGCTCAGTCGGGCACACCTGGGACCCCGACCCTCCCACGGCTGCAGCTCAGTCGGGCACACCTGGGACAGGGGCAGAGGCCCCAAAGAAACCTCCCGGGCCAGGTAGCGGCCTGACCCCTGCAGCCCCGTGGTGCCCCCAGGTACATCCAGAACCCACTGCTCCTGGACGGGAAGAAGTTTGACGTGCGTGCCTACCTGCTCATCGCCTGCGCCGTGCCCCACATGGTGTTTTTCGGCCACGGCTACGCCCGCCTCACCCTAAGCCTCTATGACCCCGACTCCAGTGACCTCAGTGGCCACTTGACCAACCAGGTGAGGGACCCCCCTTCCAGGTGAGGGCCCCCAGCCTCGGGGTAAGCTCAGAAGAGGGGCTTCCTGCCTGGGAACTGAGAGAAGGGGTCCTGGCTGGTAGCCTCTGACCTGGCCAGGGGCTGTGAGAGGACCTCGGTGGAGAAGGGGGCCTGTGGACAGGGGTCTCTGGCAGTGGCAGGGCTCCTGGGCAGGGTCCCCGGGGTGCTGGGTCAGGAGCCCTGGGTGTCTGGGTGCTGGCCTCCAGCTCCTGCACCCACCCCTCCAGTTCATGCAGAAGAAGAGCCCCCTGTACCTGCTGCTCAAGGAAGACACGGTGTGGAGCATGGACCACCTCAACCACTACATCAACAGCAAGTTCAGCAAGACCCCCGGCCTGCCCCGAGACTGGGTGCTCACCACCTTCACAGTGCGTCTGCGGCGGCCATGTGCACACGCATGTGTGTGCGTGTGCATGTGTACAGATGTGGGAATGCGACATGGGCTCTGTGGGGATCCTGCCGTCCCAGCAGGGGGCAGAGGGGCCCAGCAGGGGTGCCCTTGTGGACCCGGGAGCTGGGCAGCTCAACGCCCAGGTGTCTCGTTCTGAGTCTCCGCCTCCTGGCGGGTGCTCCGAGGCCCAGCCAAGGTGGCCAGGGCGGCTGAGCAGCTGGGCATGAAGCTGGCGCTGAAACGGGCTCCCTGGGCACAGCAGTGTGTGCGGTCACTGGCCCCTGTGCTTGTCCCGTGTCTCTCCCTGATGGCAGTTCCCAGGAGATGCACCGGGTCAGTGGTCTCTCCTGCGTTCACAGAACTGTGCAGCCATCACCACTGAACTTCTGTTGCCCCAAGAATGAGTCCTGTGCGGGCTGCCCGTGTCCCTCCCCGCCTGCTCGGTCAGCGTGCAGGCTGGCCATGCCCCCCCCCACCCGGTGTCTGCTGCAGAGCCCGAGGCCTGTGCCCGCTGGAGGACAAGCTAGGGTGTGGATGGGATTAATTCGGTTCTCTTGGGAGCACAGCTGGGGCTGGACCGCGGGGCCGTGTGGCAACACTTACATCTCACTTAGAAAATAGTGGTGAATGTATGAGAGGCAAGGGGCAGGCAGAGCTGCCAGTCTGGGTCTCTCCCCATCACCACAGCCCCACTCCCTGACCGCTCCGCGGCCTCATCCACACCGGCTGTTTCCCCCGCGGCACGGGAGTGCAGTGTGGCTTGGGTCGTGTTTCCCTGATGGCAGCAGCACCGAGCCATCTTTCTGGCCGTCTGTGCCTTCTCCGGAGCCCGCAGTGTGCAGTGCCGTTGTCTGCACTCGGTAGTAAAAGGTCTTCGTTCTGGACACGACCCGGAGCACCCGCATTTTGCCGATGTTCTCCCCCATTCTGTGTTTGTCTTTCCTCTTTTTTTTTTTTTTTTTTTTTTGACAGGCAGAGTGGATAGTGAGAGAGACAGAAAGGTCTTCCTTCCGTTGGTTCACCCCCCAATGGCCGCTGCGGCTGGCACACCGCACTGATCAGGAGCCAGGTGCTTCTCCTGGTCTCCCATGGGGTGCAGGGCCCGAGCACTTGGGCCATCCTCCATTGCACTCCCGGGCCACAGCAGAGAGCTGGCCTGGAAGAGGGGCAACCAGGACAGAATCCGGTGCCCCGACCAGGACTAGAACCCGGTGTGCCAGCGCCGCAGGCGGAGGATTAGCCTAGTGAGCCGCGGCGCCGGCCTTTCACTTTCTTGATCATGTGCTTTGATCACAAAAGTTATTCTTAAGGAAGTTATTATTTTATTATTTGAAAGGCAGAGCAACAGAGAGAGAGAGGTCTTCCATCTGCTGGTTCACTTCCCAGATGGCTGCAATGGCCGGAGCTGCACTGATCCAAAGCCAGGAGCCAGGAGCCAGGAGCCAGGAGCTTCTTCCGGGTCTCCCACGCAGGTGCAGGGGCCCAAGCACTTGGGCCACCTTATACTGCTTTCCCAGGCCACGGCAGAGAGCTGGATTGGAAGTGGAGCAGCCGGGACTCAAACCGGCGCCTCTCCAGAGCCACACTGCAGGCGGCGGCTTTACCTGTGCGCCACAGCCCCGCATGTTGCTCTCATGTTGTTGCTGATTTGTCAGCTCTAATAGCATGTGCGTGTGTGCGTGTCATCGTGTCCATGTGTGTGCGCACATGTGTGCCTGGGTGTTCATTCATGTGTGTGTGTGTGTGGATGGTCTAGGATCAGGTTCCTCAGGTCCTGTCATCTGACAATGGTGATGGTTACTTCTCCTTTCAAACTCCAGTGCGTTTGCCTGGTGTCCGTGGGTGCTGCAGGCACAACAGTGAACTGGCACAGCGGCGCGTGTTCCGTGTGCGGGTGGGGGTGGGCGTGTCCTGTGCGCGTGTGTGGGGTAGGTGTAGTCCTTGTGGGATGTCCTGTGTGCGTGTGTGGGGTAGGTGTAGTCCTTGTGGGATGTCCTGTGCGCGTGTGTGGGGTAGGTGTAGTCCTTGTGGGATGTTCTGTGTGCGTGTGTGGGGTAGGTGTAGTCCTTGTGGGATGTCCTATGTGCGCCTGTGGGGTAGGTGTAGTCCTTGTGGGTGGTGGGTGTGTTCCATATGTGGGGGGGTGCATGTTCTGTGTGTGTGCGTGTGTGGGGGTGCATGTTCTGTGTGGGGGTGGTGGGGATGGGTGTTTGTGCGGGCGTGTTCTATGGCATGTGTGGTAGGCGTGCTTCGTGTGCGTGTGGGTGTGGGTGTGTGTTTGGCCCCTTTCCTTGTGTGTCCTCTGGGTCTGCTGTCAGGGTGCTGCTGACCCCACTGTGAGTCAGGCCACACCCCTGTTCTGGGTCTTTCTGGCTTCATCTTGTTGGTGTTGGGTGGGAGGGGTCTGCGCCGGGCTGGTGCTAACTCTGGGCGTCTCCCGGGGGCTACTCCCGTTGCTCCAGTCTCATAGCGTCCTCGCGGGGGTCCTTGTGGGGTCACAGCGTCCTCCTGCGGTCCACTCACCTCCGCAGGGCCTGACCCATCTGGCGCCCTTGATCTGTGATCTTAGTTTCGTTTGTTTTCCTCTGGGGTTCCGGCTGCTCCCTCCCACCTGCTCTCTGTAGTCCCCTGGGGTCAAAGGTGACTGTTGCCCTGACCGTGGCTGTGGCCGCCTCAGCACTGCTCCCGCTGCGCCCATGGGCTTTGCTGGGTCCTGTTTCTGTTTTCATTTGTCCCGAGTAGTTCTGTGTGTTCTTTGACCTGGTGGTTGCTGAAGACTGTTGTGGGGGCCAGTGCTATGGCGCAGTGGGCAGAGCCGCTGCCTGTGAAGCTGGCATCCCACATGGGTGCAGGTTCGAGTCCCTGCTGTGGCCTGGGAAAGCAGTGGAAGATGGCCCAAGTGCTTGGGCCCCTGCACCCATGTGGGAGACCTGAAGAAGCTCCTGGCTGTCCCAGCCCTGGCCATTGTGGCCATCTGGGGAGTGACCCAGCAGGTGGGAGATGTCTCTTTCCCCCTCTCCCCCCATCTCTCTCTCCCCCTCTTCCTCCACCTCTTTTTTTTTTTAAGATTTTTTATTTTAAAGAGTTACACAGAGAGGAGAGGCAGAACGAGAGACAGAGAGAGAGAGTGAGAGAGAGAGGTCTTCTATCCACTGGTTCACTCCCCAGTTGGCCGCAACGGCCAGAGCTGCACTGATCCAAAGCCGGGAGCCAGGAGCTTCTTCCTGGTCTCCCACGTGGGTGCAGAGGCCCAAGGACTTGGGCCATCTTCCACTGCTTTCCCAGGCCACAGCAGAGAGCTGGATCAGAAGTGGAGCAGCCGGGACTAGAACTGGTGCCCATATGGGATGCTGGCGCTGCAGGTGGCGGCTTTACCCGCTGTGCCAGGCAAATGTGTCTTCAGAAGCAGGGGGCTGGGCTCCTCCTGAGCAGGGTGAGCCGCTCTCCTGGGCTCAAACTCTGAAGCTTGGATGAGGTCGACCTGAGCGTGTCCTGCTCAGGGTCACGGTGGGAACTGGGGCCTTGCCTGCCTCCCCTCCCCTCCTTGGCGCTCTGCGTGTGTCGGCCGGGCGGTGCCCGCCCGCGGGTCCCTGGGCGTCCTTCCTCCTCTCTGGCCTGCGATCCTGCACCTCAGCTGGCAGCCGCGCCCCCAGGGCCTCGCTGCCTTCTCTCCACTGCCACCCACGGGCGGGCATCGTCCTGCTCCGCCCTTCCTCGAGACCTCTCCCCCAGGAGGCCCTTCCTGGGCCCGCTCACTGTCCCTTTTCCTGGAAGCGGGGAGTGCGAGGAACCAGGGCCAGCTCCGTGTCCTGGCCGTCAGCGCCGGGCACCCCCGGGTGTCTCTGGCTGCGGGCGGTCCCTGCTGCCGTCCCCAGCGCCTGCTCCCTGGCAGGCGCACTCTGTGTGCATGGGCTAACCCTGGGGGAGTGCACGTGTGCTGGGGCCAGGGTGACAGCCGGGGCAACCGGGGTGACAGCCAGTGTGACTGACAGCCAGTGTGACTGACAGCCAGGTGACGGCTGGGTGACTGACAGGTGGCTGACAGGTGACTGACAGGTGGCTGACGGCTGGGCACCCGCTCGCTGCCCCCCCAGAAGCGCATGCAGCAGATCATGGCCCACTGCTTCCTGGCCGTCAAGTCCAAGCTGGAGTGCAAGCTCGGCTACTTCGACCTCATCGGCTGCGACTTCCTGGTGGATGAGAACTTCAAGGTGCCTGGGGCTGGGCGGGCCTCTGGCCAGACCCTCCGTCCACGGCGGGCAGGGCCAGGGACGGGTGGGGACGATGCTGTGGCCTGCGTAGGTGTGGCTGCTGGAAATGAACTCCAACCCCGCCCTGCACACCAACTGCCAAGTGCTGAAGGAAGTCATTCCGGAGGTGGTGGCCGAGACCTTGGGTGAGCGGCCAGCAGCCACCCCCCCCCGGCCCCCGCAGATGCCCCCCCCCGCAGCCCCCCGCCCCCCCCCGCCCCCGGCCCCGCGGTCCGCCCCCCGCCCCTCCTCTCCCCGCCCCCGGCCCCGCTGCCCGCCCCCAGCCCCCAGCCCCCGCGGCCCGCACCCCGCCCCTCCTCTCCCCGCCGCCCGCCCCCGCAGCCGCCCCGCCCCGCCCCGCCCCGCGGCCCGCCTGTGCGCCCTGCTAAAGCGGCCCCGCCCCGCCCCGCCCCGCCCCGCCCCGCCCCGCCCCCAGACCTGGCGCTCGAGACCTTCCAGAAGAGCTTGCTGGGCCACAAGATGCTGCCTCTGCGCTCCCAGCGCCGCTTCGTGCTGCTGCACAGCGGCGAGGCCGACCCGCGCCCGCGGGGCTCGCGCCCCCTGCCCCGCGCGCCCCCTCGGGGTCTCGACGGCGCCCCAGGCGGGGAGTCCGGGACCCCGGGCGCGGAGCGGCCGCGCGGAGACTCCGGGGATCCAGCGCGCGGGGCGGCCGAGGCGGAGCGCGAGGGGCGCAAGCGCGCGAGCCCACGGGGCTCCTAGGGCGGGCGCCCGGGGACCATAAAGGCTACTTTGTTACGGTCGCGGCTCTGTCCCGGACGTCGGGCGGGTCTCAGCTCGGCCCGAGGACGCGCACCCCGCGCCGAGGGCCCGTCTCGCGGTCGGCGGCCTTACCCTCGGGGGTCCCCACAGTCCCGCGGGTTCCCACGGCCTGGCCCGGGACTGGTCCCCCTGGGCCTGCGGGGCCCAAGCGCTTCCGCACCCCCCAGACTCCCTGCCCAGGGCAGCGCTGAGATGGGAGCTGCAGGGCCTTGGGGTCGGGGTCTCCACGCAACACCAGTGGCCTCTGCCCTCCTCGCCGGCTGACAGCAAGCCAAGGCCCAGCCCACCCCTCCCCCCATGTCCTCCACCTCAGCTCTCCAACGACCCCCCAGTGACCAGACGGCAGCGCCGGCCCCACCTCAGGTCCCCGCACCCGAGGGGGCCCAGGAACCTGTCCCAGCTTCCCGCAGAGCGCACCGGGGCGGGACCCAGGAGGGAGAGGAGGCCTGTCCCCCACGCCAGGTGACAGCCGGGACACCTGCAGCTCCTCCGCGCAGGGTCTGGGCGCCCCCTGCCCCAAGGCCTGGAGGTCCCTCTGGGAGGGGCTCAGGGAGGGTGAAGACCAGGCTCAGGGTGTGGCAGGGGTCATCCCCTGCCCGGCTCCACTGCCTCCCCCTCCCTCCCGCACCCCCGGTCGGGCTGTGTTGATGACCCCTTCACCCTCTACCCCCCTGCTCCTCCTGTGCCAGCCTCGGGGGCTGGAGACCCTGGCCCTCCAGCAGGTGGGACGGCCACTGTCCTCACTGGCCCTGAGCAGGTGCAAGGACCCGCGGCGGGCGTGCCCTGGAGGAGCTGCCCTCAGCCTGGGGCCCCTGCCAAGGCCAGGCCCCCCTGCTGCTGTTCAGCCTTCTGCCCTGGGGCCCTCCCCCAGCCCCACTCAGCCAGGTGGCCGCTAAGGGCTTGGCCACCAGAGCCGCAGCTGGGTATCTGGCAGGTACGGGGCGCTCCCAACATTTCAGTGAGGTGGCGGCTGCAGGCGGCAGCACGTGCGGGCCGGCCCTCCCTCAGCTTCTCGGCAGGCGTGGGTGTTTGGCAGAGTCACTGAGACCCCCCCCAGCCACATCCCATGCTGGAGTGCTGCGCATGCGCGCCCTGGAGGCGGCCGGCCATGGGCCCAGCGCTTGGTGTGGGACACCCCGGACTGAGTTCCAAGCTCCTGGCTTTATTGTGGCCCAGCCCTGGCTGTTGGGGGCACTGGGGAGTGAGCCAGCACTGTCTGTGTCACTCACTGTCCTGTCACTCTGCCAAATAAGTGAAGAATAACTACTGCTTAAAAACGCAAAGGTAAGTCACAGAAGAAAACGGCCCGAGGCGCGGAGGGTTCAGCCCACTTCCTGTGTCCGACTGCCCCATGGAGGAGACCCAGAGGGGGCCGGCGCTGTGGTGCAGCCGTAAAGCCACTGCCCGCAGTGCCGGCATCCCATGTGAGCGCCGGCTCCACTTCCCATGCAGCTCTCTGCTGTGGCCGGGAAAGCAGTGGAAGGTGGCCCAGGTCTTGGGCCCTGCCCCCGCATGGGAGACCTGGAAGAGGCTCCTGGTTCATAGCTTTGGGTCAGCCCAGCGCCGGCCATTGCGGCCACCTGGGGGGAGAACCAGCAGATGGAAGACCTCTCTCACTCTCCTCTCTCTCTAACTCTACCTTTCAAATACATATTGTTTTAGAAAATAAATGAAAAACATTATTTAAAAAAAAAAGTTGCTTTGCAGATCAGCCTCTTACCGAGGGTCCCTGACCACAGGACTCTGAGGTCATTTGTCTCCCTATGGATAACACATGGTTGGTCTTCTGTGCCAAAAATGGCCAAGCGTGACCGTGCAGCCCGCTCCGCCATCATCAAAATTCCCCAAAGGACAGCATCACCAGCCAATCAGAGCAGGGCCACGGGCACAGCGCACCAGCCAGGGGCCCGCCCACGAGCCGACCCCCACTTCTGTCCCTAAGAGCCTTCGCCCCGACCCCTTGACCCCTCGACCCCGCAGGGAGCTGGGACACAGTGGTGGCTCCCTGCTTTGCAATAAGCACCTTCCAGCTCCTGGTGTCTCGGCTGGGACAGAGCCGGGGGCCATGCGCCTGTCCCAGAGGGAGTCTGGGGTCCTCCAGCAGGGTGGGAGCCTCAAGCAGTGCCTTCCACCTACAGGAGACGCTGGGTGGCCAAGCTGCCCGGCCCTGACCCCTGCGGCCGGGGGCCACGGTTCTGTGGGGCTCTCCTGCACCCACCTCCTCCAGCCCCTCCCCCGGAGTCTCTCGGAAGGGAGCCAGAAACAGCCCCTGGCCTGAGTCTCTCTCTGGAGAGTTCTGGAAGCTCCCGTGGGAGAAGCGATGGTGGAGGTGGGTGTCTGTCCCCAGCCAGACGGGGACCGGGGACAGCTGTGGCTGAGAGGCAGCCCCTCCTGGGGCGAGTCCTCGGGGGCAGGAGGTGGGCTCAGGTGCCACAGCCAGACCAGGCTCCCGCCTGCCCCCCCCCCGCAGCCCCGGGCTCCCCTGAGTCCAAGTCTGGGGAAGGGCGGGGCCTCCTGCAGCCAGGTGAGTGGGCGGGGGCGGGCGGGAGCCGCTTCTGGGAACCCTGCAGCCTCAAGGTGAAAAACAAGGTGAAAGCCAGCACTGGGGGAGGGGCTTCCTGTGGGGCGGGGGTTTCCACAGGGAGCCTGTGGGGCCCAGAGCTGGCCTGGACAAGGCAGGGTCTCCCGCGGTGCTGGGCCAGACCTGCCCCCCCCACCCCCTGCTGGAGGGGGCCTCGCCACAGCACCCTCCCCGCGCCCCTCCCCGGCTCCCACCTCCCAGCAGCCCCCAGCTGGGCAGGGAAGAGGCGCTGCCTGTGGGGTCCCCACCTCCTGCCTGTCTCCTGGAGCCTTTGCTGGGGGTGGCCCAGATCCTGGCTCCGCCCCACTGGCCCCCTCTGGGCCCTGGGAGGAGGGCGGTGGCCCAGTGAGCGGGTCTCCACTGGCCTGCCTGCCACTCCCCGAAAGCTGCACCAAGCTGTTCAGTCAGCCAGCCAGTGGGCGGCTGCACAAGTGGGTGGGACTCAGAGCCAGGCCCCCAGGGGTGAGGATGGACAGGGCCCCCGCCCCGAGGCTGCCACCCCCAACAGTGCTGGGTGTGGAACTGGCCTGTCCTGTGGGAGGCGGGGGTCTCAGAGACCACAGGGCCGGACACTGCTGTGACAGGCGGGTGACTGGGCAAGGGGTAGGGTGTCCCCTCCTCCAGGAAGCCTCTGAGTCCTGTGGGCCTGGCCAAGCATTCCTGCCTAGGACCAAACGGCCCCTGGCCCCGTGTCCTACCCCCCACCCCACCTAGGCTGGAGCCCCTAGGACAGCCTTGGCTGCCTCCCCCGTACCCTGTGGAAGAGGGGGCTGTGGGCACCAGTGGGCGAGGCGTCCCCAGTGTACGTCCGTCCACTCAGGTCGCTGGACAGGTGTTTATTGGAAGCTGCCTGAGGCCAGGTCCTCTGCTGGGCTCTGCTTGCCACAGCCTCTGCACTGGGGGGAGGGGCTGGCGAGGGAGGGCGGCAGCCACCCCAGCCCCACGTCCATCTCTCCCCTGCATGGTCACCGTCCCAGGCCTGCTTCCGCCATCGAGGGGAGCAGGGCCAGGCCCAAAGCAGCACACAGCGCCCTTGCGCCCTGGGGCCCGCCTGCCTGAGCCGCCTCACACCTGCAGGTGCCCCGGCCGGCCCTTCTCCTCGGCCAGCCGCTCGCCCCGCTCCTCCTCCGGGAATTGGCAGCTGCAGGTGTCCTCGGCTGGGGGCAGCGGCGCCTCCAGGAGCAGCTGGGTCTCTGCAGGGAGGCTGCGGTCAGCAGGCAGCCAGGGCCTCGCCTCCCACCACCCCAGGGCGTCACTGACCTCGGGGCCACGCGTGTTGCCTCCTCAGCCGCCAGATGTGCAGGCCGAGCTGGGCTGCCGTGAGGACCAGGATACAGGCAGCCATGGCGAGGAGGGGTAGGAGCAGCCCGCCGAGCCGGTCAGCGGGCCCCGGCCCCGGGGTGCAGGCAGCGTTGTGGGTCTTGTTCCCGGGGAACGAGGTGAGAAACCCAAATTGGGAGCAGCTGGGACAGAAGTGGGCACGGTCAGCCCCGGCCTCCCAGGAGCCCCACCCCCAGGGCTGCTGTGTGTAGAGGTGGGGGGGCCCTCAAGGGCGCCTGGGCCACCCCCCTGCCCCCCAGGACTCACTCTGCCCAGGGCCTGCAGCGGCCGGCGTTGCCCGCCGAGAAGGTCCCCTCAGCACAGTCCACGCACCGAAAGCCAAAGTTGAAATTCCCTGGAGGGAGAGAGAACACACAGGTCGCCCCCATGAGGCCCCAGCAGAGGGGCGGTGGGGGCTGTGTGGGGAGGGGCCAGAGAGGACTGAGGTGCTGCAGCTGCCCCCCCACCTGGCCCCGAGCGCCACACAGAGCTGGGGGCCGGGCAGGCCTGCCCCAGACCCCAGGAGGGGACACAGGGACACAGGACCGGCTCTGGACAGGGCTGACCGCAGGACCTGGGCCAGGGGCCCAGCCCCCAGGGGACCCTTTCTCCCGGCGGTGTAGGCTGGGGGGGCTGGCCTCCCTGAGCCACAGCCTGGCACGCCCACACCCAGGGGCCTGCCCACGCAGAGGACGAGCCCCCACCCACACCCCACACTCACACGCTCTCCCCCACACTCACCCCCACACTCACCCCCACGCTCACCCTCACACACCCCCACACTCTCACACCCCCACACTCACCCTCACTCACACCCACACTCACCCTCACACACCCTCACACTCACCCCCACACACACACCCTCACACACACCCTCACACACACACCCTCACACTCACCCCCACACACACCCTCACACACCCCCACACTCACCCCCACGCCCACCACCCCCCACACCCTCACACTCACCCCCCACCCCCCCACCCCCTCACACTCTCACACCCCCACACTCACACCCTCACACACACACCCTCACCCTCACACCCTCACCCCCCACTCACCCCCACACACCCCCACGCACCCCCACACTCACCCCCACACACCCCCACACTCACCCCCATGCTCACACCCACACACCCCCACACACACCCTCACACACCACCACACACCCTCACACTCACCCCCACGCTCACCCCACACACACCCTCACATGCTCACCCCCACACTCACCCCCACACTCAGCCCCACACACTCCCACACACCCTCACACTCACCCCCACGCTCACCCCCCACACTCACCCCCACACTCACCCCCCACGCTCACCCCCACACTCACCCTCACACACTCCCACACACCCCCACGCTCACCCCCACGCTCATCCCCACACCCCCCCACACACCCCCACGCTCACCCCCACACTCACCCCCCCACCCTCACCCCACGCTCACCCCCACCCTCACCCCCACTCTCACCCCCACCCTCACCCTCACCCCCACTCTCACCCCCACCCTCACCCCCACTCTCACCCCCACCCTCACCCCCACTCTCACCCCACGCTCACCCCCACGCTCACCCTCACAGACACCCACCCCCGCTCACACCCCCACCCTCACCCCCACGCTCTCCTCCGAGTCCCGCGCCCTCGGCTCCCGCCAGCTCTCCCGCGGCCCTGTGCGGACCAGGCCTGGGCAGGTGCAGGAGCCCCCTCACTCACCTTGCGGCTGCGCCTCCTGCCCGGGTGGACAAGGGTGGTGCTTGCAGGTCCGGCACTGGGGGTCTCCGCAGTGGAAGCCGGGCCGCACGCAGGTGCAGTTCCGCGCGGAGCACAGCGGCGCTGGCGCGGAGGACAGGGCCCCTCAGCCCTCCGGCTCTCTCCCGCCCTCTAGGGGGCCCTGGGCCACGTCCAGCTCCGCCTCCCTCCCAGGTGGCCAGGTCCGCAGCCACAAGGCCTGGATGCACTCCCAGTGGCCCTGGTCACTGTCTGCTGGACAGTGAAAAGTAGCCAGGGCTCTGCGAACACTGGGCCGGCTTCCTCCGCGCCGCGCACTCCGCGCCGCGGCCCGTTTCACTGGCCCCCCAGAGGAGTGGGCGGGGCAGAAGTGAGGTGCTGGGACCCTAACCTGAGCCCTTCCGCCACCCCGGCGGGGCCCCCGCGCCAGACGGGGCGCCCACCCCTGCCCCTGCCCCTGCCCCTGCCCGCTGCCGCGGCCCGCCCCGCCGAGCCTCACCGGGGGCGCACGGCCCGCAGCAGCGCGCGTCGGCGCCCTTGCCTTCCAGCGAGCGGCCGGGGCCGCAGCTCGGCACCCCAGCTGCGCGCCGACCCAGGCCCAGGGCGCAGAGCAGCGCGACCCCGCACAGGGCCGTCCGCGCGCCCATCGCCCCGTGCCCGCGGCTGCTAGCGCGCGGGGATTTCAGAAGGCCCCGCGCCCCGCCCAGCCCCGCCCGCCTGGAGGCGGCTGGAGGCCATGTAGCCCCAGAACCACACTAAAGAGGCCGAAATGGCGGGGCGGGCAGGCGCTGGGGACCCCAGCCCGCCCAGCCGGATGGGCTCGGGGCGCCCCCGGGCTCAGCTTTGCCTCCGCAGGGAGCTGGCAGGAGGGGCCGGTGGGGACACACCAGGGCACGTGTTGCCTTTACTCAAAAGATGCTATTCCTTTTTAAATTTTTTATTTTATTATATTCTATTTTAGAAGCAGAGTTACGGGGTGGGGCAGAGAGAGAGGGGCGGGGGAGAGAGAGGTCTTCCATCCGCTGGTTCACTCCACAATTGGCCGCAATGGCCGGAGCTGGGCCCATCCAAATCCAGGAGCCAGGAGCTTCTTCCAGGTCTCCCTCGTGAGTGCGGGGCCCAAGCACTTGGACCGTCCTCCGCTGCTTTCCCAGACCATCAGCAGGGAGCTGGATGGGAAGAGGAGCCGCTGGGACTTGAACTGGCGGCCCTGTGGGACCCCGGTGGCTGAACCTGCACCACAGCGCGGCCCCCAGTTTTCCCTTCCCAGGTGAATGACAGGTGTCAATTGGAGATGCCTGGCTCCTTGCAGAAGGGGCGTCTCCAGCACAGGCTGTGGCTGCGGCGGGGGGGCAAGGCTGGCCAGGCCAGGGGCTCTCCCTGAGGGAAGAGACGGGGCGGGCAGCGGGTGTCGTGGTGAGGGGGAAACCACAGCGGTGACGCCAGCTGCACTTCCGACCCAGCTCCTTGCTGACGCACCGGGGAAGGCAGTGAGGACGACCCACACGCCTGGGCCCCTGCACCCACATGGAGGGCCTGCCCAGCCCTAACTGTTGTAGGCACTTGCTCGTTCTCTCTCTGTCTCTCGGGCCCTGTTTCTCTGCTTCTCAAATAAATAAACACAAATAAGCAAATTAAACAATGAGCAGGGGCAGTGTTGTGGCAGAGTGGGGCACTGCATCCCACATCGGGGGCCTGGGTTCGAGTCCAGGCCGGTGTGCTTCTGCCGATGCACCTGGGAAGCAGCTGGGTCCCTGCCACCCACGTGGGAGACCCACAGCTCCTCGTGCTGGCGAGCCCAGCCCTGGCTGTTGTGGCCATGTGGGCAGGGAGCCAGTGGGACGAAGATGTCTCTGTGTCTTTATCTCTCTGCCTTTTTTTATTTGAAAGTCAGAGTTACAGAGAGGCAGAGACAGAGAGACAGAGAGCCAGGAGCGTTCTCCAGGCTTCCCATGAGGGTGCAGGAGCCCAAGGACTTGGGCCATATTCCACTGCTTTCCCGGGCCACAGCAGAGAGCTGGATTGGACGAGGAGCAGCTGGGACTCGAACCAACGTCCATATGGGATGCCGGCACTGCAGGCAGCGGCTTTATCTGCTCTGCCACAGCGCCGGCCCCTAAATAAATCTTTCATTTTTTTCTCCCAGAACCTTGTAGTAAACATTGCTCACTTTTTTAAGAGTTGTATTTATTTATTCAAAAGGCAGAGTTACGAGGGAGAGGGAGAGGGGGAGGGGAGGGAGAGGGAGAGGGAGAGGGGGAGGGGGAGGGGAGGGGGGAGAGAGAGAGAGAGAGAGAGAGAGAGAGAGCCCGCGAGAGCTCTTGCATTCGCTGGTCCACTCCCCAGATGGCGGGGCTGATCCAAAGCCAGGAGCCAGGAGCCGCTTCTGGCTCCCCCACGCGTGTCTGGGGTCCACTAGAGCAGTGACTGCTCCCTGGGAAGTGCGTGCCTCAGCGAGAGGTCAGGCCTCTGCTAGCACAGGGTCGTCCCCACCCAGCTGGCCACAGGGCTCGGCACCCTTCTGGGGGCTGGCAGAGTGGCACCCGGGGGAGGGGTGCAGGCTGGGGGCATGGCTGCCATGCAGACCGCGGAAATCCGAGGGCGGGGGCGCACGCACGCCCGCCAGGGCAAAGTCAGCAGGCAGCTGCGCCCCGGCCCCTTCCTGTCCCCGCTCCGGAAGCCGCCCTGCAGCTGCTGTGGCTCCCCGGCGTGAGCAGGGTTTCGCCAGCAGTCAGCTGTGCTCACCGGGCTGCCCGAGCCCAGGGACAGCTACAGCCCTGACCCTGGCCAGCCCAACCCCCAGCCCCAGGGGCGAGGGGATGGAGGGACGGTGCCGGAGCAGTGGATCCAGAGAGTGGTGGGCGCGGGGCGTGAGCGGCCGGGTTCTATCCCTCCCAGGCTCCCAAGGCGGGGACTGTCTGCTGCTGGCCTGGGGCGGTCTGGGCAGGGCGTGGGGAGGACGGGTCAGAGGTTCCTGCCAGGGTCACAGGGTGGACACTGCCCCAGTCACTGAGAAAGGAGGGGTCTGGGCCCTGCACCACTGCCACCAGCCAGCCGGCGTTTTCCTCCCGGGCGCTGGAAGGTCTCGGTCAGGCCCACAGCTCCTGACCTGGGGTCAGTGCCCAGAGCAGAATGGCCGGGCCTCAGGTGGGTGCAAACCTGGCTCCGTCGGAAGCCTCCCACTGCCCACGGCGGCCATCCCGGTGGACACCGTCCACACAGGGATGCCGGGGCGGCAGTTAGGGGGTCCTGGGGCCGCCCCCCACTCCAGTGCAGCAGGGAGGCCCCCTCAGGGCATGCAGGTGCCAGATGCCTGCCTCGGATCCTGGCCTGGCCCCGCCACAGCGGACTCGGGGCCCCTGGAAGCTGCGGCTCTGGCCCCCGCAAGACGTGGGACCCCAGCCACCCCCCCCCCCGGGGCCGAGTCACAGACCCGTGGTTGCTGGCGTGTTTATTGGGTGAATGACCTGGGCAGGGAATGTGCACAACACACACGGGAGAGCCTGGAGCCCAGCACCTAAAACGGCACCAGGGCCGTGGGCGGGAGGCCTGCTCCTGGCCCCCTACCCCGAGGGCCAGCCTGGGTGAGTGCAGCCCCCTCCCCGGCGATGCTGCTCAGATCTTGGCCATTGTCGAACCAGCATCTGCCTGCTCCTCCTGGATGGGGGTCCGGAAGCTTCCTCCTCCTGGGAGAGGGAAAGAGCCAGAGGTGGGAGGGGCCTCAGCCCCCAGGGGTGGTCTGGGCTGGATCCACAGTGGACACTCACCAGGGAGCTTGGGGGGCCTCCAGGCCCTTTGGTGCAGGTACAGGGCCAGCAGAGCAGCCAGGAGGGCCAGCAGGCCCAGGCCCAGGCCCAGGCTCAGGACAATGGCCAGCTGGGGGCCTGTGGAGAGGGGCTTGCTGGGTAGAGTCCATGGGAGGGGACCCAGCGAGGTCACTAGACAGCGCCCCCCACTCCTCGTGCCGCTTACCCTTGGAGGCCTCCAAGGTGGGTGTGGAAGGACCCTGGGCTGTCCTGGGCCAGGCTGTGGAAGTCCTGGCCGTGGGGGGCCGGTAAGGGGCACTGGGGGTCTCCCAGGGCTGTGTGGCCAGGGAGCTCCTGTCCTCACAGACAGCGTCCGAGATGCTGCTGGCCGGCTGCAGTGTCCGCTTCCCAGCTAAGGTGCAGCTGGGGGAGGAGCAGGTGTCAGCCAGGCCAGAGACACCCCTTCCCGTCCACCCTGGGCCACCCTGGGAATCCAGACCATAGGCAGCCAGGCCCAGCCCCGCGCCCTCGCCCGCCGCCTCCCCTCACCCTTCGCTCCCTCTGATGCCCACCCCCGGCGAGGGTGAGGGTCTTCCTCACACTTCCAGGCCTGGGTCCCCAGGGGAGGTTGGGGGGGCCCCTGAGCGTCTGAGCCCCCAGCACTCACTTGGTCCAGGGCCTGCAGGCCCGGTTGTTGCCCTCGGAGAAGTGGCCCTGGGGGCAGGGGGCACAGTCTGCAACACAGGCCAGTGCCGAGGAGTGGGGTGAGCGGAGGGGCGGGGGCGCTGGGGAGGGGTGTCCAGGCACAGGGGCCCAGCCGAGGCTCACCCACTCCGTGCTTGTAGCCGTTCAGGGGCTGGGTGCCTGGCCGGCAGCGGCAGACGGTGTCTCGTGTGTGGGTGCATTCCTGCTGGGGTTCACTCCCGCTTCCTGGGCAGGGTCGGCGTGGAGGGGCGGTCAGGGGGAGGCCTGGCCAGCCCAGCCCTGCGGATGGATGGGGCCCCAGCGAGGCCAGCCCCAGAGCCCCCCCCCACAGGCCCTCTCCCCGTCCTCAAGGGCTCTGGGACACTGCGGCCAGCGGGCTCCACGTGGCCCTTGAGGACGAGGGCAGGGACAGATGGCCAGGGGGTGCCGTGGCTCCTTGGGGGCCACCTGGGGCAGTGTGGGGCTGGAGGGGGTGGGGGGCTCAGGGCGGGGGCGTTGCTCACTCCTGTTGCACTGTGTGCAAGGCTTGCAGGCTTGGTAGTTGACAGCCTCGTTGTAGAAGCCGGGTTCGCACGGGTGGCAGATGGTGTCCTGGCTGCGGTTACAGCGGCTCACCATGCCGTAGCCTGCAGTGGAAGCCGGCGGTGTCAGGCCTGCTCCCTTGTCCTGGGCCTCGGTCCCTGCCCCCACCCCAAGGCAAGCCACTGACCTGGCTGGCACTCAAGGCAGCACCGGTCCCCGCCGGGGTAGGTGTCCCCAACGCAGTCCGGCCTGGGCTCAGCACCCAGCAGGAGCCCGAGGAGCAGCAGGGCCAAGCCGAGCGCTGCGGGCCAGGCCCCCACACGCATCACTGTCGCACCGTGGGACTGTGGGCTCTCCTTGCAGGATGTGGCTATAAGGGCTGCGGGGGAGGGGCGTGCCTGTCTCCGTGTGTGGGAGCGCCCTCGGCACAGCCCAGCCTCTGTGGCCCTGGAAGCTGGCCCAGGCCCCCAGGTGCCAGGGTCCAGGTGTGGCCACTGCCTGGAGTTGTCCTCAGGCTGGACCTGGACTCCACAGGCAGGCTGGGGCTAAACGGGGCGAGAACACACGTGTGTTCACGCACACGCCTGCAGCAGGTGCATGGGCGGGCACAGGGCGACACCCTGACTGCGTTGAGGGGGTGACATGGCAGGATGATTCAGTTTTTCTAATTCTTCGTTTATCCATTTTTATTACTTGATAGGCAGAGAGGAAAAGAGAGACCCGCATCTATGGCTCACTTGCCGAACGCCCACCACAGCCAGGGCGGGGCCAGGCCCACGCTAGGAGCCTGGCGCTCCCTTGGGTCTCTCACGTGGGTGCAGGCGTCCCAAGCAGGGTCTTGACTGCATCAAACGCCCCCCTCAACGTTTCAAGTCCGGGCAGGCGCTGTGGCGTAGTGAGTAAAGCTGCCACCTGCGACCCAGCACCCCACGTGGGCACCGGTTCGAGTCCTGGTTACACCACGTCCCATCAGGCTCTTGCTGTGGCCTAGGAAAGCAGCGGTGGACAGCCCAGCCCTGGCATTGTGGCATCTGGGGAGTGAGCCGCCGGTGGAAGACCGCTCTCTCAATCCATGCTGCTAGCCGAAAGGCTCGGGCTGGGGTCTGCCCCGCACCCACAGGATGGCAGGGGAGGGTGGAAATCCCCTTCCTCCCCCCAGGCTCAGGGCAGGGAAATCCCCAGCCTTGGAGGCCCAGGCGGCTGGGGAGGGGGAGAGGCCAGCTCTGCACCTGGCCACCACGCGGCCACTCTCCCAAAGCCCCTGAGGTACAGAGAGGGCCTGGGGTGGGGGTCCAGCCATCAGGCGTGTGACCTGTGCGCATGTGTGTGCTGCCACCTGCAGGCCCGCCAGCAGAGGAGGAGCTGCCCCCCTGCTGCCCAGGGATCTCAGCCCCAACTTTGCCCAGGGCCTGGGGGACCCGGGGTCTGGGTGGGCAGTGCTGCCAGAGACCCCACCCTGGCCACTCAGCCATGGGGGCCGTACACATCACCGGCCACAGATGCGCAGGGACAGGGACTCTCGGACCCGCCAAGGATCCCGTGAGTCTGCCAAGGAAGTCAGGGCTCCTGGCCTCCACCCCGAGGAGACCCAAGGTGGACGCCCCCTTAGACTTTGGCAAATTGAGGGCCCCTCGCTGTGGGCACAGGAGGCTCGCGGCCTGGCCTCAGGCCCCGCAGGGCTGTCCACTGGCTGGCCGCCCCCCCCCCCCCAGGAAGACAGCGTGACCCCACGTGACCCCTACGAGCACCACGGAAGGCCGCAGTCGGCACGTGGAGCAGCATGGGATCTCCACACAGGAATGGTCTCAGATGTTTATTTTTTAGTTGTCATTAATTTAAAAGACAGACACGGGGGTCTTCCACCCACTGGTTCACTCCCCTGGCTGGGCCAGGCTGTGGCAGGAGCCAGGAGCTTCTCCTGGGCCTCCCACACGGTGCGGGGGCCTGGCCCCTGGTCCGTCCTCCTCTGCTTTCCCAGCCACAGCGGGAGCTGGACAGGAAGTGGCGCAGCCAGGACTGGAACCAGCGCCCACAGGGGAGCCGGCGCCGCAGGCTGTGGCTCTACTGATCTCCTCCCCTCTCTGTAGCTCTGCCTTTCAAACAAACACATCCTTAAAAACCAAACATTTCAGTCAATGCAAAACTCTTCGAGCAGTGAGCATCTGGAAGACGCTGGAGGCCCCAGCAGCCCTCGGGAGAGAGACTGAGCGCAGCGGCGACGGGCTTGGCGTCCGCCGCAGGCCACCACGGGGCCTGAGCGAACTGGCCAGGGCCGAGGTCTCCCGCGAGAGCTCCTGTCCAGTGCTTCTCTCCCCAGCGGCCACCCCCACCCCCGTGGGTTCAGGATGGACCGGCCGCGGGGCCGCGCGTGGGAGGGGCCGGCGCCTGCCCCAGCCGGCACACTTCTGGAGAGGAGACTGACGCTCGTGAGAGACCAGTGGCCCAGGAAGTGAGACTGCGTCACGGAGACGTGCTCCCGCCTGGGCAGGGCCGCCCTGTGCTGTCCTTGTCCGTCAGCCTGCCGTGGCCACCGGACGTGCTGGCCAGGGGCTCGAGCTGCATGCCCAGTTGGGGGGAGGCCCGGAGTGGCCCCAAGGGACGACTGCCCCTGAACACCGGCCTGGAGCTGCAGGGCCACTGCGCAGCCAGACGTCCAGCCCAGCGTCAGCACACACCTGCCCTGGGAGGGCAAGGACGCTGCCGGCACCCGCGGATGAGCCCCGCCCCCAGGGGCATCTGCGGCCCCACCCGCACGCACCACGGCCCCAGGCCCTGAGTGGGAGGTGCCAGGCCACAGGGAGTCCTGCCCTTCAGTTTTGTTTGTCAACAGAGAAGCGAGGCTGAGAGAAAAAGGCAACTGTAATTTAAATTAACTGCAGCTCCCGACCGGCCAGGGAGGGCCCCGCACGCCCCGCGGCTCACTTCCCGCAAACCTTCCGACTCTGTTTTCAAGGAAACAGCAGGAGCTGCGTGGTTTCCCACGGGGCCCAGCCCGGGGCACGGGGCCCTGATGTGGTCGGCACCGGGCAGGGCTCTCGCGGTTCTCGGAAGCCAGAGGCCGCATGGGCGGGCTCAGAACTCCTCGTGCACGCTGCGCGCGTAGTCCATGAGCTTGCTGCCCGTGAAGAACTCGCTGTACTTGAGGACCTCGTCCGCCTCCAGGTGCAGGTTCTGGTTCTCGTCGGCGATGGCGATCATCTGCTTGGCCTCGTTGAGGGCGTTGTACTCGTTCATGGGGTCCATGTAGCTCTGCGGGGGCATGGGGCGCAGGCTCCGTCCTGGGGGGCCGGCCCCGCCCCGCCCCAGCCCCACCGCACCCGAAACACAGCGGCACCCGCAGCGGGGGGGCAAGGCCCAAGGGCCCGGCGCGAGCGTCTTCACCCCGCGGCCCTGGCTGAGAAGGGGGCTCGTTCTGGAACACTCACTCCTGGGGGGTGCCGGGCAGGGAGAAGCCGAGGGCCCCGGGGTACACGGCAGGGGGGTGGGGGCTCATGGGGCTGCCAGGCCCCAGGTGGCCCCACTGGGCCATCAGCGGCTTCTGGTGTAGAGAGAGTGACTCATCCGAGGATGAGAGCACACGGCACCCACGCAGCTCCCAGCGAGCATGCCTGGGGGCAGGGCGAACGCCCCCCGCCCGGCCGTCCTGAGTGTGAGTGGGGCCCCGCCCGGCTCACCTCCAGCTCCTCCGAGGTCACGACCCCGTCGTGGTTGGCGTCGATCAGCTCCTCGAACTCCTTCCTCCGGTCTCGGACCCAGCTGTCATCCATGTCCTGGCCCTGCTGGTTCTCCACGGTGCCCACGGGCAGGGACACGAACTCGGGCAGAGACAGCTGCTTGTCGCCATCCTGGTCTGTGCACCGAGCCCGCGTGAGGCCGGCGGCGCTGCCCTGCTCAGCCCCTCAGAACCCCCGAGCAGCCCCCACGTTACCCAGGTCCCGGATGATCTCCTTGACCATGAACTTGAGCATGCCGCGGCTGTGCTCGGGATGCAGGAAGGACAGGAACTCGTCCTCGGTCAGCAGCAGGTCGGCAGGGGGGCTGTCGGCCTGATACCAGCGGTCCTTGAGGTTCTCCAGGACTTCCTGTGCTGAGAGCGGCCGCCCATGAGACCGGGCACACTGAGCCTGGGGCCTCAGGAGGGGACACATGGGACCCTGGCCCCGCAGGCTGCTCCCCGGGCCACACTCAGGTTCTGTTCCCGGGAAACTGTTCCAGGGCCCCTGCACAGCCACAGGCACAAACCCGGCCCTGAACACGCACCCACACGCAGCACCCGGCCCTCCACACGCACCCACACGCAGCACCCGGCCCTCCACACGCACCCACACAACACGCAGCACCTGGCCCTCCACACGCACCCACACAACACACAGCACCCGGCCCTCCACACGCACCCACACCCAGCACCCGGCCCTCCACACGCACCCACACAACACACAGCACCCGGCCCTCCACACGCACCCACACAACACCCAGCACCCGGCCCTCCACACGCACCCACACGCAGCACCCGACCCTCCACACGCACCCACACAACACCCAGCACCCAGTCCTCCACGCGTACCAACACACAGCACCCGGCCCTCCACACGTACCCACACGCAGCACCCGGCCCTCCACACGCACCCACACGCAGCACCCGGCCCTCCACACGCACCCACACACAGCACCCGGCCCTCCACACGCACCCACACAACACGCAGCACCCGGCCCTCCACATGTACCCACACGCAGCACCCGGCCCTCCACACGCACCCACACGCAGCAGTGGCCCCACCAGGAACCCACTGTCCCTGGGGACACCCCAGAGGAGCCGAGCTGCCCTGTGCCACCATCAGGAGACGGCCTGACCCGGGCAGGCAGGTGGGAGCCCCACGCCTGGGTCATAGCTGTCTCTAGCCCCAACGGCTCCAGGGAGGGAGGGAGGCTGGCTCCAGGGCCCTCTCTCTAGCCCAGGTCACTGCAAAAGACAGCACAGGACCCTCTCAGGCCGGGCCAAGACCGGGGCAGACCTTCCACCCCCAGCTCCCACTGCAAACCAGACCTCGTGTGCAGAGAGGCCTCTGCAGCCATGACTGCTCCGGGGCCGGGCACAGCTGTGACAGCCCCAGACACGGGCCTGGGCCTTGGCCAAAGGAGGACACGCAAGGGAAGATGGCCACAGACAGCAGAGGCCAGAGGCTCAGGGCAGTGGTAGGAGCTTGAGGGGACAGGGCAGGTTCTCCCCAGAGACCCCAACCTCAGGAGCCCGCCCTGCCCACACCCTGCCCACAGCCTCCTCAGTCGGTCAGCCCAGGACTCAGCCGGGCCTTGGCACCAGAGCAGGCGGCCCCTCCGTGTCCTCCATGGCCAGAAAGCCGAGAGGGGGCCAAGGGTAAGGCCCTGAGTGTGGACCAGCCAGTGACCGCCTAGTCCAGCTCCAGGAAAGACAGAGCACCCTGCTGGCAGAGTCCATGTGCACACGGGGCAGGGTCAGCACTGATGCTAACCCCACGGTGCTGGGTGCCACTGAATCCTGCACGGCACCCAGGCGACCACACTCCACCTGTGGGTGCCACTGAATCCTGCACGGCACCCAGGCGACCACACACTCCACCTGTGGGTGCCGCTAACACTCTGCACGGCACCCAGGCGACCACACACTCCACCTGTGGGTGCTGCTAACACCCCGCACGGCACCAGGCGACCACACTCCACCTGGGGGTGCTGCCAACACCCCGCACGGCACCCAGGCGACCACACACTCCACCTGTGGGTGCCGCTAACACTCTGCACGGCACCCAGGCGACCACACACTCCACCTGTGGGTGCCGCTAACACCCCGCACGGCACCCAGGCGACCACACTCCACCTGGGGGTGCTGCTAACACCCTGCATGGCACCAGGCGACCACACACTCCACCTGTGGGTGCCGCCAACACCCCGCACGGCACCCAGGCGACCACACTCCACCTGTGGGTGCTGCTAACACCCCACACAGCACCCAGGCGACCACACACTCCACCTGGGGGTGCCGCCAACACCCCGCACGGCACCCAGGCGACCACACACTCCACCTGTGGGTGCCACTAACACCCCGCACAGCACCCAGGCGACCACACTCCACCTGTGGGTGCCGCCAACACCCCGCACGGCACCCAGGCGACCACACTCCACCTGTGGGTGCCGCCAACACCCCGCACAGCACCCAGGCGACCACACTCCACCTGTGGGTGCCGCAACACCCCGCACGGCACCCAGGCGACCACACTCCACCTGGGGGTGCTGCTAACACCCTGCATGGCACCAGGCGACCACACACTCCACCTGTGGGTGCCGCCAACACCCCGCACGGCACCCAGGCGACCACACTCCACCTGTGGGTGCTGCTAACACCCCACACAGCACCCAGGCGACCACACACTCCACCTGGGGGTGCCGCCAACACCCCGCACGGCACCCAGGCGACCACACACTCCACCTGTGGGTGCCACTAACACCCCGCACAGCACCCAGGCGACCACACTCCACCTGTGGGTGCCGCCAACACCCCGCACGGCACCCAGGCGACCACACTCCACCTGTGGGTGCCGCCAACACCCCGCACAGCACCCAGGCGACCACACTCCACCTGTGGGTGCCGCAACACCCCGCACGGCACCCAGGCGACCACACTCCACCTGTGGGTGCCACTAACACCCCGCACGGCACCCAGGCAACCACACTCCACCTGTGGGTGCCGCTAACACCCCGCACGGCACCCAGGCGACCACACACTCCGCGTGCCTGAACAGGAGCTCCTGACCCTTTCCTCTGACCCAGGGAGGTGGGCCGCGCGCCCTGACTGCACCCCAGCCCCAGGGCACAGCGGCGCCCACGCCTGGCGGGCCGAGCACTCACTCTCCTCGTCCACCTGCAGCTCCCTCTTGCTCTGGACGGCGTCCAGCACCTCCTTCTCGCTGTGGCCCTTGCTCACCAGGAACTTCACCTTGTACTCGTCCCACGACACGCGGCCTGCAGGGCAGACAGCCCGCCAGGGCGAGACGCGGCTACTTCAGGACGTGGGCCGAGAGCCCCATGCCACAGCCGCTGCACAGGCGGGAGGGGCAGGGCCAGCTCCAGGTGTCCAGCAGGGCTGCGGTGCAGGGGCGGGGCCTGCTGCACACATCCAAGGACACAGCCCCGTGCACAACCCAGCCCAGCTCGCTGACACCTGCAGCCCCAGCCACACTCAAGGCCCCTGCTGGAGCCCCGTGTAGCTGGGGCCTGGTGCCCGCCCCCAGGCCACAGCACCGCCGTCGTCAAGGTCCCCGTCCTGGTGCCCGCCCCCAGGCCACAGCACCGCCGTCGTCAAGGTCCCCGTCCTGGTGCCCGCCCCCAGGCCACAGCACCGCCGTCAAGGTCCGCGTCCTGGTGCCCGCCCCCAGGCCACAGCACCGCCGTCAAGGTCCGCGTCCTGGTGCCTGCCCCAGGCCCCCCCGGCCACAGCACCGTGGCCGTCAGGGTCCCCGTCCTGGTGCCTGCCCCAGGCCCCCCCGGCCACAGCACTGTGGCCGTCAGGGTCCCCGTCCTGGTGCCTGCCCCAGGCCCCCCCGGCCACAGCACTGTGGCTGTCAGGGTCCCCGTCCTGGTGCCTGCCCCAGGCCCCCCGGCCACGGTACCGTCGCCATCAGGGTCCCCGTCCTGTGCCTGCCCCAGGCCCCCCCCCCGGCCACAGCACCGTCGCCGTCAGGGTCCCCGTCCTGGTGCCTGCCACGGTACCGTTGCCGTCAGGGTCCCCGTCCTGGTGCCTGCCCCTGGCCCCCCGGCCACAGCACCGCCGTCAGGGTCCCCGTCCTGGTGCCTGCCCCGGGCCCCCTGGCCACAGCACCGCCGTCAGGGTCCCCGTCCTGGTGCCTGCCCCGGGCCCCCCGGCCACGGTACCGTCGCCGTCAGGGTCCACGGCCCGGAAGTGCATCTTGTTCTCCCTGACGGCCTCCTGGAAGTGCTCGGCTGTCTTCTCCATGATCCAGCGCTGCATCTCCTTGGCGCTGATCTTGCGGTCAGTGTTCACATCCACCCTGCATGACGGCAGACGGCAGGCAGGCATCAGACAGGGCCCCCGGGACGCTGGGCAGCTCCCCGGCCAGCCATGCCACCCAGCAGTGTATGGGAAGCTGCAGGACACGGGGCTCCCTAGACGTCTGAGAGGGGAGGCAAGACCCCCTCAAAGTGCTCGGCCTCAGGACCACACAGGCTGCCCTGCACAAGCCAGGCCCGAGCACGTCGGGAGACCCTGTGGGGACACAGCGCTTGTCTGTGGACAGGACGGAAGACTCCAGGGGCTGGCGCTGTGGCCTGCAAGACCGGCATCCCACATGGGCGCCAGTCTCGGGCTCCACTTCTGACCCAGCTCCCTGCTAATGGGCTGAGCCCAGGGACCTGGGCCCCAGCACCCACACAGGAGACCTGGACAGAGCTCCAGGCTCCTGGCTTCAGCCTGAACCGGCCCTGGCCCTTGAAGCCGTCGACAGGAGTGAATGTAGCCATCCATGGAAAGAAACATGGCTATAGGCAGAAGAGAACATGGCCGCCCGTGGGAATAAATGTGGCCTGTCCATGGGAGTGAGCGTGGCCGCCCGTGGGAGTGAGCGTGGCCGCCCGCGGGAGTGAGCGTGGCCGCCCGCGGGAGTGAGCGTGGCCGCCCGCGGGAGTGAGCGTGGCCGCCCGCGGGAGTGAGCGTGGCCGCCCGTGGGAGTGAGTGTGGCCGCCCGCGGGAGTGAACGTGGCCGCCCGTGGGAGTGAGCGTGGCCGCCCGCGGGAGTGAGCGTGGCCGCCCGTGGGAATAAATGTGGCCTGTCCATGGGAGTGAGCGTGGCCGCCCGCGGGAGCGAGCGTGGCCGCCCGTGGGAATAAATGTGGCCTGTCCATGGGAGTGAGCGTGGCCGCCCGTGGGAGTGAGCGTGGCCGCCCGCGGGAGTGAGCGTGGCCGCCCGTGGGAGTGAACCAGCGGATGGAAGCACCCTAGCTCTTGCTCTCACTTTGCCTTTCAAGTAAATAAACGAAGCTCACATTAAAGAAAAAGACCCCCAACACAAGAGACCCACCCCAGCTCCTCCCCTAACTGGGATGGACCTGCAGTGGCCACGGCTACAGGCCGCTCCCAGAGCTCCTCAGGGTGCTGACCGGAGTCTGGTCAGTTGTGCAGGTGGGCAATAGGGACTGCTGTCCGCCCTGAGGGCCCCAGCTGTGACGGCTCGGCCCCAGCCCAGCCCAGCCCAGCCCCCCCGGCCCCCGTGTCCAGGCCCCCCAGGCCCCGTGTCCAGCCCCCCCGGCCCCCGTGTCCAGGCCCCCACTTGGAGAAGATGAGCATGAGCTTCCTCCGGCTGCGCCGCGGCTCGGCGTCCTCCTCGAAGCCGTCCACGTCCTTGCCCAGGAAGACCTCCTGGTGGAAGTCCTTGTTGAGGTGCCCGTCCATCTCCAGCTTCACCCCGTTCAGGTGGTCTGGGGGCAGGATCTCATTCTCCTCCCGCGTGGACGAGTGATTGGCAGGCCGTGCAGACACACCCCCCAGCAGGACGCTGCCCAGGAGCCACCAGAGCCAGTGGGGCAGCCGCCTGGACGCCATGGCCACACCGGGCAGCCCGTGGGATGGCCGGGGAGCTGGGGAGGGAGGAGGAGGAAGCTGAGACAGCCCAGGCCTGGGCACGGCTGTCCAGAGAAGCCGCGGCTGCTGCCCAGCCCGGTCCTGGCCTAGGTGAGGGCCTCACCCGGCCCCCCCGGACTCCAGTCTGCGGCCTGCATCTGCCTGGGCTCCCAGCCCAGCACCGGCCACGCCTTCAGCCTGCGTGGGGGGGGAGGGGCACAGCCTGTGACACCAGCTCCCCACAGGGGCGCCAGTTCAGGTGAAGGCTGCTCCACGCCAAGCCGGCTCCCTGCTGATGGCCCGGGAGACAGACGTGATGGCCCAAGTGCTTGAGCCCCTGCAGCCACGTGGGAGACCGGACAGAGCGCCAGGCTCCTGGCTTCGGCCTGGCCTGGCCCATCATCCGGGGAGTGACCCAGGGGATGGAAGACATGCTCTCTCCTCGCTTTTCAAATCCATAAAACACAAAAGGCGGGCCCCGAGCAGAAGTGCAGCATGCCAGAAACCAAGAGCTGTACCCGCGGGAGCCCCCCCGGAATCCCACTGCTGCCCTGCAGGCCGGGGAAGCGCTGTCTACTAACCAAGACCACTTCCGGGAGCCAAGTCCACCAGGTTGGCCGCAGAGCACCTGCTGTGGGCGGACTCTGTCCCCCAAGAAGCCTGCTTATCCCCATGGGCCGCGCGGAGACCAGGGAGTCGCCCCCAGTAACCGCGCATAAAGATGGGGTCCATCCGCGTCCCCACCGGCCCGGGATCTCCGTTCCCAGCAAGCCGCGGCTGCAGGAAGCCGGACACAGCTTGCGGGCCCCTCCCACAGTTTCGGGGACCTGCGCCCTCCCCAGCTCTCCAGGCGGCTGCCAGCGCGCCGGTCCCGGCTGCCGAGGGAGGGGCCCACGCCCCCCACCCGCCGCACCATCCCCGCAGCTGCGTCGGGAAGCCGCGGGACCAACGCCTGGGTAACGGGCGCCGGCCTCCGGGGGCCTCGTTCCGCGGGAAGCCAGGGGGTCCCTGGGGCCGGAACACCCCGCGCCCGCGGCTCCGAAGCCCGCTCGTCAGCAGCCGGCGAGTCTCGCCGCGAGCAAGCTGCGGCAGGAGTCCGCCGACAGTCCAAGGTCACCCCGCGGACGGCCCGGCTCCCGCAGCCTCGCTGGCGCGGCGCGGGGGACGCGGGGCCGAGCGCCGCCCTGCCTCGCCCCACGGCGGCGGCTCGCGGCCGAGCGGACGGCGTCCCGGCTGAGCCTGCCCCAGCCGCGGGCCCGCTTCCCCACTCACCGGCCGCCCGAGACCCGCGCCCGTGACCCGACAGGCGACCGAGCGCCAGTGACGCCTCGGACCGGGACCAGCTCAGACTGCGGCCATCTTTGTTCCGGGAAGGGGTGGGCCCGCGGCTGGGGCGCGCCACCTCGCCGCGCTGACGCCGGCGTCGCCATTTCGCGTCCGGGCGGAAGCGGCCGCCCGAACGCTACGAGCCCACCAATGAAAAGGCGGCGCGTTGCCCCGTGACGCCCGCCCGCCGCGGGTGTGTCGCTGGGCTGCGGGCACCCTAGGACTGGGTGCCACCCTCCGGGAGCGCAGCCTGGGACCCACGGCGCCCCACTCGGCCGCCGCCACGGCCGCCGACAGGCGCGGCACCCCGGGGCTGCTCCCTGTGCGCACGCGCCGCCGCCGCAGTGCGCACGCGCCGCCCAGGCAGGCGCGGCGCCTGCGCTCTCGCGCACCGGGGCCGCCGCGGGTGCCATGAAGCTGCCGCGGCGCGCGTGGCGGCGGCGCGCGGCGCTGGGCCTGGGCGCGCTGGCGCTGGGCGGCGCAGCGCTGCTGTTCCTGGCGCGCTGCTCCCCCGAGGGCCCGGGGGCGGCGCCGGGCCGCGGCCCAGCACCTGCCGCCGCGCCCGCGCCCGTGGCCACCGCCTTCCTGGCCGTGCTGGTGGCCAGCGCGCCCCGCGCCACCGAGCGCCGCAGCGCCGTGCGCAGCACGTGGCTGGCGGCGCGGCGCGGGGGCCCCGGCGACGTGTGGGCGCGCTTCGCTGTGGGCACGCGCGGGCTGGGCGCCGAGGAGCTGCTTGCGCTGGAGCGCGAGCAGGCGCGACACGGGGACCTGCTGCTGCTGCCGGCGCTGCGCGACGCCTACGAGAACCTGGCCGCCAAGGTGCTGGCCATGCTGGCCTGGCTGGACGAGCACGTGGCCTTCGAGTTCGTGCTCAAGGCGGACGACGACTCGTTCGCGCGGCTGGACGCGCTGTTGGCCGAGCTGCGCGCCCGCGACCCCGCGCGCCGCCGCCGCCTCTACTGGGGCTTCTTCTCGGGGCGCGGGCGCGTGAAGCCGGGGGGCCGCTGGCGCGAGGCCGACTGGCAGCTGTGCGACTACTACCTGCCCTACGCGCTGGGCGGCGGCTACGTGCTCTCGGCTGACCTGGTGCACTACCTGCGCCTGAGCCGCGAGTACCTGCGCGCCTGGCGCAGCGAGGACGTGTCCCTGGGCGCGTGGCTGGCGCCCGTGGACGTGCAGCGCGAGCACGACCCGCGCTTCGACACCGAGTACCGGTCGCGCGGCTGCAACAACCAGTACCTGGTGACGCACAAGCAGAGCGCGGCGGACATGCTGGACAAGCACCGCACGCTGGCGCGCCACGGCCGCCTGTGCCGCCGCGAAGTGCAGCTGCGCCAGTCCTACGTGTACGACTGGTCGGCGCCGCCGTCGCAGTGCTGCCAGCGCCGGGAGGGCGTGCCCTAGGCGGAGGCCTCGCGCCGCGGCCACCTGCACTCCCTGGCCCCCAGCCCCTGGACTGGCCCTGCGGGGTGGGCTTGGTGGCGCCCGGGACCCCACTCCTGTGCCCGACGCTGCGCACTGCGGCCGTGGACTCGGGGTCTGCGTTGCTGGCGAGCACGAGCCAGCGTTCCCTTTGGCTTGTTCGTGTGTGTGCGTGGCGCGGGTCCTGGTATCTCCCAGATCCCCTTCCACCTCGCCGCCGGGATTCGGACACGTGGGCGGGAGCGCGTGGTTTGCAGGGGAATCGCGGCACCGGTTCCGGAGTCTGCAGCGGCGGCCGCCGTAGCCCCTGCCCTGTGCACCCCGGGCCCAGGCTCCGGGAGGCGGAGACCCAGCTGTGGCCCCGCTCCTCCGCCTGCAGCTGCCCGAGTGGGGCGGGGTCCAGCGCTGGCCTGCCTCCTCGTGTCCATTCGTTTGGATGCTCCGGTTTGCGCTGCTTTTGTTGGAAGAAGCATCCAGGACCTGAAGGGCTCCCGCAGTCCCGGAGGGCGGTGCCGGGTCTCCAGGCAGCCACCTCGGCAGCCAGCGCCACTGCCCTGCACAGCCCTGCCCTGATCAGGGTCCCTGAGGTGACCGCGGTTGGTGGCAGCAGGGCCAGCAGGATGAGGCTCTGCCCCCCCGTGGTGGGGTTAGGCCCTGAGCTTGGGAAGGGTGGGGAGGCTGACGCTGGCCGAGGACCACAGGGCAAAGCGGGGCTGAGCCAGGGTCCACACTGCCCGGTCTCTGCTTGGCTCCGGGGTCCATCCCTCTGCGAAGTCCATGAGTTTACTGATGGTTCCGGGGAAGAATTCTGATTCCCAGTGCCAGAGGAAGCTCTGTGTGGCCGGGCCCAGCCGGGTGGCGTTTGCTCTGGGGTTCGGCTACAACAGGCCAAAGAGCCAGTGCTGCCCAGGGGAATGGACGCTGCGTCACGGGCACAAGCACCGAGCAGGACAGCCTGGGGACTGGTGAAGCGGCCGGCTCCCTGCTGATGCACCTGGGAAAGCGATGGACGATGGCCCAAGAACTTGGGCCCCTGCCACCCATGTTGGAGACCCAGATGGAGTTCCCGGCTTCTGGCCTCCGCCTGGCTGTTGTGGCCACTGTGGGAGCAAGCCAGCATGTGCCAGAGCTCCCCCTGGCTCTTCCAAATAAACAACTCCAGTGAAACAACTTGGGCTGTGGTTAACACGGAGTCGGCACTCCCAGGATGCGTGGGAGACGAGGCCTCACGCCGTGGCCACCTGCTCTCCCTGGCCCTGCAGGGTGGCCCCCGTGGCCCCCTGCCTCTGCTCCCACCCTGTGCTGGACGCTGGACACCGCGCACTCGCTCTACAGGCTGTGTAGCTGTAGTGCTGGCCACGGCCTCCTCGCGGCCATGGACTGGTCACAGCGCCCCTTCCTGGTCAGCCTTCCTGGCTCCCCCGTGCTGTCTGGATCCCTGTCCCCGGAAGGCAGCAGGCCCCCAAACTCGTGGAGGACCTTAGGGTGCACAGCAACTTCCTAGGCCAAACATATCTGCTGTTGGGAGAGGGTCCGGGTAGGGGTCAGACCCAGCCCCGCCCTGCAGCAGTGCCCAGGGGCCCTGCTCCCCTAACTGCCTGCCTCTGATCCCAGGAGGTGACAGATGGCCAGAACAAGGCTGCCGTCCTGGGGCAGTAGCACGAAGACCACCTACTCTGGCTGGGCCTGGCCTCCACAGAAAGGCCCTCAAAGCCTGTGCCCGGCATCCTGCACAGGCTGGAGACAGGTGTTCCGGGACCGGCAGGGCTGGTGACCTGCAGGGAGGGCTCCGCGGGGCCCAGACGTGGACTCGCGGCTTAAAGGGTCTGAGGAGGGTGGGGCTGTGCCACAGTGGGCTGAGCCGCCTGCTTCAGCACCAGCATCCCACCTGGGCGCCAGTTCGAGTCCCGGCTGCTCCACTTCCCATCCAGCTCCCTGCTAATGCACCCGGGAAAGCAGTGGAAGACGGCCCAGGTGCTTGGGCCCCCGCAGCCACATGGGAGACCTGGAAGAAGCTCCTGGCTCCTGGCTTCAAATCGGCCCAGCTCCAGCCATTGTGACCGTTTGTGGAGTGAACAGATGGAAGATCTGTCTTCCTCTCTCTCTCTCAAATAAATAAAATCTTTTTTTAAAAAGCAGGTGGTCCTGTGTCCACAGCTGCCTCCAGTGCCCATCTTCCTTCTGGCCCCCACCTTGCTGCCGGCTCACACACAGGTCGCAGCAGGACAGCCTCGGGATACCTGGCTGTTACACAAGGCATGCCATCACAGCAGGAGCCCATGAATCACTGCCCCCAAACCCTGCCACGCAAAGATCTTTTGTCCCCACATCTCCTGTGCCCACCCCGCCTGCCCGGCACACGCACCAGCTAATGTGAGGGGGCCGTCTCCGTCCCTGACCCCAGGGCAAGGCCTCTGCCCACCTGGACCCAACCCTGGGGGGCCAAGAGGCTGCAGGAGATCCTGGGTCACAGAGCCGGGCATGGCCTGCACTGGCGTCCAGAGGGCAGGCTGGCCCAGCCCAGTTCAGCCAGAGCCCGGGCAGGCCTGCTCTGTGGGCGCGACTAGGTTCCTTGCTGCCTCCCAGGTGGAGCCAGTAGGGGCCCTTGTGGGAGGCCTCTCGCTCAGCCCAGCCAGCAAACTCCAGCTGCAGGGCAGGCTGCCTCAGTGTGTCTAGGCCAACACACAGCCCCCTGCACAGGCCCCAGAACCCAACTATGGCCACCTCTGAGCTACCTGACTGCTCAGCCCAGGGCTCCTGCCCCTGCACCCAGGGGCCCTGGTGATTCTGTTTGGTCCCCGGGCAGGACTCCTGGACATGGGGACCCACCCACACAGACATGCAGCCACTTGGGCCCTTGTGTGGGCAGCCATGCCAGGGCTCCCCAGGTCTCAGAGGAAGCCAAGCTGCCCACAGGCACAGAGCCGTGGCTGCAGGAGGCACGCGCAGGCTCCCCAGCTCCTGGCCACCCTGGTCCTCTGGGCAGCTGATGGGAGTCAGGAGTGTGCCCTGGGACTGGGGGGCACGGCTGGGTGCTGGCGGTCCTAGCCCAGCGGGGGCAGCGAGGCAGAAACCCCACTGGGTGAGGGCCTCAAAGGGCCAGCCTGGCCTGGCTGCAGCCTGCCCTGCATGTCAGCACCCAGAGGACCACAGGGTTGGGAAGTCGGGGGGGTGTCTACCTCCAGCAGGTGGGGCTGTGGATGGGAGCAGCCTCCTGACGGTGGGCCAGGAGCCCCCAGCCCTGACCCCGCTGCAGACACGGCTCCTGGCCCAAGGACTCTCCAGCCACTCCGAGCCTGAGGTCCACATTCCTGTCTGCTTGAACCCAGGAGGGCGTGCCAAGGAGGGGGGCTGTGATGTCCCAGGGCCAGCAGGGGCTGGTCAGGTCCAGCCAGGCGGCAGTCGCCCCCACGCCCAATCCGGGCTCAGGAAGGGGTTGCCCTATCGAATGCAAGCCTGGCAGGGTGGAGGTGTCCCCCGTGCTGGCCATGACTGGGCAGGGGGCCCACTGCTCCTCAGTGGGGCCTGGGGGCAGGGGTCTACCTGAGGCGGGCCAGCTCTGCACTGGCCTCTCAGGGCCCAGATGGGGACAGGGGAGCAGTGGGCACTTGGGTCAGCCCAGCTCCAGAAAGGAGGGTCCAGGTCAGAAGCAGCGCCCCGAGGGGGCGGCATTCTGTCCTGCAGCAAGACCTCAGAGGCTGGGCGTGATAACAGCGCAGACCCTGGGACCTGAGACCCGGCCCCTCCAGGATGGCCCCCCATCTCTGTGCTCCTGTCGGCTGGGGACAGCACATTCCTGGGGAATTAGAGTGGCTAACGACCTGGGGTGGGCCTGGGAGTCCTGTGTGCCCGTCTCTCCTCACCTCTGCTCTGCAGGGTGCTCGCCCAGGGAGTGGGGCTGCTCTTGGGGTCCTGTCTCCCTCATCATAGCCCACACAGCAGTAGGACCGGGACCACAGCCACGGCCCCCCCACCTGCTAGCTGGGTGGGGAGGGCTCTGGCTGCTGCCAAGGAACCACCAGGAGCCCTCGTCCCCCGAGCAGCCAGGCCCCTGGGTGGGCACATCCTGCACAGGGTGGGGGCCGCTCCCTGCTGCCTGTGCAGGGGAGGGGGGCCGCCCTGGCAGAGGAAGGGGCTTCTGAACCCCAATACAAACTAGGCCCCTGGGCCTCACTGCTCCGCTGACCCCCAGGAAGGTCCCTCAGCCAGGTCTCAGCATCCTCTTCACAGGACCCCCTGCTCCCTCCTCTGGGAGGCCCAGGGGCTGCCCAGAGGGGAGGGAGCTCCCAAGGCCTGAGTAGTGGGCAAGTGAGGGCGATGCCCCCTGTGCCCTCTTCGCAGGACCAGGCTGGCGCCTGCTGCCACAACACAGCCGAGGCCTCCCCTGTGGCCCCAGTTCCTGACGCCTGGGGATGAGGCAGATGCGGGGACAGGTCAGTGGTCAGCCTTCTGCTGTGCAGACTGGTGCCTGCCTCGCTGCACAGCGGGCCTGGCGTCAGGGTCACAGCCCCACCCGTCACCCTTCCTGCCCAGGTGGCTTCGCGGCAGCCACCTCCCACTCCCCACACCGTCAAACAGGGATCCAACCAGAGCCAGCCAGGAGCTCCATGGAGACCAGGGCCGCCGACACCAGAAGTCGTCCCTCGGTGGTGGGGTTTGCCAGAGACAAACGGGCAGTGGGGCCTCACCCCCGCGGCCGGGGCCTTGGCCAGCAGTTGCTGCCTGGAGGGGCCACCCCGCCCCACTCAGCCACCGTTTCTGAGGGGCAGCAGTGGTCACTGAGGGGCTCGCCAGCTTCCCACGCCGTGCCCAGGGCTGTACGCGCCCCCCAACACCCCGGCCCTCCCTGGGGCTGTATGCGCCCCCTGCCAGGGTGCTGGCACTTGTCCGCACCCTCCCCGGGGCTGCCTGCCAGCCGCTGTCCTGCAGTGTCCAGTAGTGCCCCAGCCATGGGCGTGTGTCCCGCTCCTCAGGGCAAACACAGCCCCCAAGCACAGGGGCTGCAGCTGCCCCTGCCCCCTCCCCTGGCGCGTGTGGCCACCCCAGGGCACGTATGGACAGCTGGCTTCTGCTCCCAGCCCCTCCTCCACCAGCAAGCACAATGACCACGAGAAGCGGGGGGCTGGGGACTCTTTATTGCTGTTGCCACGGGGGAGGGGCATCTCCCCGGCCAGCAGCGCCCTGAGAAGCCTGAGCCACTCTGATGGAGAGCGCAGCTCCCAAGCCGTTGTCTGCAAACATGGAGGGCACTGTCCGGCCTGCAGGCACCCACAGCGGGCGTCAGTCCTCACTTGAGCTGCTCGGGCCGGGGCCCCCCAACTCCCTCCGTCCCCTGTGTCGTGAAGCCCCTGCTGCTGCTCTCCAGGACAGAGATGGCCTCCAGCAACCTGGAGAACCAGGGCCTGGACAGGAGTGGGGTGCTCACTCACACACGAGGGCCCGCACTGTGTCCAAGGCTCGTGGCCTGGCCTGGCCCTGGGGAGAGAGCAGATGTGTGCACAGTGGAGCGGGGGCCAGCAGGGAGGGGCTCAGGTCCCACTGTGCGGGGTAGGGCCAGGGGGACAGCAGAGCAGGCAGTCTCGAGAGCATCCCCGGGAGGGCTGTCCCACCCCTGACCACTGCCCCGCCCAGCTCACCCATACGAAGGCTGGCGGAGAACTGGTAGACAGCGGACACCAGGGCTGCCAATCGGCTGGAGGCCAGACTCAGAACGGGGCCTCGCGAAGGCGCCCTGGGCGGTGGGGCTGAGGGCCTGCAGTGAGCTGCACCGTGGCCTGCCTGGCCCTGCCCGCTGGGCACACCCGTCCTGGCCTGGCTCTCACAGAGGGCGAGGCAGGGCCAATGCCAGGCCTCACAGCCCTGAGCCGCCCTGACCCCGCTGTGCGCATGTTCCCAGCCACTGTCCAGAGGCGTCTGGGCCCCACTCGCCTCACGGGGCCCCGACTCAGTCCCTGCTCCCCGGAGGCGCAGGCACCGGCAGTGGACGCCCCACTCACAGCCTGGAAGCCACGCAGTCCCCCCAGCACCTTCTCATCCACGCGCACGGGGCCCTTCGGCCGGCAGTGCAAGGCCTCGGCCGCCAGCCGCCCACTTGCCCTGTGGGGCAGCAGCAAGTCAGGCAGCCCTGGGAGCCGGCGCTCCATGGCCTCTGTAGCAGGCAGGATGGCCGGAGGTCAGCGGTCTAGCCCTGGCCTCCCTCCAGAAGGGTGGAGGCAGCCTTACCTCTCAGTGCCTCCTGGAATCCCACAGCACGGCCTGCAGCGCGACCTCTGCACGGGGGGCCTCACTGGGGGCAGGTGGGAGAGTGGGGTCTTGGGGTGGCCACACAGGGGCCTGGGCTCAGGCCAGGGGTGGGGCAGATGCAACCCAGGGGCTCACCAGCTTCTTGTCCCAGCCTCGGCACGGTTCCTTGGTGGCCCGTGGTCTGGGCGGAGGGGCGAGGCTCAGCAGTGTCGTGGGCATCTGAGGCCTCTAGGGGCTGCAGGCACAGATGGACAGAGCTAGAACTCTGTCCCCTGGGCCTCACAGGCTCCTCCCTGCTGCTCCCAGACAGGAGACAGAAGGACCTGTGACCTCCCTGAAGATCCAAAGCTAGGGCGGGCAGGGGCAGGGCCTGGCGCCTGGGCAGCTCAGAGCATGGACGGGGACACAGGCAGGTCCTCCCACCAGGGCAATGGCTCCAGGAGCTGCCCTCAGCAGTCTCCCAGCTCAGGCACCACCTCAGGGGAGGCCTTAGAACCCCGTCCAGGTGGCCAGTAGGGGCAAAACTCTCACCTCCACCAAGGACCCCCACGGTGCCCACACACCTGCCCAGGGCCAGCCACAGCCCACACCCCCCTGGGCCAGCCTGTCTGGGAAATGGGGCCTCCGGCTCCGCGGGATGCGTGGGCTGGGCCTGCCCGGATGCCACTGTCCCTGGCCCGGGTCCTAGCAGTGAAGAAACCGCCCAAGAGGGCACGTGCCTGAAACGGAGATGGACCCCAGAGCAACAGCAGGTGCTGGGACTTGCAGGCCACAGGTCTCCAGGTCAGGAGCGCCTCCCAGTGCCAGCCCAGCCCAGCAGGCTCCCAACGCCCCTCCCCCTCCCCAAGCTCCCTTCCCAGGCCCCACAGCCATGACCCGGGCTGCCCACCCAGATGCACCCAGGGCCTGCAGGGAGGCGGCCCCAAGCCCCAGCCCAGCTGCACCCTCACGCGCCCCTGCTGCTGTGCGTACCTCGGAGGGAGCTGGCAGCCCTCGCCGTGAGCAGCTGTGGCGCTGGGGGCTCCATCTGCTCGGAGGCTTTCTGTGGCCTCTTGAGCTCACGCTGGGCCCCGATGCCCCCGAGCCACAGAAGGGCCACAGCCGCGGCCCAGGCCCAGGCCCAGCACACGTGGCTGCGGGGATCAGCCTGTGCTCACGGGGCAGCAGCGTAGAGGTCCCAGCGCGGGGGCGACCCCGGGCACACCTGGCAGCCGCCTGCGCCCCTCTATGCAGAGCAAAGCAAGGGCGCCCCTCTGCCCCAGATCTGGCTCCAGAGGGAGGGCTCCCCCGAGCTCCCCACCCACCCACCACCGCCTCCACCACCCCTCTGAGGCAGAAGGAGCTGCACCGACCCAGGACTTCTCTGGTCCTTTGCAAACAGACCCCTGAACACCCCACTCCCACCGCCTTCCTAGGGGTCCCATTCCAGCTAACTCTGCGGCTCAGCACCTCCCTGAGGTGATGGCTCAGCACCGGGGGGTGGGGGTGGGGGTGGGTGGGGTGGGTGATGGCTCAGCACCGGGGGGGGGGGGGGGGGAGGTGATGGCCCAGCACCTGGGGGAGCAGGAGGTGATGGCCCAGCACCGGCGGGGGGGGGGGGGAAGAGGTGATGGCCCAGCACGGGGGGGGGGGGGCAGGAGGTGATGGCTCAGCACCCCCCGGGGGGGTCCGGAAGTGATGGCTCAGGTGTTGGCAGCTCGCCGCTCACGTGGCAGACCTGAACGGAGTTCTGGCCTCCTGTCTTCTCCCTGGCTCAGATCTGGCCACTGCAGGCATTTGTTAAGATTTCTCTGCTTTCCAAATAAAATGAATTTTGTTAGAGGAACTGGAGCCAGCACTGTGCCATAGCAGGTAAAGTCACCACCTGCAGTGCCGGCTTCCCACGTGGGCACCAGGTGGAGCCCCGGCTGCTCCACTTCCGATCCAGCTCTCGGCTGAGCCTGGGAAAGCAGAAGGCCCCACCCGCGTGCAGACCTGGAAGAAGCTCCCGGCTCGACCGGTCCAGCTCCGGCAGTTGCAGCCATTTGGGGAGTGAACCAGCAGATGGAAGATCTCTCTCTCTCTGCCTGTCTTTGAAGTAGACAAACACACATTGGAAAGAAGAAAACAGAGGAGCCCCGAGGTGGGCAGGCACTGCCATGGTGAGTGTTCCCCAAGTGGCAGCCCCTTCCCTTAGGCTGAGGGACACTGGTGGGGCTGGGGGAAGCTGACCCTTGGCCCTTGAGGGATGGAAGGCTCAGGACTGCCAGCTGCCGCCTCTGGTGGGGAGGACGGCACTGGCCCCGGTGGACAGCATGGAAGAACGCTCCAGACCCTCCAAGGGCAGCAGTGGAGGGTGGGGGTGGAGAGACTGCGCCAAGGCTGACCGTGAGGGCTCAAGGCTTGCCCAGGGCCCTGCCCCCTTCCTGGCTCACTCCAGGGGCAGCACGCGGCTGGAGCTTGGCCCTCAGGAAAGCCCTTTGGCCTGCACACCATTGCCCCAGCACGTGCAGCACTGGCACGGCCTGCACGGTAGCCCCCACCCCACAGCCACCTGCACCACCACCCCATGCAGGCCTGCCAGCCCCCACCCCACAGCCACCTGCACCATGACCCCACGCAGGCCTGCCAGCCCCCACCCCACAGCCCCTGCACCGTGACCCCATCCTTCAAGGTGCAGATACAGTGCTGCCGGCAGCGCCTGTGCACCAACTCCACCCCACTGGGCCTACAATGCATGCCAGCTGGCATGCAAGAGGACCATGCCCACGGGCTTGGGGCTGGACTCTAAGACGCTCACTGCCAAGGCGCATGCGCCCTCGGCCCCAGCACCAAGCTGTCCCAGGTGGGGGCCTCAGGCCAGCTGCTGGCTCCCCTCCCCTTCCGCCTGAGGCGGACAGCCTAGGTGGGACAGACTTCCAACTCCAGCGCTCGGACGGCTGCGCCCCACACTGCAGTAGCTGCGGCGCAGCCTCTCTGCCACCTCCAGGCAGCAGGACGCTTGAGCCCGGCCCACCCCGACTGTGGGCATCTGGGGAGTGGACAAGGAACAGGTCTGTTCCTCTGCCTTTCAATTAATAGGACACACACAGTCCTAACGGCCTGCAGGGACGTGGTGTGCCAGTCAGGGCCACAGGGGGAGGGGAAGGGAGGCAGGAGACGGAGAAAGCCACTTCGTCCAGCAGGACAGCATCACCTTTTATTCAGGGTCCATCTCCACCACTGGCCGGGCCAGGAGCGGAGCTCACGCATCACATGGTTCTGCCACCTCACAGCCCAGCAAACACCCAGGATTCCGAGCGCAAGTGTCCCTGAGCAGGACGTGGACCAAGGCAGGGCGGGCGTCCAGCACGGGCAGGGGCAGCCCACAGGGATCCCCACTGCCACCATGCCCAGGCACCTACCTGGGTCACAGCTCCACACCAGGACCTGCAGCAGGCACACGCGCCCCTGGGCAGGGCTGGTGGGAGGCCCGCCCAGGCCACAGCGGCCCAAGGTGACCCCGCCCCACGGGACGGGGGCAAACCACAAAGGATTTTAAAGGAACTCATCAAAAAGCAGTCACAGAACTGGAGCTCAGCTGCGGCGGCCTCACCACTCGCCCAGAAAGGCCGGGCCTCCTGGTCTTGCGGGCTCAGGGCCGCTGGCCTTCAGGGTGTCCTGTGCGGGGTGGGGGGAGGGGTGCTGCTGGTGATCCAGTCGGTCCCCACGCTGACCGTGCCTGCTCCGACAAAACGGCCTCTCACAACAGTCCCCTCTGTGGTCCAGACGCCTGACCTGGTCCACAGCCTCTGAGGTCCATGAAGCAACCTGGTTCACGTGGGTGGCGGGGGGGGGGGTGCTCCGTGCACAGAACAGCACCGGGGGGACTCTGGGGGCTCCACCCGCCAGGGACAGGACCAGCCAGAGGTTCAGAGGGGAGAGGTGGAGGCAGCCGGCCTTTACCCCCAGTGGCAGGGGCGGCTCCCAGCTGCTGTGTATGGCAAAGGACAGCACCTTGTGGTCAGAGTGAGCAGGTTAACTCTCACTCAGCAGGAAACAAGGCAACCACAGCTCTTCTGGAAGGATCTTCCTTATTCAAGACACATTGTGAGCGGCTGGGGCCAGACCCTGCCTCTCCGGATCCCACCACCCACGGTGGCCCCACGGGGCCTCAGCAGGACGCGGCTGTACCACCACCACGCATGCAAAGTATCTGACGGGCACTGAATTTTATATTTTTAAGTGACCAAATCTAATGAAATGAGAAGCAGGTCGACTCCAACAGGTGCAGAAGACAACACAGGAAGACCGCGGCCTGCCAGCCCGCCGGCCCCGGGAGAGAGGAGGGAGCCGGGGTTCTCGCGCCTCCTCCAAATCAAATTACACGTTTTGGTTTTTGCTTTTCCTTTTTAAGTTTTTAAAAAGCTAAACCCGGGATCCCAGCAGTCTGCCCCGTGCTGGGCAGCGTGTCCGGCCCCTCCATCGGGCTTGGGCAGCAATCACTCCTGTGCTATGCTCCTCAGCACGTACTTGACCGTGTAGGCGAAGGCTGCAAACCCAACTATGACAAACAAGTTCGCCAGGGCGCCGCCCAGGAGTCCATGGTGCCGATGGGCTTGCTGCAGCCCCGCAAGGTTGGGGCCGGCCCCCGGTGCGTGCCCGTTGAGAAGCGGAACCCCGTTCTGGCCATGGTGCACCTCCCCGTCTGGAACCACGTCTGGTAAGGGGAGCGTCTGGGGCCTGCTACTGAGTTCGTCTTGTGCTTTCTGCTTCTGTTTGATTTCCTACGACAAAACACCGAGAGGCCGCGGTCAGGCTGTGTGAACCAGGTCCCGAGAGACAGCTCCAGGGAGGGCGCCTCAGGGAGGCACGGCCATCTCAGCCAGCCCGTGCCGCAGACTCTGCACTCAGCGCGATGCCGGACCGAGGCCCCAGTCACCGGTGACCCAGCCAGACCCTCAGCGGTCCAGCGGGCGGAAGGTCACCAGGCCCGCAAGCTCCACAACCACATGGCACAGGCCTGGCCCCCAACATGGCTGCCCCTCGGGCTCCAGGTGGAGAGGCCCCGGTGGGCACGAGGACCACTGGGCCCTGTGAGACGCCTGCAGCTATGGACGCTCGGGCACACACGTGTGATGGGTTTCTAAGGCAGGGCGGCGACACAGACTCCAGCCGTGCTTCCTCCTTACCTCCACGACATCAGGAAACAACTCGCAGAAGACCTTATCTCTCAGGTTAAACGCTAGGCTCTGCACTGCCAGCTGCCTCTTCTGGGGAGAGAGGGGAACATTAGCCAGAGCCACCTTCAGGGCCTCTCAACAGACTTCCGAAAGGCCGGTCAGGTCTTCCTCACGGCAGGCTGGCTCACGACCCCGCCCAGAGGAGGGGGCACAGCAGGGTCAGACCCCCGCCTCCAGCCCCCTCCCAGGTTGGGGGCACGTGCACGGCAGTGGCAGGCCTGCGAGATCTGACGCGCGCAGAAGCCCAGGCAGAGACGGACGCTGAGACCACGCTGGGGCCACAGCTGAGTCACACAGAGCAGCGTGGTCTCCGGCACACGGCGAAGCCTGCGGCGCCTCTGCCTGCTGTGGAGGAAGGCATCCCAGGCCCGGGGCAGCCACACCAGGTGCAGGTGCAGGTGCAGGTGACGGGCGCCCCACATCTCACCGTGAAGTCCGAGGTCTCCACGCTGCCCAGGGTGGGGCCTTTCTCCACCATGAAGCTCAGGAGCCCAGTCAGGATGGTGGACACGGACCAGGCTGGGTTCCACGTGTCGGGGTGGAAGTCCGTGATGGAGAGACACAGCCTACACGGAAGGGGCTCCGTGAGCAGACGCAGGCACGGCCCTCGGCCACGGCTCACAAAGCACAGCAGCACCAGGAGGCGCCTTACCTCGTGTTGCACTTGAACCTTCCATTGGGAGTTATCATGTAAATACTAGGAGGTTTAAAAGGAAATTCTCTAGGGAAAATTAGTTTTCCATGATAATAGCCACCTGTATCAAGAGAAAGGAAGCAAAGAACGCTGCCCATCGCAGGACCCCACAGCCTTCTCAACCCACAGTCCTCCCCAGGAGGCCAGACCACCCCCACCCCCCCCCCCCGCCCTGCAGGAGCCCCAGCTGACGCTGGACAGCCCCCGAGGGCCCACACAGCTCTGGTGCCTTAGGGGCGTGGAGGGGCTCTGGCTACAAGATTTAAAAACGTTCACCACTTACTTGGAAAACACTAAAACCACAAAGAACAGGAGAAAACACCCAGCACACGCCCCTCGCCACACGTAACCACCACCCGTTTCGGCGCACACTCTACACGTTTGTTTGATGAGGATTTTCATGTGCACCAACCGTGCTGGAACTCCCTGGCCACGTGACTTCCCATGATGCACTGGCAAACACGCCACTGATCACACGCACCCTGCGGGGCTCACAGGCACCCTCCAGGGCTTGTCACAGTGACACGCCCTCTGCACGCATCTGCGCAGCTGCTGCCCCACAAGGATTCCTGGGCCACAGCAGAGTGCAGCAAGGCCAGCGGCGCACTGACGGAGTGCACGCCTCCTTTTACGCGGCGCCTCCCACAGCGCCCCCAACCCGTCCCTGGCAGCACCGCACAAAACCTCCACACACAGGCGGACAGGAGGCTCAAGTCCAGGGCATGTCCCAGCTGGCCGTCGCCCCGGGTAAGCCTGCGGGACAGCGTCTAAGCCGGTCAGGGGCCTGCTGCTGCCAGCTCTGCGTGACACGGAGGACGGCTCAGCCTCGCCAGCTGTCAGGAGATCCGGGGTCCTGGGCCTCCCACGGCCACCTCAGCTCAGAGCTGCTCCGAGGATCCCAAGACACCAGGTGCCAGCACAGAGCAGTCTCTTCTGTTCACGCCCCCCCCCCCCCCCATCTGACCCAGCAGAACAGCCTCCTTCCACTCCGCTCTCCCCAGCTGTAACCCCGCCGATGCCAGGGGCTGGCGGAACCCCGACCCCCACCATGCGCCTGCAGACACGCACACTGCAAAACCAAACCCCACCAGGACCTTAACTTGCACGAGCCAAACTTAAAGAACGTTGTTTACAAATCAAAGATGCTCAACGCACAAGGTCCACCGAGAATACAGAACTGGCCTCGTCCTTACCTTCATAAGGGGTCATCTCAGGGCCTCGGACGACATAGTGCCTGAGGGAGAGAGAACATCACGTGGCATCTGAGGACAGTGACTTCCCCAAGGCCAGGGCTGACGGACTCAGATTTTCAGCCCCTGCGCTGATGGGTGACAGCCACAGCAGGCCCAGGCCCAGATGCACTTTCCCTGCTTTCTGACAGCACCACAGGCTGTCCCCTCTCCCTTCTCCACGAGGCACGTCTGTGTCCACAACACAACATGCACCAAGCCGATCCTCCCTCGTCCCTGAGATCAACTGAGACGGGGACCTCCAAAGTCTTCCATGCTCCAGCCCACTCCCCAGATGCCTCCGACAGCCAGGGCTGGGCCAGGCCAGCGCCGATGCGGGAGGCAGATGTGCTCAGGAATGACCGCAGTGCGCCAAAGGCCCTCCGCTCAGCTGAGCTTCTCAGGATACGTCACTAGGATGCGCTTGTAAGTTTACACACCAAGGGTAACGGGGCACTCACTGCTGTGTCCCACACCCCTCCAACTGCTGTTCTTGGAAAAACCAGAGACGGACAGCCAGCAGTCTCACACAGAGCCAAGCCTCAGAACAGAGGCTGGGGGAACACGGCCCCCACCCGGAACACAGGAGCGCGGAGAAAGCAAGCCGGCGGTGCGTGTCCAGTGCAGGATCGAAACCCCGGGTGCCCACCGTGCCTGTCTTGACTCCAGCTCAGCTTCCCGCTGTTGACGGCCCCACACAAACACGCTACCTGCTAGCTAAGGGCTTCCGGTTTTGTCTCAGTTCCCATTTTCATTTTATTTGGAAGTCTGAAAAGCAGACACAAATCTTCCATCCACTGGTTCACGCCCCAGATGCCCACGACAGTCAACGCTGGGCCAAGCAAACCAGGAGGCAGGAACTCGACCAGAGTCTTCCCCGAGGGTGGGAGGGACCAAGTACTGCAGGTGCCACCTGCGGCCTCCCAGGGTGCACACCAGCAGGACTAGGTCAGAGGCAGGGCAGGGGCCAGTGCTGTGGCACAGTGGGTAAAGCCGCCACCTGCAATGCCAGCGTCCACATGGGTGCTGGTTCGAGTCCCGGCTGCTCCACTTCCGATCCAGCTCTCTGCTATGGCCTGGGAAAGCAGTAAAATGATGGCCCAGGTCCTTGGGCCCCTGCACCTGCGTGGGAGACCCAGAGGAAGCTCCTGGCTCCTGACTTTTGATTGGTGCAGCTCTAACCGTTGCAGCCAGTTGGGGAGTGAACCAACGAGCGGATGGAAGACCTCTTTCTCTCTCTGCCTCTCCTTCTCTCTGTGTGTAACTGACTTTCAAATAAATAAATAAATCTTTAAAAACAAAAAAAGATGCAGGGCACCAGGACAGCCCCATTGCACCCAGCGCCCACCCTAGCTGACAGGGGGACTACTGTCCTTGGGATTTGTTCCAGAACACTGTCCTGCAGCCTGTGGGCGTCAAAGTACACATCCAAGTTCCTGATACGAATGGCACAAAGCATTTGCACAACACCGCACGCATCCTCCTGGCAACTGTCAGTCATCTCGGGGTCACTGAGACCTGAAGGCGCACGCTGCGTGCGCAGTGGTCACACTGTGCTGTTCGGAAAGTGACTAAAAAGCCTGTCGATGCCCCATATTCAAATACTTTCCATCCGAGTTGGTTAAATTCACAAATATGGAACTCACAGACAAGGAGGGGCAACAGTACTCAAAAAACTGTGTTAGGGACCAGAACAAGGCTGGCTTAGAGCAACACACGGGGCTCCCAGGAACGTGGCCTTAACTTATTGCTGATCCCAACTACCTCAGAAAACGGGGACGAGAACGCAAGACCCCAGCGGGGGCAGAGGAGAGGGGACTGGCCCTTGCGCTCAGAGCCTGTGGGCCTCAGCACACCTCTCAGAACTGTCAGAAAGTTCTCTCCGCTAAGGAGGGCGACACCCACGGAAGCCAGAAAAGCATCTGTGCAGGCCTGAGCCTGTGGTGGGGACCACTGCCCACTGCGCAGAGGACGCCCCAGGCTGACCGTCTACAGGGACCACTGCCCACTGCGCAGAGGACGCCCCAGGCTGACCGTCCACAGGGACCACTGCCCACTGCGCAGAGGACGCCCCAGGCTGACCGTCTACAGGGACCACTGCCCACTGCGCAGAGGACGCCTCTACAGGGACACTGCCCACTGCGACAGACGGACGACCCCACGGCTGACCGTACAAGGACACTGATGCCCATCTGAAAGCAGAGGACGCCCCAGGCTGACCGTCCACAGGGCACCACTGCCACTGAGCAGAGGACGCCCCAGGTGACGTCCACAGGGACACTCGCCCACTGCGCAGAGGACGCCCCACGGCTGACCGTCTAAAGGGACACTGCCCCAATGCGCAGAGACGCCCCAGGCTGACCGTTCCCACAGGGACCACTCGCCCACTGCGCAGGCGGAGCCCCAGGCTGACACTGTCAACAGGGACCCCTGCTCCACTGAGCAGAGGAGCCCCAGGTATGACAGTCTACGGGGTGACCATGCCCACTGTGTAGAGGACGCCCCAGGCTGACTGTCCGCGGGGACCACTGCCCCTGCTCGACAGAGGACGCCCTCAGGCTGACCGTCCACAGGGGACCACTGCCCACTGCGCAGAGGACGCCCCAGGTTGACCGTCTACAGGGACCACTGCCCCACTGTGTAGAGGACGCCCCAGGCTGACTGTCCGCGGGGACCACTGCCCACTGCGCAGAGGACGCCCCAGGCTGACCGTCCACAGGGACCACTGCCCACTGCGCAGAGGACGCCCCAGGCTGACCGTCCACAGGGACCACTGCCCACTGCGCAGAGGACGCCCCAGGCTGACCGTCTACAGGGACCACTGCCCCACTGTGTAGAGGACGCCCCAGGCTGACTGTCCACAGGGACCACTGCCCACTGTGTAGAGGACGCCCCAGGCTGACTGTCCGCGGGGACCACTGCCCACTGCGCAGAGGACTCCCCCATGGGGGAGGGGTCCCAACCAGTGAGGATGTTCCCAAGAATCGGCAGAGGTGAGCCACTCATGGAACTTATCCTCATATCCACTGACCGTGTGCTGGGGCCACAGCGTACACTCAGTGTCAGGGACAAGGAGAGCTCGGCCCAAGGGGCAGCCAGTGCCCAGGGGCTCCACCCCACCCCAGCAACCTCCACCTCTCTACGCTGGGAAAGCCAGCCTCCATCCAACCTGGAAAACAACCCCCAGTTTGTTTTAATTCAGTTGACTCTCTTTTCTCTGCATTAAAAAATTCAAAAAGTGGGGCCAGAGCTGTGGCATGCTGGGTAAAGCTGCCGCCTGCAGCGCTGGCATCCCCTATGGTCGCCGGTTGGAGTCCCAGCAGCTCCACTTCCGATCCAGCTCTCTGCTGTGGCCTGGGAGAGCAGAAGAGGGCTAGGTCCTTGGGCCCTGCACCACTTGGGAGATCCAAAAGAAGCTCCTGGTTTCGGATCAGCGCAGCTCCAGCTGTTGTGGCCAACTGAGGAGTGAACCAGTGGATGGAAGACTCCCTCTCGGCCTTTCCTCCTCTCTCTGCCTAACTCTGACTTTCAAATAAATAAATAAATCTTAAAAAAAATCAAAGAAAGTATTTTCTCAAAGTCAAAACCCAGCATCTTTCAAACAAATGGGTTTTGGGGACTCAGTTTGCATTTCATTTCTGACATCACCACCAGCAAACCTGGGAACACCGAGGCTGCGCAGACCCGCCCTTTCAGCAAAGCTGCCAGGGAGCGCAAGGTCCGGGGCACAGGTCCTCATCAGCCCCAGGGTCAGGGTCTGGCCCCACCACACACGCTGCCGGGCAAGACAGGCTACTTCCGCCACCAGAAGCAAAAGGCGGGGAGCCCAGCGGTGCCGTTCCTCCTCCGAGCAGCGGCCGCGGGCCCCGCACACCCAGAGCCCCCCAGCAAGGGCTCTCGTCCAGCCCTGCGTCCGGTGTCCCTGGCCAGCGTCCACCCACTCCTGAGGAAGACACAGAGCTGCTTCGGCGCCGGGCCGGCACTCACCACTCCAGGATGTTGGAAGGCAGGGGCTCGGCGCAGATGTAAGGCACCGGGTCTTTCTTGATGCGCAGGTAGTCCTGCTTCAGCCTCTGCGTCGCGGTGGTCGGGGCTCTCTTGTTGCTGTTGCTGCTCATCTGTGAAGACAGCCGGCGCTCGCCAAAGCAGCAGGTGTGTGACCACGGCTCTCCACCCTCAGACCCCGCATCCTTCTCTGCAGACCCTCACGGGTCTGAGCCCCAAACCCTGATGTGTCCATTCCAGGCCCTGAGGAGTCTTTGTGTGTCCTGCAGTGACCATCTCCTCACACACATCACTGACACGCGTCACGGACACACACAGCATGTCACCAACACACACAACACGTTGCCAACACAAACACTGGCACATACATGTCACCGACACGTCACGGACACACACGATACATTGCCAACACAAACACTGACACATCACCGACACATCATGGACACACAGAACATGGGTTGCCAACACTGACACACACGTCACTGACACACACACACCATCAACATATAACATGTCACTGAAAAAAAGTCATTGACACACTGCCACTGACACACAACACATCACCTACACAACATGTCACCATCACGGACACATCACTTACACACATCACCAATACATGTCATCAACATATAACATGTCACCAACACGCAATGTCACCAACACATGTCATGGACACACATTACCAACACATCACTGACACACAATACATCACGGACACACACATCACCAATACATGTCACCGACATACAGAACACATCACCAACACAAACACTGACACACATGTAAACCTACACACAACACACCACTGAGCACAGGTGCCGAGGGCGCCCTGGAAGCTCTCCCCCCCCCTAAAGCACTCAGGCGGGATAAGGCAGCCATCATGAACGGGACAGGCTGGGGAGAGCTGAGGCCAGTGTGGACCAGCTCTAGAGGGCAGCTGTGTGTCCTGAAGCCCCCAGAAACCTCACACCAAAGACACGGGCGCATGCCCAAACCAGCCTGCCACCCAACATTCACCACGGGCCACAGGTGCAAGCAGGGGACAGGGGAGCCTCTCTCGGCGGCGTGAGAGACTCAGAGGCGCCCGCTGGGCAGAGGCAAGGTGTTGTGTTCCTGGGACAGCGAGCCTGGGCAGTGAGGGGTGGGGATGAAACTGGTCAGTTAGCCAAGCTGCGCCCCAGAGGGCTTTAAGCTCTTCTCTCAGAAAGGCCACGTGGGGCCAGCACTGGGCACAGCAACCCATACAAGTGCCAGTTCGAGTCCTGGCTGCCCGTCTTCCAATCCAGCTCCCTGCGAATACCCCTGGGAACGCAGCGAAGATGGTCCAAGCACTCGGGCCCCTGCACCCACATGGGAGACCTGGATGGAGCTCCAGGCTCCCAGACTGAGCCTGCCCGAGCCCCAGCCATTGCAGCAACTTGGCGAGTGAACCAGCAGATGGAAGACCTTTCTGTCTCCCCTGTCCCCCAAACCTGGCTCTGTAAGGAAGCAAAAGAGGGTGGGCGGGAGGCCCATGCTGATGGCCACAGCTCAGCACAGGGCGTCCAGGACAGCAAGGAGCGCTGGGCTTGGGGAGCAAGAGAACAGAGTGCCGCCAGGACACCAGGGCCCCCAGCTATGCCCCCGGGTTGAGTGGGTGGTGACAGGGACACAGGCTCCCCACTGCCAGACCTCGGAACAGCCCCAACTCAATGTACCTTTCAAATTTTTATCTGCTTACGTGAGACAGAGTGTTCTCACCTGCTGGTTCACTCCCCAACCTATGGGTGGGTCAGAGTTGGAGCCAGGAGCTGGGGACTGAACCAGGCCTCCCACATGGGCGACAGCGGCCTGGTTCCTTGAGCCATTGCCCCTGTCTCCCAGGGTCTGCATCGCAGGAAGCTGGAGCCAAAGCGGGGAACGAGACACAGGCGCTGCTCTGTGGGCTGCAGCCCCCCTCACCCGCCCCGCACCCCTTTTCCATACCAGAGTTCACCGTCTTCTTGAGATAGAAAAGCAAAAAAGTCCTGCAGCTAAAAATAAAGTGTGAAAAACACTGGTCTAAAACACGACAGCGAGAGGACACGTGGGGATAGGCAGGATGGAGACCAGGGCAGGAGCAGGAGGCCAGCACGGCGGCGCAGCGACACCTTGTGACGGGTCAGTCCCGCCCTGCCCCGCCCCCTGCAGCCTCTCCAACCCATCTCACAGGGCACTCCCCAGCCAAACGCTTTAAAGATGGCCTTGGACATCAGGGGCCGCTGGCAATGGCCCAGTCAGCGCAAACCTGACCTCAACCCCATGCCAGCCTCAGGGCCTGTACACTGCGGTTCCCTGGGGACACCCACACACACACTCCCTGGCCCCCCTGGCCTCCCCACGGCCTCCTCTGCATCTCCAGACCACGGGCCCCGTCTGGCTTCTCCCTCCACAGAGCACAAGACGCTGGCTGTTGGCAGCTCTTTGCCATGATCAGGGCCTGCAGAGTGAGACTTGCTCAGGGCACCCACACAATCCTCTCGTGGGCCTAACCCCAGGACCACCGCCAACCCCTGTGTCTCCTCCAGGGGCCCGCGACCCTCGTTCCCACCGCATCACTAACAGCACATCAGCCTCCAGTCTCCACCCTTCAGCTGTCTCATGCACTCCGGTCAGTGCCCAGTGAGACCTCCCGCCACCCCCACAGCCCTTCCACGCCCCAGCCAAGCCAGCGAGCATCAGCCCTGCCCCGGCCAGCTCAGCCCGTCCTCAGCGCCCCCGTCACGGCCCGGCTTCAAACCCTGACCCCTTGGCTGCCTCCCGGCCTGGCTCGAGAGCCACGGGTCCCAAAGCCCACCGGTGGACTCCAGGCTCTGACCCTCCTGCAGGAGTCTGCACCAAGAGCAGGGCCACCGTCCAGTCCACTGCCTCGCGCTCTGGCTCAAGATGCCCGAGGGGCCAGGGCTCAGCCCCTGCCCACAGCCTGGAGCAGAGCCACTGCCACACTCGCTCCAAAGCCAGCTCCACGCACACAAAACCATTCAGGGGCCAGTGCTGCGCTGCACACGTAAGCCACCTCCCGGGATGCCGGCAGCGCTCGTGGGCGCCAATTCAAGTCCCAGCTGCTAACGCTCCTGGGAAAGCAGTGGAAGACGCGAGTGGGACGGGGCTCCCGGCTCCGGCCTGGCCCACAGCCCTGGCTGTCGTGGCCACTCGGGGAGCGAGCCAGCAGACGGAGGCCCCTTCCCTGTCCGCCCGCACCCAGTCACTCCGCCTTTCAGATAAAAAACCAAACCTCCAGTACAGGTTAATTCACTCTTCCCCGTGTGCGACCGCGTCTGAGCCGGTGGGCGGCCACCAGTCCCCCCGCTCGGCCACCCCCAGCCTCCCGCGGGACGCCCACTGCCGCGGAGGACGCGTGTCAGGCTCCCGGGCACGGACGGTCAGCGTGCAGCCAGAGGCGGCCCACGGCGCGCGCGCGCAGGCTGCACCCAGAAGCCACCCCGGGCCCCTAACTCAAGCCGCGGCGTGGCAGGCCCTGGCTGTCAGGCGGGCACGGGCCAGGTCTCCCGGCCGGCGCGGCCCTGCCTGGGAGCGGAGCACTGTGCACCACCGCCTACAGGCGCCCTGGCCAGCGGGGGGCCCCCACGTCTCCTGTCCGAGCCGGGCACGCACACTGGCGCAGCGGCGTTCACCCGAGACGGGCTGGAGAGTGACCCGACGTCGGGGGCCGGCACAGCGACGCCAAGCACGGGCAGGGCCCTGCCCAGGGTCCCCGGCCCCGTCACACCGCGGCACCCCGGCAGCGCGGCCCCGAGTCCCTTCTGCCGGGACTGATGGGGCGATTCCGGTCCCAAGTTCGGGGCGCGGCGGCCCGCATCGTCCTAGAGGTGCCCGCAAGCGTCCCACCAACACAAGGCCCCGAGTGGGAGACCAGCCCCGCGGCCACCCCCGGCCCGGAGCCCGCCGCCCCGCCTAACCGACCCCTGGCTTCGCGCAGGGACGCTCCGGGCCGGGGCCCCGCGGCGGCGGCGGCGCGAACGAGGACGGGCCGAGTAGTGCCCCGCGGCCCCGGCCCCGGCCCATCTGCCCGAGGCCCCCGCCCGCACACGCTCACCTCTCCCCGTCGCCGCGCGTGGGCCGCCGCCGCGCTCAGGCTCGCCGTGGTCGAGGCCGGAGCAAGGTGCGGAAGCGTGGGGCCTGCGACGGAGAGAACCGTGCCGCGCCGCGCCAGGACCCAGCCCTCCGCATCCGCCGCCGCCGCCGCCGCCGCCGCCTCAGCTTCCAAGATGGCTGCTCCCGGGGCGGGGCCCTGGCCCGCTTCCGCTTCCGGTGTGCGGGCCTCTGGGGCGGCCGCTCTAGGCGGCCCGGAGGACGTCGCCCGCGTCTCCCTGTCCCCGCCAGCCCCGGAAGCTGCGCCGGCGCCAGGAGAGCAGTCAGCGCGTGCGCACAAGCGGACAACTCCGCGGGGCGGGGTCCCAAGTGGTGGTGGGGAGAGCGGCGGGCGCGCTGGAAGGCGGCTTCGTGGCTTCGTCCGCCTCCCTGCGGGCTGGCTGATTTGACTCCCCGGAGCCTCGGGATGACCCCGACCGCCCTCCGGCCTGCGTGCGGGAAGCCGTCTAGGCCACCCCGCCCTGCAGTGTCCTCCCCGCGGGCCGCTGAGGGTCCAGCGCTGGCCTTCTCTGTCCACTGTGAGGCCATGGGACGTTCAGCCGTAAAAATGACCGAATTTCCCGCCGGCCCTGAGTGGGGTCCCGCTCACAGCCCCGGCCGCACCGCCCGAGTTCCTCCCGCCGGCCGTGCAGGGCCGCGCGGTTCAGACCCCGGGGCCCGCCGCTCGTCCGGCCCCGCGCCAGGATCAGTCTGGGGCTTGCTGCGGGCCCCGGGCACCCTGATTTCCTGTGGTCCAGCCGTGGCCACGCCTCGGGCAGAGTTCAGGCCCGGGGGCAGAAGCGGAGGAGCGTCCAGCTGTCCGTGGGTCCGTCCGTGGGAACCTGGCCGCCCTCCCCCGCCCCATCCGGGGTCCTGCCACCCCTACGCAGGGCGGCCCAGCTGTCCTGAGGGTGGACAGTTTTGTCCAGGAGGCCGCCCAGGTCCTGGATAGAAGCAGAGGCAGATCCTGGGCTCACCCAGGTACACAGCAGGGGCAGGCCTCTCCTGCCTCGGGGTGGCCCTGTGTCCGCGGGTACCAGTGGACTTGAGAGGCAGCAGGGGTCCAGGGCCCCAGCCTCCTGGGTGGTGCCCCAGGGAGAAGCCGCCCGAGCCGGGAGTGGCCTCTGGTCAGCGGGATCGAGGCCACCCAGCAGTCTTGCCCCAGAACTGGTGGCCTTAGCATGGAGACCAGGACGGAGAAGCGAGGCTGGCCCCAGGGGTCTGCTGGGATTTCCAACCCAAAACTGCCCCTTGGAGGGGAGGGTCCGGTAGGATGCCGGGGCAGCTCTCAGAAGGGGCTTCCTGCCGGCGGCTCCACGGGTGCCAGGGCAGCAGGCAGAGGGGACAGCGGCCTTGGCGAAGGAGGCCGCCCTCCGTGTGGTGACGGCGGCCTAGAGACCCGGGAGGGTCAGGATCAGGAGGGGTCCCCAAGCCCGCCTCCCCCAGAGGGCCTGTCTGGCCAGGGCTTGAGGAGGGGCCCAGGGGAGCCCCGTGCTCTGTGCTGGTCCCACACCAGCACTGGCGATGCCCTGCAGCCCGGGGTACGGGGGGCACAGGGGAGGAAAAGACGTTCAGGCCCACGAAACACCAGGCACCTTCAGTCCCTGGGCCCGGCCTGGGGGGACACTGGCCACCCCTGGTCACCTCTGTGGTGACCCAGTGAGCTCAGGGGCTGGGGCCCAGCAAGTCGGGGCCAGCGCCCCTCCTGAGAGGACTGAGGGGTCCACAGGACGCCCACCAACAGCTCCTGCTCCTGTGTTTTTTTTAAGGTTTACTTATTTGAAAGGTGTGGGGGCTCTGGGTCCCCGGGACCCGCGAGACTCTGCTCCGGAAGACGCGGGACACGGACGACTCTGCCCACAGCGTGACCCCAGCGCGCAGCACAGCCAGCAGTAAGGAAACAAGCCGGGTCGGTCTCCAGGCCCGGCCACCGTCCCGCACCACCAACAGGTGGAGGCAGACGCCTTTGGTGACTGCTGGGCCTGGGCCTCACGCCGAGTCCTTCGCTGACTTCCTCCTGTGTGGACAGTCCCGGATGCCAGCTCCTGCAAACTGCCCCTTCTCTGTTTCAGTCGCAAGACGGCGGCGGAGAGGCGAGTGCGGAGCTGGCGTTTCTGGGGGTTTGGCAGTGCAGTGCAGATTCCTGCGAGGAGAAGAAGGAGACCACGGAGAACGCTAACCCGGGACAGCAGGTGAGCGACACAAAACTTCGTGAAGCTCCAATGACGTGGGGGAGCGAGTCGGCCTTGAGTGTCTGCTGGCTGATCCTGGCCAGGCGATCGCCGCCCGTAACTCTTGCAGTCTTTGACTCGTTGGTTGATCTATCCCCGCTTGGTGGCCTGAGACTGTGGGAGTCTCGTTGCCGTTTCGCAATGAACTCCTGAGTCGAGATGGAGTCACTGAGGGCGCACCTGCTGCTGTTCCTGCCGCGGGAGCCCAGCGTGCTAGCAGTGAGCTTCCGACAGACCTTTCATACGTTTGGTGTGATGACAGAAACGCGATAGAAACCGGATTCAGTCCAAGGCCCAGGCAAGTTGACGGGATTCAGAGGCTTGGGCTTTGAGACAAAATCATTGTAGACTGCTGGTTCTATTGAAAGGAACGGAATGGATGAGGCAGGCAGTCCAGGTAACTCTGGAGGGTGTGTTGAAGGTAACCGTCCAGGGCACGTGGGGCGGGGCAGTGCAGGCTCGCTCTCTGCTGGCTTCCCCGAGTGTGGCGGTGGCTTTGCCGTGGCTGAGGGCAAAAGAAAACCATTGAGTAGCTGCGGGAAGGTTGCGGAAGTGCCGTGTCGGGGACCAAGGGGCGGGAGGAGCCAGCCCCCGCTGTGCCGAGTTAAAGGGTGTCAGCCCCGTGCCGCAGGACAGTCTGAGAGTCCTTAGTTTCGGTTTGTTGAAGTAAATACGCGACGAACTGCACAGGATGTAAAGAACCCTGGCGGGCCCCAGTCGATGAACGTCAAATTCCGGATGTTGCCGGATTGTCCTCCACAGGAACCCCAGGTGTCCCCCCGCCAGGGTACAGAGCCGCGGGGTCTCTCTGGGAAACTGGGCTACGTCTGAGAAATTAACAATAAGGGGATAACAGACACTTTCAGAATGATGGAAAACGAGTGTAACAGCAGAAAAAAATCCCGTAAGGAATCCAGTCCCACTGTTGGCATCGTACCCCCCCACTGGGGGATAGCTCCAAGCACGGAGCTGGCCCCCAAACATGGTGGAAGCGTTCGGTATCCGGGCGAAATGCTGAGTTCTTTCCTTTCATCGGGAAGCTGGGGCCGCCGTCCTCGGCAACAGGAGCAGGCGCAGCCCAGCCCACGGTGCGCAGTGAGGGCGGGTGGGGTGGTGAGGTGTGCTCCGGCCCCGACGCACGGGTCAGAACGGCCGTCACCCCGAGGAGCAGTTCTGCAGGCGCCACCGGGTCCCCGGGGAAACGAGGGCGCCGTCTTCCTCCCTGCGGGGAAGTGAGGGCGCCGTCTGCCTCCCTGGCGGGGAAGCGAGGGCGCCCTCTTCCTCCCTGGGCAGATCTCTCGTCTGGGCCCGCGTGGGGACTCTCCCTCTGCGTTGCTTTTTGCTGTTTGGGCTGTGGCGATGACAGAGTCCACGCCGCCATTTTCTCGGCCGCCGGCATCGACGCTGGGCCCCCGGTTCGGAGCCTTTCTGGTCTGGTTACTCGAAGGGGGCACCAGACCCTTCTCCAGTGTCTGAGAAGACAAGACCATGGCCTCGGCCTAGGGGCCGGAGGGCTCAGCTCCCGGGAATGCGGTAGCTCGTATTCATGTGTGTTGTATGTAATCTATTTATAGTATGCAGGTACATTTACCCCCTCACCCCCGACTTCGCCGATTGGAAGTGTTTTTCTGCCCGCGACACTGGTTCTCCCATAGGTAAATTTTAAAATTAAGAGTGAAAAGAGCGGTAGCCCGGAGGTTTTGGGGGTTGTCCCCTTAATTCCCCCTTTTCTGTTTTAATAAATGAGTTTTAAGTGTACGATTGGCTCGTTCAGCAATGGCTTGGCCCCGTGGATTATAAGGAATACCCGTTTTGTGTTGAATTCCCCATTCCGAAAGAAATGTAATCAGTTCGTTAGTGGTGAAGGCCGGGCCGTATCTGCATAGGCAAAGCCCACGACAGCAACGTGGCAATGGCGGCAGTGGCGTTTTCTTGGTTGGAGGCAACAGCCCGAAGAGAAGATGAATAAGTATCAATAATATCCGCTATAAGTTTGGGCCTGGTGGGGCCGGCGCTGTGGCGCAGCAGGTTAATGCCCTGGCCTGAAGCACCGGCATCCCATATGGGCGCCGGTTCTAGTCCCGGCTGCTCCACTTCCGATCCAGCTCTCTGCTGTGGCCTGGGAAAGCAGCGGGAAATGGCCCAAGTCCTCGGGCCCCTGCACCCATGTGAGAGACCTGGAAGAAGCTCCTGGCTCCTGGCTTCGGATTGGCGCAGCTCCGGCCATTGCAGCCATTTGGGGAGTGAACCAGCGGATGGAGGACCTCTCTCTCTCTCTCTCTGTCTCTCTCTCTGTCTCTCTCTCTCTGCCTCTCCTTCTCTCTGTGTAACTCTGGTTTTCAAGTAAAAAAAAATAAAACTTTAGAAAGAAAGAGAGAGAGGGAGGGAGGGAGGGATCCCAGCTGAGGGAAAGTGACTGTCCAGTGTGCCAGTGCAGTCCGCCAGGGCCACTTGGAGATGACGGCTAAGTGTAAGGCAGGCTGTAGGCCGACTTTGTTCAGAGGTGGGACAGATCTACGAGGGTTGTGATGCGCTCACGGCTGCTGAAATGAGGTGTCTATGTTGTCCAGACGTGAGGTTTAGAACCCGTAGGACGCACACGCGTCCACTCCAGAGGCTGCCAGGCTGAGCAGTCACTCCCGCGGTCGGTCTTCTGTGTCGACGGCCGTGTCGGGGGCAGCGAGGGTCTCTCGGGAGGTAGCGCTCACACTCACCGTTCTTCAGCCAACTGGAGTTCACACTCAGCGGCTTTGGAAATGGAGCGAGGGCTGTTGAGATCAGGGTCGCCCTCCAGCAGTTTAAATGAATTTTTAATGCATAGCCAGGGGTGGGGCGGAGCCAATTAATATCACCCAAGAGCCTTCGAAAATCATTTATTTAGGGCGTTATGTTTCATTTTAGTTTTTTGAGATATAATCGCTGTGCAACCGACCACATACCCAAGAGAAGAGCAGGGAATGTGTGATTGTGTTTTCTCTGGGGCCACCGAAAGCCCGCGTTGATTTAGATTCTCAATAGTGTGTTCAAATGTTTCTGGTGATATTTTTTGGCATGGTGGGATATGGGGCTGTCATCCATGCAATGTATAATACAAGCGTTAGGGTACAAGGCTCTAGCAGGTCCCAGAGCCTGCGCTACGTGGAGGGGACACACGGTAGGTGAGCTCACCATCCCTTGGGGTAGAACTGTCCTCGGTACCTATGCACAGGTCTACATCGTTACATGAGGGAACGGAAAAGGCAAATCTACCCCGGTCCTCAGGATGCTAAAAAACACTCAGTCTACAACGAGAATCTACCAGTCTTTGGAATCCTGGACGGTTCGGGAGTCCCGGCGGCGGCGCCCCCTTGTGGACTAGAGATGCGTTGACAGTTCTAAGGCCGACTAGCGGTCTCCGTTTTCCTAACCAACACTGGTGAATTCCAGGGAGAAGCTGCGGTTCTGCGTGTCCCAGGGGCAGCTGTGTCGTGACTGTTTTTAAAGCCTCTCCTTTGGTGGGGGCTGTTGAGGAGTTCAGATGGGCTCAGGATTTCCAGGTTTCTTTTAGAGGCGAACTCTCCCCAGCGGCCCCTATGTAAAAGCTCATTAACCACTAATTTAGAATTTGCCGCAGGAAGTCCCGTCCCCTCCGGTTTATAGGTAACTCCGTAATGAGAGGCTTTATCAATGCTCCGGTTGTATCGGGGCCTGGGGCTGTGAGACAGTGAGTGCTCACGCATGTCTGCCCTTGATCCGACCTTCCTGTCCCAATTAGGCTAGAAGTGGGTTCCTAACCCACCAACCAGGCCATTCAGTACTTTTCGTGATAGAGATATAGGCTCTGGTCTCCAACATTCCTGCAAAGCGTTTTCCTTTTATATAGTGTTCAAACAGGCTCAGTATTTTCTTCTAGAGCAGTGGATAATCCTAGAGTTACGTCCGTGCTGCCGGGCCACCGGTCCTGGGGTTGGCAGTGGGTTGTCAGGGGGTGCTAGGGCAGTAGCAATAGCTGGGCTATGTCCTTGTTCAAATGTCGTGTTGTGATGACACTAAGTTTGACTGCAACTTCCCCTCCGTAATCTTCATCAATTGCCCCAGCACATACCTAAGGGCCAGACTGCGCGGCCCAGAATGAGCCCAACAGTTCCGGAGGGATAGGGCCAAAATATGCTGCATGGATCTTATCAGGCTTTCCAAGGAAATTTAGTGTGAGAGAGCAGGACGAGGGATGTCCGAGACAGCGTGGTATCAGGAGCCTTAGCTCCATTTTCCTCGGGGCTGAAGGAATGCCACGCCCCCACTGAGAACACCACGCCTCCATTAGGCATACCACGCCCCTATTAGGAACCACGCCCCCATTAGGGACACCACGCCCCCATTGAGAACACCACGCCCCCATTAGCCACACCACGCCCCCACTGAGAACACCACGCCCCCATTAGGCACACCACGCCCCTATTAGGAACCACGCCCCCACTGAGAATGCCACGCCTCCATTAGGAACGCCACGCCCCCATTAGGGACACCATGCCCCCATTAGGCACACCACGCCCCCATTAGCCACACCCCTATTAGGAACACCACGCCCCCATTAGCCACACCACGCCCCTATTAGGCACACTACCACCTGTTCATTTTCCGACTTGTTAACTGGAAGCAGCTCCTTTATTTTCTTTAGATTTACACTCAATAGCCCGTGCTTTCCTTTCTCGCATCTGGGGCGTAGCCGGTCAGGGTGCTTGCCTTCTGGTTCCGATTTCAGCTGTGGGGCCCGCCGTTCTCTGCGGAAGTGACAGGCCTCCCGCAGTTGTAGCACCTTCTCCCCCCCTTCCTACTGCAAAGGTCTCCATGGCAGCAACTTGGCTGTAAGTTTTGTTTTTTTAAGATTTATTTATTTATTTGAAAGAGTTACACAGAGAGAGGAGAGGCAGAGAGAGACAGAGAGGGAGAGGGAGAGGGAGAGGGAGAGGGAGAGGGAGAGGGAGAGGGAGAGGGCGAGGTCTTCCGTCCGACGGCTCACTCCCCAGTTGGCCGCAACTGTGCCGATCCAAAGCCAGGAGCCAAGTGCTTCTTCCAGGTTTCTCATGGGGGTGCAGGGGCCCAAGGACTTGGGCCTCTTCCACTGCCTTCCCAGGCCACAGCAGAGAGCTGGGTCGGAAGTGGAGCAGCCGGGACTCGAACCGGTGCCATATGGGATGCCGGCGCTTCAGGCCAGGGTGTTAACCTGCTGCGCCACAGCGCCGGCCCTTCGAGCCTATGTTGTGACACGCTTTCATATAATCCAGCACATTGCCTGACTCTTTGATAGGGCGGATAACGGCCTGACAGTCCTCACTGGCATTTCCGTAAGCTAAGTGCCCTGGCAAGACAGCAGCTGGGTCTTCGTTTGGGGTCATCTTTCACTGGTTACGTTCTCCGGTCCTTATGTCTCAGTAAATGAGCCACCAGCGGTGCCGCTGCTTACTCTTGTCCAAGCTTCTGCAGCAACTGTTTCGCCCAGTGGGTCGCGGGGCGCTGAGTGTGAGCGAGACCTGCCCCGGTCCCGCCAGGATCTCAGACGCTGGATGCGCTGGGTTACCGCACGCCGGCTGTGCGTCCCCCGCCAGGATCTCAGACGCTGGATGCGCTGGGTTACCGCACGCCGGCTGTGCGTCCCCCGCCAGGATCTCAGACGCTGGGCGCGCTGGGTTACCGCACGCCGGCTGTGCGTCCCCCAACCACATTTGCCGCTGACGGAACTGTTGGTCTGAGAATACAATTTTGGCGAGCGTGTAAGTCAGACCTTCCATCCAGGCACGCAAGAACTCAACACAACACTGAGAGCAGGGCTGTCCATAGTGCATGCGTAGTTAAAATTCGCAGTAACATCAAAACCCATCCCTGTGCAGGCATCGTTTCCCCATTGGCGTGAAAGCTTCCCGGGAAAGCGAAAGTCAAAGCGGCCGGGAGCTCCGTGGGAAGAGCGTTGCACGCCCAACGTTGGCTACGCGGCTCGCCCGCAGTGCTGTGAGACCATGAGCCCCCAGAAGCTGGAGGTGGGGCTGGCGGCACCGGTGCCGCAGGAACTGCAGGGGCGCAGGTTGGTCCAAGCATGACTTCTCTCTGGGCTCGGACCTCAGGCAGGTCTCGGTCTGCGAGTTCACACTCGCGGATCGATGTGGTGGTTTCCTTTCCCACACCAACGTCTCTTCCTTCTCACCGCTGAATGACTGTTTTGAGCGGAGCCCACGTAACCCACCGCTGCCGATACGCCTTCATCACGTTAGCTTTAACCGTCCTCAGGAGACCATGGGCTACACTCAGGAACCACAAACTGACATTCTAACTCCGTAAAAAGTGGTGAATTAAACGAGTCACCGGTGCCTTCCTTACCTGCTGCCCATGATCTGCTTACCCCACCAAGCGGGAGAAGACGTCCCTGTTCCCCTGTTTGGGCGCCAGTTGTGGGGGCTCTGGGCCCCCCGGGACCACGCCCCCTTCAGGGACACCACGCCTGACCCGTCTCCTGGCCAGCAGCCCAGCCAGTCACACCTCTGAGCCTTGAACTTCCAGAGAGGCCTTGGCCATCTTGCCCTTGCATAGTGGGGCCAGGGTCGTACAGAGGGTGACAGCTCTGGTCGTGCGGGCCAGGGTCAGCCCAGGGTCAGCCCAGGGCCAGCTCTGCCCCAGCGTGACTTCCTGTCCCCCTCAGGGACCTCATGGTGGCTGGCTAGCTCACCTCACCGCCCCTGAGAGCCAAGGCTCCACCAGCTGGGTCCGGGAGTGTGGGGAGGGAGGGAGTGTGGGGGGTCCCTCTCTCCCAGTTCCTCAGTGCCAGGAGCCCTGAGTCGGCTCCAGGGGCTGGGCCCCCCTCACACCTGTGACCAGGCCACAGGGCCACCCTGGGGACATGTCGGGGCCTCACAGACAGGAATCTGGGCCGAGTGTGGTGTGTGGTGTTAGGTGTGGCTCAGTGCCGTGGGCACAGGGTAGCAGGTGCCACCTCCACGCCCAGGCTCCTGGTGTTCCCACGGCTGAGCGGCTGCACCTTCGATGATGGCATCTGGGCCACACAGCGCCCCGGCATCACCCATGGTGAGTGCCCAACACGGCCAGTAAGGGGGCAGGACTGGGCCAGGTGGTCTCACCCCTCACCCTTGGCTGCCCCCGGGCTCAGCGGGGTCCTCAGGGCTGAGCAGCAGGTGCAGCTCCCCCTGCTGTCCATGGAAGAAGCATCCGGGGCACCGGGCACCCGGCAAAACCACGCGGCCTTCCTGGAGCCGCAGGACACAGAGCAGAAGGGCTGCTGTCTAGCCCCCCACCCGGGACCTCCTGTCCCTGGTGGCCTGCAGGTGGAACAGGCAGGACTGAAGCCCCACCCCCACCCCACAGGCCGAGGGTCGCTGCCTCAGGAGCCCCTACAGCTGCGGCAGACAGTGGGGGGGGGCATGGGCGTGGCCCAGCGTACAACGCCTCCTATACCACGCAGGTGAATCGAGGATCCAGGGCCTGGGGGCAGCCTGGGGGCAGCCTGGGGCAGCGGCAGGAAGGCCAGCAGCTGATGGTGGAGACCTGCTCCTGCAGCTGCCACGTCTGCCCCCTGCCGGCAGGAGCCGAGTACTGCAGCTGTGCCAGCAGCCGGCCTGGGGTGAGGAGCGTCCCCCCAATCCCCAGTGCGGGCCCTAGGGACGCTCTACCAGGACCTCTACCAGGACCGGGAAACTCATCGCTCCCCTGCCTCTCTGGCCGCCCTAGGCCCTGCAGCTGAGTAGGGGATGCTGGGGTCGGGGGTCCTGCCCTAGAGAGCACAGGACATGATGGACAGGTCTGTCTTCCAGCTGGACTGCCAGGTGGCCATCGGCCACCTCTGCTGGGAGCCCCTGAAGGGGCTGCTGGGGGGTCCCTCACACCTGCTTGTGGTGCCTAGAGGGCCGGGTGGGGTGGCAGTGGTCCCAGCAAAGCCTCCACATGCAGGACTGGATCCCGGCAGTCTTACCCAGCAGGCTCCCAGGGCCAGCGCCAGAGGTGGGTGTCCCTCCCTCCAGGGGGTGTCCTGAGCCCCCCTGCCCCCGCAGAGACCCTCCACCCTGGAGGTCTTGGGCGCCCAAGCCGAGCAGCAAGGCAAGGCCCCAGCAAGCATCTTCCACCAGGCACTCCACTCCCCCCGTGGACGAGCCCCCCCGCCGTGGACGAGGTCCCCTCCCCGTGGACGAGGTCCCCTGAACTCACTCCCCCCCGTGGACAAGGTCCCCTGTACTCACTCCCCCCCCCCGTGGACGAGGTCCCCTGTACTCACTCCCCCCCCCGTGGACGAGGTCCCCTGTACTCACTCCCCCCCCCGTGGACGAGGTCCCCTGTACTCACTCCCCCCCCCCCCGTGGACGAGGTCCCCCTGTACTCACTCCCCCCGCCGTGGACGAGGTCCCCTGTACTCACTCCCCCCCCCGTGGACGAGGTCCCCTGTACTCACTCCCCCCCCCGTGGACGAGGTCCCCTGTACTCACTCCCCCCCCGTGGACGAGGTCCCCCTGAACTCACTCCCCCCCCCGTGGACGAGGTCCCCTGTACTCACTCCCCCCCCCGTGACGAGGTCCCCTGTACTCACTCCCCCCCCCCGTGGACGAGGTCCCCCTGTACTCACTCCCCCCCCCGTGGACGAGGTCCCCTGTACTCACTCCCCCCCCCGTGGACGAGGTCCCCTGTACTCACTCCCCCCCCCCCGTGGACGAGGTCCCCCTGTACTCACTCCCCCCGCCGTGGACGAGGTCCCCTGTACTCACTCCCCCCCCCCGTGGACGAGGTCCCCCTGTACTCACTCCCCCCGCCGTGGACGAGGTCCCCTGTACTCACTCCCCCCCCCCCGTGACGAGGTCCCCCTGAACTCCCCCCGTGGACGAGGTCCCCTGTACTCACTCCCCCCCCATGGACGAGGCCCCCCCCCGTGGACGAGGTCCCCTGTACTCACTCCCCCCCCCCCCGTGGACGAGGTCCCCTGTACTCACTCCCTCCCCATGGACGAGGTCCCCTGTACTCACTCCCCCCCCCCGTGGACGAGGTCCCCTGTACTCACTCCCCCCCCATGGACGAGGTCCCCTGTACTCACTCCCCCCCCCGTGGACGAGGTCCCCCTGAACTCACTCCCACCCCCCGTGGACGAGGTCCCCTGAACTCACTCCCCCCGTGGACAAGGTCCCCCGTAACAGTGGCTGGCAGACCCGGAGGGCCTGGGCTGCAGTGGCTCCCTGGAGGCCGCCACAGTTGGGCCTGCACGGGTGCTCAGCTTACGCAGCTCTGCCCACTGCCCACAGGCGCCACAGCTGCTCTCGGCCGTGGCAGCCTCTGGTTTGCCCGCCTGTCCTGTTGTGGAGCTGCCGGACGCTCCACAGGGCCGGGTGTCCCCACCAGGGCCAGTGCTGCTGCAGGCCATCGCACACCACAAGGGAACGGCAAGGGGGTCAGGTCTCAGTGGGTGGCGTCTCCCACGGATGCTTCCGGGGGCTCAGTGGAGGCCAAACCCAACGCTGGACTCCCAGCACCTGAACCATCCCTGCGTGGCCATTGGCTCCTCGATGGAGGGCAGCGGCGCGGCGAAACCAACCGGGTGCGGACCAGCCCAGCACCCCTAGGCCATGGGCAGCAGCCGTGCCCACACACCGGCTTACTCATCAGGCCCCGCTCTGGGTGCCATGCCCCAGGGCAATGGTGTGTGTATGGGAGGAGCTGCCCCACGCAGGGACCCTCTGGCCTGGTGTGTCCACACCTGTGGACAGGTGTGTGCACAGGCCAGGTGCAGCTGCCTCAGCCTCAGGGTGCACCGACAGGTCTCAGGGCCCCTGGGCTGCTCTGTACGAAATTGGTGGCTGCACCTGGTGATCACCCACACCGGGTGACCCCAGGGCACCCTAACACCTCCTTGAGAAGCTAAAGCAGCCAAGCTGTGGGGACCAGGGGGCCCCGGCTGCAGGGCCGAGACCAGCCTCGGGCCATCCCTGCTGGCTGCGTCCACCCCTGCTCCCACCAGGGGACACTGCCTACACCAGAGAAGTGGGGGTGTGGGGGAGGGGGCCAGGGTGTCAGGAACAAGATTTCGCCAAAGCAGCCCCAGGCTCCCGCCATGTGTCCCAGAGTCGGGGCAGCGCCTCGGCCCCCACTCAGGGCTGCCCTTGGGGCAGGCAGGGGACCCAGAGCGCGACGCCCTCCGTGCGGAGCTGCGGTCAGCAGAGCAGGTGGTCCAGTGAGCAGGCGGGGTGCAAGTGGCACAGGTTTATTGACGGTGGGTGACCGGCAGGGGGAGGGATCGCCAGCCAGCCCAGGGCCAAGCAGGGTGCGAGGGGGTGGAGCTCAGGCAGGGAGGGGGCGTCGACTCTGCTCTTCGAGGCTACAGCCAGCAGGCCAGGAGCTGGGGCCTGGCCTAGCGCCCACCTGGCAGCCCATGGCGTCTCTCTGGGCAGCATTTGCATAGTGACCAGCTGATGGGCCTTGGCCTGACCAAGGGCCGTGGCTGGGCAGAGCTCCTTTCAGGAGGCAGGAAAGTGAAGGCATCGGTGGTCCCGCATGGTGAGCAAAGGCCCAGCCCAGGGCGGAGGCGGAACGGCAGCCCGCCCCCGACCTGTGGCAGGCAGGGCCAGCGTCCGGGGGCCCTCAGGGGCCCACAGAGAAAAGACGCAAGACTAAGTCAGAAGGAGGTCTTTGTAGAAAACCCGGCCGGCCTGTAACAGAGCGTCGTCCCGGGCGGGCGGCACCCGGGGGCTGTGGGCGGGCAGTGGGCGAGGAGGAGGCAGGCATAGGTGTGGGGCTGCCCGGCACCAGTCCTGGGCAGCCAGCCCCGGGCCCTCGGGACGCCAGCGTCCTGCCCGTGCTGGGGTCACTCAGTGAGGTCCTGGGGCTGGGTCCCCGATGGGCTGCCTCCTGCCCCTGGCTTGCTGGCGGCCAGCCACCAGCCCAGGCCTACACGAGGGGCCTCTGGAGGGGCCGGAGGAGACCCAGCAGGCAGGGCAGGTGGGCGCAAGGCCACACCGCTGTGAGTGGTTTGTGACTAGAGCAACCCGGTTCGCAGGAGGAGGGGTCACCTGAGGACAGAAGGCCCCCAGGGCGGGTGGGGGGCACCAGACGACACAGCACCAGCTGGGGGACCCCGGGGCTTCGGAAGGCTCAGGGCCAGGGTCCCTCTCCCGCCCCTGGGGTCGGGGCAGTGCAAGACGGGAAAAGCAGGCAGGCAGAGCCCCCCACTGCCGGCCAGGGGCCATGGGAGTCCCCAGCCGCCCTAGCTCTCCCCCAAGTGCAGAACGATGAATTCCTGGATGCACCTGCGGTACTGGAGCTCCGTGGGGCTGCTGCCCGCCAGGGGGCCCGGCTGGCCCGGGGGCGCCTCAGCCTCCCGCATCTCCTCTGCCATGCGCGCCAGACGGAGCCTGGGGCAGGGGGAGGGGCGCAGTGTGAGGCCGCAGGCCCCGCCCCGCCCCGCCCCGCCCCGTCCCGCCGCCCGCCCGCCTGCCCGCCCCCGCGCTCACAGCGTGACGATGTCGGCGTTGGCTGCCTGCACCGCGATGCTCAGCGGGTCCTGCTGCTCGTGGTCCAGGGCGTGCTGGTCCGCGCCCCGCTTCAGGAACAGGCAGACGTGGCTGGGGGCGAAGGGCGCGTCGGGGTGTGCGGGCAGGGATGGGCGGTGCAGGGCGGGCAGGACTGGGTGCGAGGCGGCGTGGGGCGGGATGGATGGGGCGCAGGGCGGGCGGGGCACGATGGTCGGTCCCCCGGCCGCGGGGCGGCGGCGGGGGGGGCACTCACCCCGTTCGGCCCAGGAGCGTGGCGTGGTGCAGGGGCGCCCGGCCCCGGCTGTCTCTTTGGTTCACGTCCGCTCCGTTTTGCAGGAGGAATTCGCAGATGATCAGAGAGCCCTGCGGAGCCCGACGCTCAGGCAGGGCCACTGCACCCCAACCCCAGCCCCGGGGCCCCGGCCGGGACGGGCGGGCGCGCTCACCCCCAGCACGGCCTGCACCAGCGGCGTCCTGCCCTCGTCCTCTGCATCCGCCCAGTTGACCTCTGCCCCTTGGGCCAGCGCCGCGGCCAGCGCGGGGAGGTCCCGGGTGCGAGCCGCGCGGTTCGCCAGCAGCCCCGGGTGCAGCTCTCGCACGTCCGTCAGGCCCCAGGCCTCGGCCTCGGCGTCACCGTCCACCTCGCCACTGGACTCCTCGGACTCCGCACCCTCTGGGGGGGGGGGACGCACCGGTCAGGGGGTGGCGGGGGCTGTGGAGGGTCTGCGGCGAGGTGAAGAGGGGACACCCACCCTCCTCTGTGACGCTGTCCACTGTGGAGCCCGCGCCGAAGGCCAGCACGTCGGAGCTGCCGTCCGAACTGCCCCCCAGGCCGCTGTCGCTGCTCAGACCTAGGGCAGCAGAGAGGGAGGCCTGGGCGGAGGGCGTCCAACTGCCCCTTGGGGGACGCACCCACCAAGTGGCACAGGGAGCCCCGCCGGCTGTGAGGACAGCAGAGGAAACCAAGGGGCAGCTCCAGGGAGCCACCAGCCCACCCCAGCACAGGCCTCGGGAAGCCCACCCCTCCCCAGTCAGCAGGGAGGCCACCTGCCCTGGGGTCTCTGAAACCCAAGCAAGGCAGGAGCTCTGAGAGGGACCCAGCCTAGGGCCGCCAGCGCCCTCTGCGGCCCACACCCTCACCCCCCAGCGCCCTCTGCTGCCCACACCCTCACCCCCCAGCGCCCTCTGCTGCCCACAGCCCCACCACCCCAGCGCCCTCTGCTGCCCACACCCTCCCCCCAGCGCCCTCTGCTGCCCACACCCTCCCCCCAGCGCCCTCTGCTGTCCAACCCCACCCCCCCAGCGCCCTCTGCTGTCCACACCCTCAGCGCCCTCTGCTGCCCACAGCCCCACCCCCCAGCGCCCTCTGCTGCCCAACCCCCACCCCCGCCAGCACCCTCTGCTGCCCAACCCCCACCCCCCCAGCGCCCTCTGCTGCCCACACTCCCACCCCCCAGCGCCCTCTGCTGCCCACACCCTCCCCCCCAGCGCCCTCTGCTGCCCACACCCTCACCCCCCAGCGCCCTCTGCTGCCCACACCCTCCCCCCCAGCACCCTCTGCTGCCCACACCCTCCCCCCAGCGCCCTCTGCTGCCCACAGCCCCACCCCCCAGCGCCCTCTGCTGCCCACACCCTCCCCCCAGCGCCCTCTGCTGCCCACACCCTCACCCCCCCAGCGCCCTCTGCTGCCCACACCCTCCCCCCAGCGCCCTCTGCTGCCCAACCCCCACCCCCCAGCGTCCTCTGCTGCCCAACCCCACCCCCCCAGCGCCCTCTGCTGCCCACACCCTCCCCCCCAGCGCCCTCTGCTGCCCACACCCTCCCCCCCAGCGCCCTCTGCTGCCCACACCCTCACCACCCCCAGCCCTGCTCACCCCCGCACCAGCACACATCACTTCCCTGTGCCCACAGGGTGCCACCCTAGCGTCCGCCGCACCAGCCCTCCAGTCGGCCCCCCAGCCCCACCTCCGGGGATGCCCTGTCTCAGCCCAGGCCCTCGGGCGTGGAGCACCTGCCCTTGCAGTGGCCGCCCGCAGGGCAGGGCAAGCCTCCCCTGGCCCCTGCTCGGCTCCCCTGGCGGGGCTGGAGGGCCCCGGCGCACTTACTACGCGGCCCAGCCCCAGCGGCCCCTGCGTCGAAGTAGGAGAACAGAGAGTCCAGCTCGTCCGGGCAGAAGAGGGAGTCCCGGCGGAACCTGCGCTCCAGAGCGGCGGCTGCAGGGCGGGGTGGGGTGCAGAGCGCAAGCTGAGCCCAGGGGCGGGCGCCCTGCGGCCTGAGCTGGGGGTGGCCCCGCTGGCAGCCCCCGCACCTGAGGACAGAGCGGCCACGGAGGGCGGCACCGGCTCCAGCCGACCCTTGCGGCGAGTGGCGGGGGCGTGGGGCGAGTGGTTGGGGCGCCGCTGTTTCTGCGCGCGCCAGCGCCGGGGGGCCTCCCGGGCTGGGGCGGTGGGCAGCTTCCGCAGGAACTTCTTCTCCACGTACTTGTCCTTGATCCACGCCTCCTTGTCCTGCCTGGACCAGGGGCAGACATGAGCCGCGCTCCTGCACCGGGGCTCCCCCGGCCGGGCAGGCCGCGCCCGCTCACCTGGAGCTGCTGGCCGTGGGCTTCCTGCTGCCCAGGCCCTCACACTGGGCCTCGTAGATCTGGTTCACCACGCTGTTTCCGAGCTCACACATGAGCTGGTGGCAGAGGGACGTGCAGGGGTCAGCCCGAGCTCACTGCGCAGCCTCCACCCGCCCCACCGCGCCCCCCCTGCGGGCCCAGCGCCTTGCAGAGCCCACACCCACCTTCAGCAGCTCGGGCTCCCACGAGTCCAGCGTCAGGGACCGCACCTTGGAGCAGTGGACGCCCAGGCTCCTGGACGGCAGGGGAGGGGCTGAGCCAGGGTGAGCGGGTGCGGCTTGCCCCCCCAGCCCCAGGCGGGGACCCCACCTGTGGATGCCCGAGCACTCGATGCAGAGCAGGACGCCCAGGTTGATGCTGGCCCAGCGGGGGTCCGGCTGGCCGCAGTCGCCGCACTGGCCGTTCCCCGCCGCACTCTGCACGCGCTGCAGCGCGCTCTCGCCCTTGGCGCTGCGCTCCCGGGAGTCCGTGGCCGAGTCGATGCTGCTGGTGGACGGGGACGCTGTGCGGTCCAGCCTCTGCGGGGACACGGAGGGGCCACTTGGTCCTGTGGGGCTCCAGCAGGCTCCCTCATGCACACTCACGACACGTACACACTCCCAAATACTGCACACGTGATGTTCACACACGCAAACTGCACGTGCACATGCACGCACACGCATGTTGCATACTCCCAAATACTGCACACACGCATGTGCGCACACCTGCAAATGCCACACACACGTGCACGTGAGCCTGTGCAAGAAGCACTGCATGGACACACGATGCTCACGTGTACATGTTGCACGCACACACGGGGACACGCAAGCACCACATGTACACGCGGACGCAGTCTGCAGGAGCTGTCCCGCCGCAGCACACGCGTGCCGTGCGGGGCACACCTCACTGTAGCAGCTGTCCGGGCTCTCGCGGTAGGCAGAGGCGATGCTGGCCTGCACGGCTTGAACCCAGGCCTGGCGCAGCTTCTCAGAGTCGGCCTGCAGCATGCAGCTCCTAGGAGGAGGGCGCGGTCAGCGCGGGCGGGCAGCGGCTCCCCCGCCCCGCCCCGGGCTGGGCCTCCTCACTTGGCGGGCGACACCACCTCGAAGCAGAACCTGCGCTCCATGTCCTCACATGGCTTCACGGAGCACAGGCGGAGGTCGTCCACCACCACGGTCAACGCGTCCTGCGGGCGGCACCATGGCGCCCCACAGCTCAGCCCCACCGCGGCCCCGACTGCAAGAGGCTTCCAGCTGTCCACTCTCGTCAGAGTCCCCAGCCCGGACACGCCCACGCAGGCCTGACACACCCACCCTCAGCGCCCCACACCCACCCTCACCCCACACGCCCACGCACGGCCTCATACACCCACCTGCCTGTGGCCCCGATGCACCCACCCTCTCCCCGACACGCCCACCCACAGCCCCGACACGCCCACCCTCAGCCCGACGTGCCCTCACCCCGACACGCCCACCCACACCCCGACACGCTCACCCACAGCCCCGACACGCCCACCCTCACCCCGACACGCCCACCCTCACCCCGACACGCTCACCACAGCCCCGACACGCCCACCCTCAGCCCGACACGCCCACCCTCTCCCCGACACGCCCACCCACAGCCCCAACGTGCCCACCCTCAGCCCCGAAGTGCCCATGCATGGCCCGACACGCCCACCCTCACCCCGACGTGCACATGCATGGCCTGACATGCCCACCCTTGGCCCAACATGCCCACCCACAGCCCTGACACTCCCACCCTCACCCCAACGTGCCCATGCATGGCCTGACATGCCCACCCTCACCCCCGACACGCCCACCCTCACCCCGACGTGCACATGCATGGCCTGACACGCCCACCCTTGGCCCAAGACGCCCACCCTCAGCCCGACGTGCCCACCCACAGCCCCGACACGCCCACCCTCACCCCGACGTGCACATGCATGGCCTGACATGCCCACCCTTGGCCCAACACGCCCACCCTCAGCCCGACGTGCCCACCCACAGCCCCGACGTGCCCACCCACAGCCCCGACGCGCCCACCCTCACCCCAACGTGCCCATGCATGGCCTGACACGCCCACCCTCTCCCCGACACGCCCACCCTTGCCCAGGCAGCACCCGCTGGCTGCACACCTTGAGTCTCTTCTGGTAGACCAGCTGGCTGTTCTGAATGGAGAACCAGCGCCTGGGCAGGGTGGGTGGGCACAGAGCTGGGTCAGGCAGGGCTGGCTTTCATCCACACTGCCCGGCCGCCACCTAGGGAGGCTCCTCACCGATTCCACGTCTTGAAGGCGTTGCTGGCCCTCTTGAAGAGGTAGCCCTCCATGACCACGCCGCTGGGTGCGTCCACGTCAAACTCCACTTTGGACTCCTCGTAGGAGAAGTCCTGGGGACGCAGCCGGCCCGTGAGCGCCCCCTGTGAGGCTGGCCCCGGCCCCGTGCTGGGCAGGAGACGCCCGGCTCCCACAGCCCCCACCGCGGTCACAGCTGGGCTCCAGCCACCCCCACCCTGGCCTCGCAGGGCCATCAGGAAGGAAGCAGCCCCTCCCACCCGAGTGCCCGCTCCGGGCGCCTGACACAGGCCCTTTCAGGGTGCCTGCGGCCCTGAGAGGCCTGTGTTCTGCTGCTGGGCAGCGCAGAGGGAGGCCTGGCCACCTGCTCTGCAGGCTGAGCGGGGGCAGGGAGGGACAGCTGCTGCCACTCCCGGGGGGGCCGTGTGGGACAGGACCAGAGCCCCTTAGGGAGCAGACGGTGGGAGGCTCGGAGGTGTCCTTGGTGCTGAAGTGGGTGGTGGCGCAGAGGCCCTGCCTGGTCCCCCCCCAGCCCCCACCCCTCTCACGGAGGCCGCCTACTCACCTGCAGCAGCGTCTGAGGGGCCAGGGCAGGCGCCAGCGGGGGGAGGGGAGACAGCGAGTGAGTGGAGTGAGTGACAGCCCTGCCCCCAGCCCCACAGGGATGCTGGCTCTCTGGTCCCAAAATAGCCGCTCCTCCCACCTGCAGCCGCCCTCGCCCTGGGTGGGGGCCCGGTGCACAGAGCCCCGGAGGAGTGAGCAAGCGAGACCGTGGGGGCCCCCGCCAGCGCACGGGGGTGAGGCTGGCGGCCCCTCCTCCGAGCACACACTCAGCGGGGGGCGGGGGCGGGGGCGGGGGCGGGGCTCACCCGCTGCTGGATGGCGGCGTGCTTGCGTTCCATCTCGCGCTTCTCCACAGCAGAGTCGATCACCAGCTGGTCCAGCTGTTGGGGGGACGTCAGGCGTGCCGGGGCCCCTCCCCGTGACCCTAGCCAGGCCCCACCCCTCCCCCAGGCCCACCTCGGCGGCCAGCTTCTTCATGTAGGGGTCCAGCTGCTGGAGGAGGCTGTAGCCCTGGCCAAAGAAGCTGTGCTGGGCGTGCATAAAGGACAGCATCTGGGGGGACAGTGGGCGGACAGTGAGGGGACAGCATGGGGGGGACAGCATCTGGGGGAGGGGACAGTGGAGGGGGAGGGGACAGTGGGGATAGGCTCTGGGGGAGGGGACAGTGGGGGGACAGCCTCTGGGGGAGGGGACAGGCTCTGGGGGAGGGGACAGTGGGTGGGACAGGCTCTGGGGGAGGGGACAGTGGGGGGACAGCCTCTGGGGGAGGGGACCGTAGGCCAGCGCTGGCCTCACACGGGGACTCAGGACCTCCGCACAGCACTCACAGAATCCAGAATCTCAAACTTCTTCTTGGCCTGCAGGACGTTGATCTGCCAGAGGAAGCACAGGGGGTCCCAGGCACAGGGGGTCCCAGGCACAGGGAGGTCCCAGGCACAGGGGGTCCTAGGCACGGGGGGGGTCCCCAGGCACAGGGGGGTCCCAGGCACAGGGGGTCCCAGGCACAGGGGGTCCCAGGCACAGGGAGGTCCCAGGCACAGGGGGTCCCAGGCACAGGGGGTCCCAGGCACAGGGGGGTCCCAGGCACAGGGGGGTCCCAGGCACAGGGGGTCCCAGGCTGCCTGGAGTTCCTGTACCTGATAGCCCCTCCCCTGACAGTCCCAGAGCCCCGCCCCTGGTGCAGCCAGGGAGCCCCTTCCTCTCCCTCCTCTCCCTCCTCTCCCTCACCTCCCTCCTCTCCCTCACCTCCCTCCTCTCCCTCACCTCCCTCCTCTCCCTCACCTCCCTCCACTCCCTCACCTCCCTCCTCTCCCTCCCCTCCCTCCTCTCCCTCACCTCCCTCCTCTCCCTCACCTCCCTCCTCTCCCTCCTTTCCTTCCTCTCCTTCCTCTCCCTCACCTCCCTCCTCTCCCTCCACTCCCTCCTCTCCTTCCTCTCCCTCCTCTCCCTCACTCTCCCTCCTCTCCACTCCCTCCTCTCCTTCCTCTCCCTCCACTCCCTCCTCTCCTTCCTCTCCCTCACCTCCCTCCTCTCCCTCCTCTCCCTCCACTCCCTCCTCTCCTTCCTCTCCCTCCTCTCCCTCACCTCCCTCCACTCCCTCCTCTCCTTCCTCTCCCTCCACTCCCTCCTCTCCTTCCTCTCCCTCACCTCCCTCCTCTCCCTCCTCTCCCTCCACTCCCTCCTCTCCCTCCTCTCCCTCCTCTCCCTCCTCTCCCTCACCTCCCTCCCCGCCCAGTGCCCACAGCTGACCTGGAGCACATAGTCCAGCGCTAGGTGGCGGAAGCACTTGCGGGTGAGGGTGAGGGCGCCGGTGGCCTCCTCCACCTCATGGGGGCGGTGCCTGGGGGCCTGGGCGTTCCTCACCAGCGACAGCTCCACATCCTCCCGCACTTTGTCAAACTGCTTCTTGGTCTCCTTGAACTTCCGCACGTCCCTGGGGCCCAGCAGCGTTGGTCGGGGTCAGGGGTCAGGGGTCAGAGGAGGGTGCACACTGGCTCCTGACATCCTCCCAGCCCGGGCCCCGGCTGGACGAGACTCAGACTGGACGACAGCAGCCTGACATCTGTGGGGCGTCCCCTGTACCCCAGCCCCCACCCAGTCCTGGCCCCCAGGCCTCCGGGAGACCAGCTCTGCCCTCCTTGCCCCACGCCAGCCCGGGCCACTCACTCTCTGACAAAGTTGTGGAGCTGTTGCCGCACAGACCTCTGGGCCTGGTCAAACAGGATCTGGGGGCCAGGGCAGAGGGGTCACTGGGGCTCCGTCCCCAGGGAGAACCAGGGAAGACCCCGCTTGCCAGCAGAGGGCACTGCCCACAGCTGACCCCAGGTCCCAGGGAACGGCCCCTGGCACCCAGAGGCAACAGCTGTGACCACCTGCCCGCCCCACCCCCCAGACTCTCGGCCCCACCTGGCAGCGCCCGCGGGAGGTGGCAGCAGGGCACGGTGGGGCGGCTTCCACCCGCAGTGCCTGTGCACAGCAGGACTGGGGCAGAGCTGGGCGCCCTGCGGGCTCAGGGGAGCAGGGCAGGGGGCTGCTGGGAGACGCAGGGCCCAGCAGGAGCAGATGGACAGCATGGCTGCCACTGAGCCCCCTGCAGCGGTGGGGCCCACTGCTGACTGTGGGGTCACACAGCCCCCAGCGGTGTGGCAGGAGCTCAAGTGGTCAGCTCACCAGACAGCTGCACCCAGGCAGACGCCCCGAAGAACCTCCAGGTTCTCCTCTCCCTAGCCTCGTTGCGGGGTCCAGCCCGGGGCATGCTGGGACACGGCAAATCCCTAGCTGTCCCAGCCCAGGACACAGCGGCAGGGCCTGCGGGGGCCCAGACGCCCCGAAGAACCTCCAGGTTCTCCCCTCCCTAGCCTCGTTGCGGGGTCCAGCCCGGGGCATGCTGGGACATGGCAAATCCCCAGCTGCCCCCGCCCAGGACACAGTGGCAGGGCCTGCGGGGGCCGAGCCGGGCGTACCATGTGGTAGTTGGCCATCTCCTGCAGGCTGTCGCCGAACCTCTGCAGGCACTCCTGGGGGGAGCAGCAAGAACACGCTGAGGGCACGCGGGGACACGTGACGAGGACAACGACGACACACGTGACGAGGGCACTCAGGGACGGCGACTCCTCCAAGCCCCAGAGCCCTCCCCAGCTGTGGCGCACCGAGCAGCCCCTGCAGCCCCGGGCAGACGCCCACCTGCTCCTGGGCCCAGGCTGCCCCCCCACTTCCACCCCGGCTGCTCACCGAGATGACCGCGTCGCCCTGGCACTGCTGGGACAGATCTCGGACGCCGCTCACGAAGAGCCTGTTGGTGGCCACGTAGGCCTTGCCGGCTTCGATCATGCTGCTGCACAGCTTGACCAGCTGGGGGAGGGGCAGGTGAGGCCGCGGGGTGGCCGGGATCTGACCCAACCCCTTAGTGTCCAGGGCACGGCTGTCTCCCCAGCCAGGAGCAGGCGGGACCTGGATGCTCTGAGACGAGACCCAGGCGGGCAGGGCCCAGGCCCTGGCGTGCAGCTCATGGCCACAGCCCTTCCTGCCTGCCTCCCTCGGCCCCCAACCCACCCGCTCGGGGACCGAGAATCGGGGTCAGTGCCCGGGATGTGTAGAGTGGGACACGAACGGGCAAGGGAGGAGAGAGCCAGGTCCCACACTGGCACACGTGTGCTCAATGCTCCGTCAGTGGCACGCACACACAGAAACACACACGTGTGCACACACATACACATGTGCCCATGTGCGTGTGAATCAGGGAGTCCTGGGAGGCAAGTCCTACCACTCGGCCGCCCCAGGTCCACCCATCCCTCACCTTGTCCAGTTTGGCCTCGGTCTCAACCACGTCTGTCTCTACCTCATCGATGGTGGCCCTGGAACGAGAATGGACACTGTCGGGGTCAGCACAGCGCCTACCCCCACCCCCGAGCCCCGCAGGGGTCCAGCGTGGGAGGGGGCTGCCAGGAACCAAGGTCCAGCTGATCTAGAGCCACAGCCATCAGTGACCGGGACCCCCACCTGGGCTCCGACTGCTACAGCTGGGGACAGGAAGCTGAAGGTGGCACCGGATCCCAAGGACGATGGCCGGAGCCCCAAAGCGGTGCTGCCTGAGACGGGCCAGGGTCCAGCCTCCCAGGACCGTGTCCTGGACCTCTCCTGGGCCCTGGGAGCCCGTGGTGCCTGCCCAGCCCAACCTGACCTGGTGGCTGGCCCCTGCTCTCTGGTTCTGGAAGCCCTGCGGGGCCCCATAGCAGCAGAGGCGGTGGCCTGCATCTCCATCTGGGAGACCCCAGGTGTGCCCACCCTGAGCCCACTCCCCCCACCCGAGGAGGCTGCCAGGCAGCCAGCCAGGGAAGGGTTAAGGCATGACATCACCGGAGAATCCCCGGAAGGCCAGTGGCAGCTGGATGAGGCACGTGACAAACCCCCGAACACACACCCTCTGTCTCTCCCCGGGAACGGGAAGCGTGGAAACTCAGCAGGTTCCCGGCAGCCAGCCGTCGGCTCAGCTGTCCAGCTGGACCCACCTGGACGCCCAGGGAAGCGTCCACAGAGCTGTAGGACAGGCCCTGGCCACAGACCAGGAGCCCCTCACCCCTGGCCACCCCACGCATGGGTGTGGGGGGTGTTCCAGGGCTTCCCAGGTGGGGGGGCGGGGCCGGTGTGTCCCTGTCTTGGGTCAGGAGCTGGGGCCCTGAAGGTCCCTGTCAATCACCCCTCAGCCAGGAAGGACGGAGTCCGGCCCTGTGTCTGCCCAGCCTGGCTCGGGGGAAGGGGACGAGGCTGCAGGAAGCTCTCAAGCTCCTGAGTGGACGCCTGGAGCTGACCCACGAGCTCACAGCGGACGCCTGGAGCTGACCCACGAGCTCACAGCGGACGCCTGGAGCTGACCATCACACTCACAGTGGACACCTGGAGCTGACCATCACACTCACAGTGGACACCTAGAGCTGACCATCACACTCACAGCGGACACCTAGAGCTGACCATCACACTCACAGTGCACGCCTGGAGCTGACCATCCCACTCACAGTGGAGGCCTGGAGCTGACCATCACACTCACAGTGGACACCTGGAGCTGACCATCACACTCACAGTGGACACCTAGAGCTGACCATCACACTCACAGCGGACACCTAGAGCTGACCATCACACTCACAGTGCACGCCTGGAGCTGACCATCCCACTCACAGTGGAGGCCTGGAGCTGACCATCACACTCACAGTGCACGCCTGGAGCTGACCATCACACTCACAGTGGAGGCCTGGAGCTGACCATCACACTCACAGCGGACGCCTAGAGCTGACCATCACACTCACAGTGGAGGCCTGGAGCTGACCATCACACTCACAGTGGACACCTGGAGCTGACCATCCCACTCACAGTGGACACCTGGAGCTGACATGCTCACGGGCACTGGGTGGGTGCCCAACTTGAGCCAGCTCCCTGTCCTGGGGGCCCTCAGTGTCCCCCCTTTCCTGCCGCCCGCCCAGGGCTCTCCCAGCACCTTGGGGATGGGAGGGTGAGGCTGCCCCTCCAAAGCCGTGACTCAGCGCCTGGAGCTCCACCCAGGGAGGGGCTGCCCCTTCCCAGGCTCCCTTGCACCCCGACTCCAGCATCCTGAGGCTGCCAGAAGCCCCTCCCGACCCGGAGCCCAGTTCCCCCTTCCAGGGCTGGGGTGACCCCGATCCGTCACAGACCACATCCCCACCCCACCAAGGCTGCCACGAGGAAGCTCAAGTGACCCCCTCGGTGGCATGGACCCCCAGGGACCCTCAAACTCCTGCTGCTGTGGCCTGAGACAAGGTCCAGGCGGCCAGCGGGGCGCGGCACAGGACGGAGGCCAAGTGGACAGCGCTGGCGCCCCCACGGGAAAGCTGGGGCGCCCCTACGGCCGGGGCCGGCGCTGCTGGGACCCGCTGCCCAGGGCGGGGGCCCTGCGGAGGGGACCCCGAGGCCTCCCCCAGGGGTGCGCGCACGTGTACGGCCGTGTGCACAGGCGCGGGGACCCCTCGCGTGTCCGGACGCTCGGGGACGGGCCGTGCGCCCTCAGACAGGGGCAGGGCCGGCCCCACAGCGCGCCCTCCCCGCCCGTCAGCGCGGGGCGACGAAGCCGCGCACGGCTCGGCCCCACCCCGGCCCGAAGCCCCCCCGCCGCCGGCCGTCCACACGCGCGGCCCCGGCTCGGCCGGACATCTCCGCGGCGGCCGCGCGAGGCGCCCCTCGGGGGCTCTTTGTTCGGGTCCCCGGGTCCAGGGGCGGGGCGCGCCGGGCTTTGTCCGAGGCCGGGTCCCGCAGCCCGGCCGCGCCGCACCCACCGGCCCCGCCGCCAGGCACAAAGGCGGCCGCGCCCCCGCACCTGAAGCGCGGCGAGTCCTTGATGCACTCCTCGAACTCCACCGTCATGGCTGCGGCGGCGCGCGGCGCTCCCTCGGTGGAGGCCCGCGGCGCCGAGCGGGGTCCCCTGCCCGCCCGCCCGCGCCGCGCTCGGCGCCCGCCCGCCCCGGAATGAGGCCGCCGCGCCGCCGCCCCGCCCCGCCTGTCACCGCCGGGGAGCGTCGCCAAAGTGCGCGCCCGCGCGCGCCGCCCGCTGTCACCGCCGGGGAGCGTCGCCAAAGTGCGCGCGCGAGGCGTCGACCGCGTCGGAGCCGCGGGCTGCGGGGGGCGCCGCGCCTCCGGCTCCTGCCGCAACACGAGACGTTTGCCAAAGCCCGCATCTCGGGAGACCAGGCGGGAAAGCAGCGAGTGGCGAGGGCGGCGCGGGGAGACTGTGGGACGAAGGGAAGCGGGAACGAATGGACCACGGACCGGTGGGCGCGCCTGCCTGGGCGCTCCCGTCGCGGGCGGCACTTTGCACGCGCTCCCTAGGCCGGGGCGGGGCGGGCGCATGCGCCGTCCCGGCGGCTGCGTGCGCGCTCCGGGCGCACGTGCGGCCCCGCAGGCTCCCCGCGGCGGCGCCGGCTCCGCGCGCCATGGGCTCGGCTACGCGCTACCTCGTGTACTTCCAGTACGTGGGCACGAGTTTCAAGTACGTCCGCTGCCGTCGCCGCCGGGAGGGCTGTGGGCCGGGCCGGGGTCCTGCGCCCGTAACCTCCGCGCCTCTGCCCGCAGCGGGGTCGCGGCCGTCAGGGGCGCCCAGCGCGCCGTCGGGGTCCAGAACTACCTGGAGGTGAGCCCGGCGGCGGGGAGGGGGCGGCGCGCGCCTCGGGGCGCCCCCGGCCCGGCCGCCGCCCACCTGTCTCTCTGGCCCCGCAGGAGGCCGTCGGGCGGCTGAATTGCGCGGCGCCGGCCACGTTCACCGTGTCCAGCCGCACGGACGCAGGGGTGCACGCGCTCTGCAACACCGCACACCTGGATGTGCCGCGCCGGCCGGGCCGGCCGCCCCTGGCGCCGGAAGCCCTTGTCCAGGCGCTCAACAGGCACCTGACGCACCCGGCCATCAGGTGAGCCCTGGCGCCCGCGGGGGTGGGTGCCCGGGACGCCGAGACGGCAGCCGGACCAGGGGGCCCCACCTGTGCCACAGGGTCCTGCAGGCCTCGCTGGTGCCCAGCGACTTCCACGCTCGCCACGCTGCCACGTCCAGGACCTACCTGTACCGGCTGGCCACCGGCTGCCGCCAGCTTGCCGAGCTGCCCGTGTTTGAACGCAACCTGTGCTGGCCGCTGCGCGCAGAGTGAGTGTCAGGCTGGGGGGCTGGCGGGTCCCAGCGGCCGGCCCGCCCGCTGACCCCGGCTCCCCACAGCCGCCTGGACGTGGCGGCCATGCAGGAGGCTGCCCAGCACCTCCTCGGGACGCACGACTTCAGCGCCTTCCGGTCGGCCGGCAGCCCAGCCGGCAGCCCAGTGCGCACGCTGCGCCGCGTGTCCGTGTCCCCCGCCCCCGCCAGCCCCTTCGCGCTCCCCCAGGAGAGCAGGTGAGGAGCCGCGGCTCAGGGCGTCAGGGCGGGCCCGGGGCCTGGCTGCTGTTCTGGTGTAGCGACCTGGGCTCTCTGGGGGGGGATTCTGGCAGCTGTCAGAAAGGCCTCCTTGGGGCTGGAGGCCTGGTGCAGCCCAGCTGGGTGGACACCACTGCCCCTGGCACTGTCCAGGGGCCTCCACAGCCCACCAGGTTGGGGAGGGGCATCCTGGCAGGAGTGCCCGCCCCATAGGCACCCCAGCCTGGTGTCAGCCTCTTGCCCTGGCTGACTTGGGGGCTGGTGGTCAGCTGGGGCCGCCCTGGACATCTAGCGTCTCTGGCTAGGAGGCTGCGCTTCTGGAGCTTGGAGTTTGAGAGCCAGTCGTTCCTGTACAGACAGGTGCGCCGGGGTGGGTGGGGTGTGCCTGCCCCAGGGGGCGCGGGGCGGGGGCAGCGCCAGTGCCAGCCTTGGCTTCGGGTCCCAGGTACGCAGGATGACAGCCGTGCTGGTGGCAGTGGGGCTGGGGTCGCTGGCGCCCGCCCAGGTGAAGGAGATTCTGGACAGCCGGGACCCGCTGGGCAAGCACCAGGCTCGCGTGGTCCCGGCCCACGGTCTGTTTCTGAAGTCAGTGCAGTACGGGGACCTGGGAGACCCGGGTAAGGCCATCTGCGGGGAGCCCTGCTCGCAGCACGCGGCCTGCAGTGGAGGGGTGGTGGTCAGGGCCCAGGCCACACCCGCCTCCAGCTGACACGGGCCGTCCCACAGGTCCTGCCCCGGGGAACCACAGGTGACCCTGGACGCCCGGCCAGAGCCGGAGCCTGGCTGCTGCACCCAGCAGAGACCCGATGCCCTCGGCCCCCCCACCGTGCACAAGGAGGCCACGCCCGTGCTCCATCTGCCTTTACTGAACTGCCCAGAGGTCGAGTTAATAAAAGACGAGGAGGCCCCGGAGGCCGACCTGTCCATGTCTTCAGCCAGCAATGCCGCTTGAGCAGATGTGGGACCAAACCTGGGCGCGGGCTGTGTCCACCCAGGCCCCCGCCGTCCAGGCGCAGCAGTGGGTTAGCTGGGCGCGGGCTGTGTCCACCCAGGCCCCCGCCATCCGGGCGCAGCAGCAGGTCAGCTGGGTGCGGGCTGTGTCCACCCAGGTCCCCGCAGCAGCGGGTCAGCTGGGCGCCTGGGGCAGGCCTTTCTTGAGCAGGGCAGTGAGGTAGCTGCCCAGCTCCTCGTCCTGTGGGGAGGCGGGAAGGCGGGGTCAGCCGCTGCCCCCAGGGCGGAGCCGGCGGTGGGGAGGGGCTGCCCGGGAGACCCCCCCCTCACCTGGTAGGTCCAGGACACCAGCAGCACCTTGGTGCCGGGGTCCTCGGAGTGGGCGGCGGCCTGGATGAGGATGGACTCGACGGTCACCGAGCCGTCGGGGAGGTGCTGCACGCAGTGGTCTCTGAGGACGCTGCGGGGAGGGGCCGTGAGGGGCGGCACGCAGGGGGCGGGGCCCGGCAGGGGCGGGGCGGCACGCAGGGGTCTCCGAGGACGCTGGGGGCGGGGCTGTGAGGGCGGGGCCTAGGCAGGGGTCTCTGAGGACGCTGGGGGCGGGGCTGTGGGGGCGGGGCCTGGGCAGGGGTCCGAGGGCGCAGTGCGGAGGCCCGGCCTGGGGCGGCGCGCACCTCTTCAGGTGGCTGTAGACGCGCAGCGCCGTCTCCTGCTCTTTGCGCGTGTCGTGCAGGTGCACGCGGCAGGTGAAGCGCAGCTGGTGCTCGGCCAGGCCCAGCTCCTTGAGGGCTTGCTCTGAGGACACGAGCCGGAAGTTCTGCGGGACGGGAGGGTCAGCGCAGAGGAGCCCCCCCCCCCCGCCCCGCGCAGGGCTCACTCACCCCCTCCTTCATGATCAGGGTGCCGTGCAGCAGCCGCGGCTTCTTGGCCTCAGGGAGCGGCACTGCGGGGGAGGGGGGGGAGGGTCTGCTGGTGGGCCTGGCTCTGCTGTGCCCCCACACATACCCTGCGTGTGCGTACACACACACACACGTACCCTGTGCCCCTGCACACACACACACACACACGGGTGCCCTGTGCCCCTGCGCACACACACACGCGTGCGTACCCTGTGCCCCTGCACACACACACACACGTACCCTGTGCCCCTGCACACACACACACACGCGTGTGCACCCTGTGCCCCTGCACACACACACACACACGCGTACCCTGTGCCATCTCCCGCTTCAGCAGTCCCAGGGAGACGCTCACAGGGATGCTGGGGCTTGTGGGCAGCGTCACCGTCTCGCCGTTGGCGGGCATGTAGCAGCTGACTCCTGGCCGGGGGCAGTGCAGAGAGAACCTGAGGCAGAGCAGCCAGCCCTCCCGCACAGCCCCCGGCCCCGCCCCCGCCCCCGGGCCCCCCCAGCGCCCTCCGCCCCCCCGCCCCCGGCCCCGCCCCTTGCCCCCCCCCCGGCCTCCCCGGCCCCCTCAGCCTCGGCCCCAGCCCCTCAGCCCCCCCGGGCCCCCCCAGCCCCCGGCCTCCCCAGCCCCTTGGCCCCCGGCCCCAGCCCCTCAGCCCCCAGGGCCCCCCCAGCCCCCCCGCCCCCGGCCCCACCCCGGCCCCGCCCCGCCCGCAGCCTACGGAACTCCTGCTCGATCTTCTGCTTGAGGAACTCCATCTTCTTGGCCTCGCCGTGCACCAGCAGCACGCGCCGCGGCTCCGCCTGCCCCACCAGCTGCATGATGCCCTTGGCGTCGGCGTGGGCGCTGAAGGACATGTACTCCACCTGCATCCTCACCTCCAGCTGCGGGGCCGCGGGCGGAGCTCAGTCGCCTGCGCCCAGCCCGCGCCCAGCCCGGGGGGGGGGGGACTCACCACCTGCCGCCCCTCCATCTCCAGCTTGCGCTGCCCGCTCAGGATCTTGTGGCCCACGGTGCCCTGCACGCAGTAGCCAGGCATGATGACCTGCGGGGTGGGGGCGGGGCCGGAGGCTGACCGCGTGGAGGCCTCGGCAGTCAAGGGCCTTCCTGCCTGACGGGCGCTGAACCCCAGCTGCCCCAGCCGCCCTGCAGCAGTGGGGGCAGTGGAGAGGACCGTCCTTCCGGCCTGTGGGAATGCCTGTGCCCCCTCTGCCCAGCCTGGGCCGCCCGGAGCTGGACCTGGGCCTGGGAACGCCCGTGCCCCCTCTGCCCAGCCTGGGCCGCCCGGAGCTGGACCTGGGCCCAGCCCCTCACCATGTTCTTCTCGTTTCCTGCCCACTTCCGGAAGATCTGCAGGGACTGGCCGGCATGCAGCATGCCCGGCGTGGCAAACACGACCTGCAGGGCGGACAGCGTGGGGGGCGGGTGAGGCAGCAGTCGCCCCTCGGGCACAGCCTCAGACCCGCCCGCGAGCAGGGACCCCCACCCCGAGAGGGACGCAGAGCCCGTGTGTGGACGGCGAGGCAGTACCATGGGCCCAGGGTTGTCGGCAAACGCCCGGTCGAAGGCCTTGATGTGCTTGAACTCAAACATGTTCCTGTGCACGAAGGTCTTCCTGATCTTCTGGTTGGTCCAGGTGATGAAGAGCTTGTAGTAGTGGTTCGCCTTCTCCGTGAGCCCGGTGGAGAAGTAGATGGGCACCTTCAGGTTCATGCGCTCCCTGTGGGCCCAGCCTGGTCAGCGCAGTCATCGCAGGCCTGAGCCACTCCCCACACCCGGGGCCTTCCCAGCCCGGTCAGCGCAGTCATCGCAGGCCTGGGCCGCTCCCCACACCTGTGGCCACCCCAGCCCGGTCAGCACAGCCATCGCAGGCCTGGGCCGCTCCCCACACCCGTGGCCACCCCAGCCCGGTCAGCACAGCCATCGCAGGCCTGGGCCGCTCCCCACACCCGTGGCCACCCCAGCCCGGTCCCGCTGCTGTGACCACCGGCTGATGCCCCAGCCTGTGTCCTGTGATGCGCTGGAGCTGACGAGGGCCCTGACATGGCCAGTATGGGGACAACACGGGGCCCCCGGACTGGGGCAGCCCCCACTGCCCCGACAGTAAGCAGACGCCAGCGGAGCCGGGAGAGCCCTGGCCCACCTACCAGAAGGTCTCCAGCAGAATGCAGAGCTCCTGCGCACGGCCCAGCGCAAACACGGGGATCAGCACCTGCAGGACGGGGGCGCTCAGGCGGGGCTCCCACCCAGCAGCAAGGCACAGCCGGTCCTACGGCTGGAGCCTGCTCCCAGCGGGGCCAGGCAGCCCTGCCCGTGCGAGGGTGTGCAGTGCCCCCGACCCCCCGCCGGGGACCACGGGGAAGGGCTCCAGCGGCCGCCCCCGGAGCACGTGGCCCGGGCAGCTGGCCGGACGGCGGCTACCTTGCCGCCCCGCTCCACGGTCTCGTGGACCTTCTTGAGGAAGTCCCGCTCACGGCAGCGCTTGGAGTCGCGGATGGTGGTGGCGTAGGTGGACTCCGTGATGAGCAGGTCCGGGCGGCACTTATCGATCCAGGCAGCTCTGGAACAGACGGACGTCCAGCACTGCACGGGCCCGAGCGACTGGGCCTCGGGCCTTCAAGCACCTAGGCCCCAAGTCCCCAGGGGGGACGACCCACAGGGGACATCCGCACGCTGAGCAGGGGCCGGGACCCTCACCCCCAGGATGGGCGAGGTACATGTGGGACTCACCCCAAATGCCGGTCGGGGGTCATGTTATAGTCGCCCTGTGGGGAAGTGGCGATGAAGAGGCTGCCCCGCCCCCGGGGAAGCCCCGCCCCCAGCCTTCCACCTACCGTATAGACCACGGACTCTGAGCCCACTTTAATCTGGAACATGGCTGCCCCCAGCACGTGGCCCGCGTAGTAAGCCTTGATCTCCAGCTCGTCGTCCACCTGCGGGGGAGGGGCCGCGCTCAGGGGCAGGGGCCACAGCAGTAGGCTCTGCCTGGGCCCCGCACACAGAAGCACAGGGAGCGACGACCGTGACACGGCTGTGGGCCAGGCCCCGCGGTCTGGGAGCGACGACCATGACACGGCTGTGGGCCAGGGCCCCGCGGTCAGGGAGCGACGACCGTGACACGGCTGTGAGCCAGGCCCCGTGGTCAGGGAGCGACGACCGTGACACGGCTGTGAGCCAGGCCCCGCGGTCAGGGAGCGACGACCGTGACACGGCTGTGGGCCAGGGCCCGCGGTCAGATGCGGCTCTGAACACGGGGTGGCTCTCGGGGTGCAGGCTTGGGGCTTGGGGGTTAAGGTGCCAGACACCACCTGAGGTGGCCACACTCCACGTCGGAAGCGCCCTGGGAGGTAGCAGTGACCCCTGCCCCCACGGGAGAGCGGGACTGGGCTCCCAGGCACTGACCTCAGCCTGCTGCAGACCTGGCTGCTGCAGCCAGCTGAGGACTAACCCAGCAGACGGAAGGGAAGTGCTGTCTGCGTCGCTCCGTCTCTCGAACGCTCTGCCTTTCAAATAATCTTCAAACAGAAACCAAGTTCTTCAACGCAGAGCCACGAGCTCCGTGTGGACGGGCCACAGTTAGACGGAAAAACGTCCACGGAACACAGGGTGCTGGGGGACGGCTCCCCGCGGCACAGGCGTTCAGCCGGCAGGGGACGGCTCCCCGCGGCACAGGCGTTCAGCCGGCAGACGAGGGGGGCGCCCACAGCAGCTTCCAGAGCACAGGCCGAGCCCGACTCCGTCCAGGCGGGGCCACGATCTTGGGGAGGCGTTTCCCCCATCCGAGTTACACGCCTTTGCTTCTGCCCTGACCCACACACGTTGGTCATCAAGCCCAGGGCTGGGGCCTTCAGAACTCGCCGTCCATCTCTGCCCAGGCCTGACCACCACTGGACAGCACCAGGCACGCACAGAGGCACAAGGGGCCTCGCAGGAATGCCAGCCAGGTGGACGCAAGGGCCCCACGCACCCGCACACACACTGCATGCACCCCTGCCCTCCTGGCGGCCCGGGCCCACTGCGGGGAGGGCGCTGGGCTGACCTGGACCGTCTGGTGCAGGTGCACGGCCACCACCTTCTTCATGCAGTCCTTGATCATCTGGGAGGTGAAGAAGTTGGCCTCGCCCTTCTTGTCCACGGCAATCTTGCGGTAGTCCTCCAGCAGGATGGGGCAGATGGCCTGCGTGGGGTGCGTCATGTAGATGGGCCCGTCGTAGCCCACCATCTCACTGAAGTAGGGCAGCGCTCCGCAGTGGTCCAGGTGGAAGTGGCTGGGGGGCGTGGCGGGCGTCAGCATGGCCAGCCCCAGGCCACCCTCCAGCCTCCCCCGCAGCTCTGGGCTAAGAGTCGCTCCACCCCTTCTCAGACACTACTCTGCGTACTCAAGAGTGATGAAGGAGTGACACACGCGGGGCCCACCTCTAAAACTGACCGCACAAACGTCCAACCCGCACCAGGCAGCAGGTAAAGCCACGCCTGCAGCGCCGGCCTCCCACATGGGCGCCAGTCAGTGCCGGCTGCTCCACTTCCCATCCAGCTCCCTGCTAATGCACCCGGGAAAGCAGCAGCGGACAGACCAAGTGCTTGGACCCCTTCACCCACGTGGGAGACCTGGAAGAAGCTCCTGGCTCCTGACTGGCCCAACCCCAGCCGCTGTGGCCATCTGGGGACTGAACCAGCGAACAGAAGATCTCTCTGTCTCTGCCTCTCTCTTTCTCTGCAATGCTTTCAAATAAATAAATAAATAAAGCTTTAAAAAAAGAAAAAAACAAAAACAAAAACAAAAACAAAAACAAGAAGCAGCAGCAGCGTGAACTAGCCAAGGGGAAGCACTGCCTGACGGTGCTCAGGGAGACCGGGTGGAGGGAGCCCCAGTGCCCAGCCCCTGACGGTGCTCAGGGAGACCGGGTGGAGGGAGCCCCAGTGCCCAGCCCCTGACGGTGCTCAGGGAGACCGGGTGGAGGCAGCCCCAGTGCCCAGCCCCTGACGGTGCTCAGGGAGACCGGGTGGAGGCAGCCCCAGTGCCCAGCCCCTGACGGTGCTCAGGGAGACCGGGTGGAGGCAGCCCCAGTGCCCAGCCCAGGGAAGGCCATGGCCCATGTCCGGAAGGAGCATGCGACACAGGTGCTCAGGACACGGCTTCCTGAGACAGCTGCTGCAGGCCTAACAGACCTGCTCGTGGGAGGCAGGGGCCAGAGGCACAGCGCTTGGCCACTGGGTGGCACTGCCCAGTACAAGTGAGGATGGTGGTCAGAGGGGAGAGGAGGGGGCACTCGGCTCCTCCTCCTGTCCAGTGGGCACTGAGATGCTGCGACGCCTTGGGGTGAGAGGTCAGGGGCCGGGCCACTGTGACCGGGGAGGATCGAGGGCCAGCAGAAGGGCAGTCACCATTGTCAAAGTCTTCATGGGGGAACTGGGGCCAGGCACAGGCGCTGGGCCACTCCTTGCAGCGCTGGGTCCATATCAGAGTCCTGGACGCTGTGGTTCCCATGCAACTCCCTGCTACCGCGCCGGGGGCCCTGCACCTCAGAGAGGGCAGACGGAGCCCCTGCTACCGCGCCGGGGGCCCTGCACCTCACCAGAGGGCAGACGGGGCCCCTGCTACCGCGCCGGGGGCCCTGCACCTCACCAGAGGGCAGACGGAGCCCCTGCTACCGCGCCGGGGGCCCTGCGCCTCACCAGAGGGCAGACGGAACTCCCAGCCTCAGCCGGACCACACCTGGCTGGGGCGGCCATTCAGGGAGTGAACGAGCGGATGTGGATGGAAGAACTCCTCTCTCCTCTCTCTCCGCCCGGGTGGGGCGAGTGCACCTCATCCTCCATGGCGTGGCACTGACCAGCGCTGCTCTGAGGGCTGCGCACCCCGAGGCGGCCCCTCCGGGCACCCACCTGATGATGACACAGTCCAGGAAGTCGGTCAGCCGGCCGTTCTGAGTGATGTAGGAGAAGTCGGGGAAGCGCCGCTGTGGAGAAGCCGGGAGAGGGTGGCCCCCGGGAGGGGTCCAGGTGAGCACTCAAGCCAGGCTGGAGGGCCCAGCACTGCTGGCCACTCACGGCCTCCCGAGGAGCAGGCTGCTGGCGAGGCACCTGCCGTCCTCCCCGGCCGCACGGCAGGACGCTGAGCCAACCGCAGGAGGACACAGCGGCCATGGGACCCAGCGGCCAGACCGACCCCCACCCCAGGGGCGCTCGCCTCAGCCTGGCTCCACCTGTAAAATGCTGGGGAGCACCCAGGAAGTGACAGCCCCGCCCTCTGCCCAGAGCCTGCACAGGACACCATCTGGGTACACATGCCACTCACCCTCCATGCCTGCCCCTGGCTGCAGAGCTCCCCGGCCCCGCCCCCCGCCCTGCCCCTGGCTGCAGGAACTCCCCAGCCCCCGCCCTGCCCCTGGCTGCAGGAACTCCCCAGCCCCCACCCCTGCCCCTGGCTGCAGGAGCTCCCGGGCCCCCCGCCCTGCCCCTGGCTGCAGAGCTCCCTGGCCCCACCCCTGCCCCTGGCTGCAGGAGCTCCCCGGCCCCCGCCCTGCCCCTGGCTGCAGGAGCTCCCTGGCCCCCCACCCCTGCCCCTGGCTGCAGGAGCTCCCTGGCCCCCCACCCTGCCCCTGGCTGCAGGAGCTCCCCAGCCCCCCCCCCCCCGCCCTGCCCCTGGCTGCGGAGCTCCCTGGCCCCCCACCCCTGCCCCTGGCTGCAGGAGCTCCCCGGCCCCGCCCTGCCCCTGGCTGCAGGAACTCCCTACCCCCAGCCCTGCCCCTGGCTGCAGGAGCTCCCTGGCCCCGCCCCCCTCCCCGCCCCCTCCCCGCCCCCGCCCAGGCACTCACGTCGTCGTTGAAGCCCATGTGCATGCCGCAGTCCAGCATGACGTTCTTGCCCCCGATGGACACCAGGATGCAGCTGCGGCCCACATCCTGGCCGGCTCCTGCTCAGGGGAGGGCGTGTGAAAGGCTGGGCTATGCCTGTGCCCACCCGCACCCCCCAGGGCCGCCAGGAAGCACCAGGTGCCCAAGCCCAGAGGAGCCCCGGCCTCCCTCGCCACGCCACGCCCTGCTTCTCAAGGTTGTACCCACAGGCCCCATGGCGGCTGCAGGTCACTCCCGGGCGGTGGCTGGCCCCCGGCTGAGCTAGATGCCCCTCCTTCCTGGGACTGGTCCCCAAGCGCCTAGGTGCTGAGTGACAGCCACGGAGGGACACGCGTGGCCTCAGACACAGAAGACGTGGCCCAGGCAGAGCAGCTGTGTGGGGAGCACCATCGCTCAGCCCCACTGGGAACCCTCCCCTACCCCCTCCAAGGGCCTGGGAACCCTCCCCTACCCCCTCCAAGGGCCTGGCAGGCGTGGCTCCCGGTGGCACGCGACCTCTGGGGTCTGCACAGCTGGAGACGCAGCAGGGGTCAGCAGCTCCGTCTCCATCTTGACCCCTGTGCCCCCTCCCCAGCACACACTCAGCCACGTGACCTGACCTCGGCCTGCCCCCAGCCCCAGTGGGTGCCTGGGTTTCCTTCCAGCCTTCCCCCGCCCCTACTAACAGACGAGGGTGGGGACCCTGCTGAGGTCCGAACGCAGCCGTGCAAGGCTCACGGAGGCCGCCAGCATGGCCAATTCAAGGGTGTGGGCACCAGAGCACCCCGGGGGGCGTCTTTGCTGGAATCGAGGCCGGCTCTCGGGCCCCGGCAGCCCTGCCCCCCGCGCGGAAACACAGAGGCCCACACAGCCCCTCCTGGGCCCTGCTCCGTGCTGAGGAGGAAGGCTAAGTCAGCGCTGCGCGGTCACCCGGGGCCCCGCAAGCCCGGGCGCAGAGACCACGCGCCTCCCGGACCCTCCGCGCGGGGCCGGGCCGGGGAGCAGGCGCGGGAGGTGCAGGGCCGCCCGCAGGCCACGGGCCCTGTCAGGACGGCGCCGCCGGAGCCGGACGCGGAGCGAGGGCCTGGGCAGCAGGGGCTCTGCCGCCGAGCTGTGCGCCCCGCGGGCGAGGGACGGGAGCCCCCGGCCGTGCCGCAGGAGTTCCAGCGCGGGACCCCGCCCCGCCGGCCCTGGGCGCCCCGACTCACCCAAGGGGGTGACTCTGATCTCTGGCATCGCTCCTGGCGCCGGCGCCTCGCTCCCGCTGCGCTCCCCGACTCAGAGAACTCGGCTCGCCGGGAAGGGGCGGGGGGCAGCCGCACGCGCCCGGCTCCCGCAACTCCGGGCCTGGAGCGCACCAACTCGCGGTGGCACCTGCGCAGGCGCAACCGCTCTGTTGCTGCTTCCGGTCCCTCGCCGGAAACTCGCCCCCCCCGGTGAGTCGCGTCCTGATTGGGCGGGCGGCAGCCAATCGGGCCGGCGGGGCGGGGCTCCGGGTCCCCGGGCGGGGCCTGCGGCGGCGGCGGCGACTGAGGCCAGGGATCCGCGGCGGCGGACCAACCAAACGGCCGGGGGTGGCCGAGGACCCCGCTCCCCGCTCACGTCAGCCCCTCCTCACCAGCACCCCGGCCTCGGCCCGCACCCCTGGGTCCCTTAGCCGAAGCAGGCGCTCCCCGGACCCAGGCCCCACCCAGCACGGTGCCATCCGGACCCCCTTCCCAGGTGAGATTTGCGAGGCTAACTTGGACAGGGAGCCAGGCCCGGGGGCCCCCGCGAGTCCTTGGCTCTGCTGGCCATGGGGAGGGCGCGAGGCGGCCCGCAGCGTCTTCCTGGCGCTGGCCGGCTGCCCGCACTCTGCCGCACAGCCACTGCCCTTCCTGTTCCCAGCCCAGGCAGAACAGCCCCGAGAGCCGCAGGCAGCTGGCTCCTTCTTGGCCGCCGGCTCAGGTTCTGGGTGGGAAAGGCCGGGCCCTCCGGATATCTGGTGGCCGGGGCAGTGTCCCTGGGGGCCTCGAAAGCCGTTTCCAGAGCGTGGAGGCCCAGGTGTGGCCGACTGCTCCCCTCGGCCTCACCCGGTGCCGGGCACACAACCCAACCAGTGGAGCCCCCAGGGGTGCAACGTCCGGTCACAGGGCCGGGAGCCACCTGCCCAGCTGCATAGGGACCCAGGGGTCCACTCCTAGCCGTGGCTCACAGCACAGGCAGCCGTCCAGACCGAGCACCGCGGGGGTGGAGAGGCCAGGGCGGGGCCCCTGGCACCAGCAGCAGGCCCGGGCCTGTCAGAGCCACCTGCCGTGCCAGCCCCCACCAGGCCACGGCCAGTGGGGCACCCGGAGCAGGGCTGGTTGGCTGCTTGGCGGCACCCACACAGCCCGTGGGCACCTGGATGTCTGTGGAGTGACCGGGTGAGTGTCAGTGGAATCCAGGGCACAGCTTGCCTCGGGGCCCGCGGCCGTGGGGGTGGGGAAGACTGACCCTGACCCGGCAGCAGCCAGGCCGCCCCACTGCCCCTGCTCCGATTTCAGGGGTGCAGAAGCGAGCAGAGGGGGAAGCTTCTCACCCACCCCCCCGGCCCCTCCACTCCATCTCTGCGTCCCGGGGTGCTTAGGCCCCTAGGAGCTAGCGTCTGCCCAGAGCTTCCTGTCTGGCGAAACCCTCTACCGCACCGAGGCGACGCGGGCTGATTTCCAGGTGGGCCGCATTGCGAGGCCTGTGAGCGATCTTGCAAATATCCAGGGTCCCCACGCCAACAGCAGCCCCCTGGCTCCTGGCAGCGTGTCGGAAAACCTCTCTCCTAACGGGGAGACAGCTAGAACGGGGTGAGAGAGACGGCCGTGCAGCGCAGCGGCCCACCGGGGCTCAGGGCCGGCCTGGTGGGTGACCCGCCCTGTGGGTGCACCGTCTGGGCAGGGGGCACGGTAGGGCCAGCCAGGGCCACTCAGAGCCGGTGGCCCCTGGGGAAGGAGCTGGGTGGAGGGGATGGCGGCACCGTCCCACCCCCCCTGTGGCACAGCGCTCACCGGGAAGATGGAGGATGCGGGGGCCGACTTCAACCTGAAGGTGGTGCTGGTCAGTTTCAAGCAGTGTCTCAACGAGAAGGACGAGGTGCTGCTGGACCACTACATCGCCAGCTGGAAGGGGCTGGTCAGGTGCGTCAGGGGCCCGGGCGGGGCAGCCGCCGGCTGCGGGAGCCTGGGGCGGGGACTGCAGCGCCTGCCGCCCGTGCAGGTTCCTGAACAGCCTGGGCGCCGTCTTCTCCTTCATCTCCAAGGACGTCGTCTCCAAGCTGCGCATCATGGAGCAGCTGCAGGCCAGCCCCCAGCACGAGCACTACGTCAGCCTGCAGTCCATGATGGCCTACGAGACGGGGAACCAGCTGGTGGACGTGGACCGCCGCTCCCGCCACCCCGACTCGGGCTGCCGCACGGTGCTGCGCCTGCACCGCGCCCTGCGCTGGCTGCAGCTCTTCCTGGAGGGCCTGCGCACGAGCGCCGAGGACGCCCGCACCTCCGTGCTCTGCACCGACTCCTACAACGCCTCGCTGGCCGCCTACCACCCCTGGATCGTGCGCCGGGCCGTCACCGTGGCCTTCTGCACCCTGCCCACGCGCAAGGTCTTCCTGGAGGCCATGAACGTGGGGTCCCCGGAGCAGGCGGTGGAGATGCTGGGCGAGGCCCTGCCCTTCATTGAGCGCGTGTACGACGTCTCCCAGAAACTCTACGCCCAGCACTCCCTGCTGAACCTGCCCTAGGGCCTCGAGTCCCACCACAGAGCCTCCGGTGCCTAGACGGGGAGGGCACCACGGCCCCCACAGGCTGGACTTCTGGGAGCCCCAGGCCGCAGCAGAGGAGGCAGGAGGCTTGCCGTCCTGGGGTCCGGGGTGCCCCACCCTGGCCACACGCCCGTGAAACGCTTTGGGGTCACAGGTCCCTGGGGCTGGGGACCCCACCCTTCCTGCGGCCAGCACACCCATCCCGCCCCCGTCCCAGCTGCAGCAGGGATGTGGTGTCGGTGCCCGGCTAGCAGCCCCGGAGGCCCGGGTGTCCTTGGCACTGGCTCTCCCGGGAGGTCCTGGGAAGGGGCTTCCGCAGCCCCTGAGCCGCCTCAGGGCCCCGACTCACAGGCACAGCAGGGCTGTCGCCGGGATTCCTGGCAGCCCCACCAGTCTGCACAGCATTGTCAGGCCGCCCCGCCCCTGCCCAGCGGGATGCCACATTCCTCCGCCCTGCCCGTGGTGCTGCGACCATAGACGGAGCCGGCCCTGCCTGGCTGACTCTCCGGTGGCCACACCCAGCCCAGCCGTCCCCCTGACTCAGGGCCTGTCCTCTCGCCTCTCACCCCCCTGGCTCTGCAGGGTGGACCCCAGAGAGACCCCTGGGGACACCACCCACAGCGTGGCACATGTGCGGAACGCAAGCGTCTGGGGCACGCGGGTCTCCTGGAGACTGGTAGTGTGATGTTTCTCCAGCGTAAATAAACTGCACTTACAGGACCGGGCTTGGCGATCCAGCATGGGGGCCCTGAGTAGGCCAGGTGCTTGGTGTGCCTGACTACCCATGGGGAGGGACACGGCTGGGGGAGGAGGGCAGAAGAAGGAGAGGCACAGGGCTGGGGGAGGAGGGTGGGGGGGGCAGAGGCAGGGAGGGGTACAGGCCCCACTGCCAGCCTTGAAAGGGACGTGAGGTTAGGGTTAGGGTTGGGGTTGGGGGTGAGGTTGCCACACGTGGCCTGTGGGGGGCTTCAGCTTCCCCCACTTCCTGCTGTTTTACAAGTGAGAAACAAGTGCAAGGATCACCCAGGGGCAGCACCCAGAGTCCTGCTCAGAGCAGCACGTCTGAGGCCAGCAGCACTGGGCCGGGGGGAACCTGGACGCAGGACCCCGTGTGGTGCCCTGACGGGGGCCTGGCCACGTGGATGAGCCAGATACAGACTGCGCCCACGGCTCTGCGTTTGTGTAGATGCACATCGGTGTGTAGATGGCATGTGTGGGGAGCCCCCGAGCTCCCCACAGTGCCTGGGGTCAGCAGCCTGAGAGCCAAGCACAGGCTGAGGGCCCCCCCGCCGCGCACACACCTGCTGCAGGCCCAGCTGCCGCTGCCCATTTGGTTAGGCCTTTCCTCTGTGTTTGCATGGACCCCTCCAGCCCAGCTCTGAACCCAAGGGAGCCAGGTGCACACCAAGTCGGTTGTGCCTGGGCCGGCGGCAGTGACGTAGCCGCAGCTTCCAGGTTCAAGGCCCCTCCAGGGGTCTGCACTGCTCCCAGGCAGCCCCCGCCCCCACCCCAGCTCCAGGGTGGAGAGGCCGCCCCCGCAGCACCCTGGGGCCCTGTGTTGCTCCAGGAACAGCAGGAGCCGAGGGGCTTGGGCACAGGCAGGTAGCCAGGCCAAGGTCAGCGGCCACTCTGCGCCTGCCCTTCAGGTCGCGGTCGGCCAGGGCCTGCGGACGTGACTGAGAATCCCTCCCACAGAGCGTGGGGCCCCTGGGGGCTGGCGGGTGAGGATGAGAAGGGTTTTGCTAAACAAATCCTCTGCCCCTCCCCTGGACTGGCTACACCTGAGGCCCCGTCAGGCACACCACCTGCAAACCGGCTGGGAGCTGCCACCGCCATGCCAGGCCTGACCGTGCTGGGGCTCGGCCTCGCGGCCCTCCTGGGCCTCGGGACAGGGGCCCACCTGTGCCTGTCCCAGCAACTGAAGATGCCAGGGAAGTACATCCTGGGCGGGCTCTTCCCTCTGGGCCTGGCCGAAGAGGACAGCCTCCGTGACCGAGCCCAGCCCCGCGGCATCGTGTGCCCCAGGTAGGAGGCGGGCACAGCCCCCCGGGGTGGGGGCCGGGGCTCCCCGGGGCTGGGTGGCAGCCACCACAGCCCACCGTGGCCGCAGGTTCTCGGCCCTTGGCCTGTTCCTGGCCATGGCCCTGAAGATGGCCGTGGAGGAGATCAACAACGGGTCGGCCCTGCTGCCCGGGCTGCGCCTGGGCTACGACCTGTTTGACACCTGCTCGGACCCCATGGCCACCATGAAGCCCAGCCTCATGTTCCTGGCCAAGGAGGGCAGCCGGGACATCGCCGCCTACTGCGACTACACGCAGTACCAGCCCCGCGTGTTGGCCGTCATCGGGCCCCACTCGTCCGAGCTCGCCCTCATCACCGGCAAGTTCTTCAGCTTTTTCCTCGTGCCGCAGGTGGGCCTCCCCTCCCCCTCCGCGCCCCCCCGCACCCGCTCCGCAGTGCCCACGGGAGGCGCCGCTGTGCCCGCAGGTCAGCTTTGGCGCCAGCATGGAGCAGCTGAGCAACCGGGAGGCGTTCCCCTCCTTCTTCCGCACGGTGCCCAACGACCGCGTGCAGCTGCAGGCCACCGTGGAGCTGCTGCTGGCGTTCGGCTGGAACTGGGTGGCGGCCGTGGGCAGCGACGACGAGTACGGGCGGCAGGGGCTGAGCATCTTCTCGGGCCTGGCCAACGCCAGGAACATCTGCATCGCGCACGAGGGCCTGGCGCCGCTGTCCCAGGCGGACAGCCTGCGGCAGACCCAGATGATGGACCTGCTGCACCAGGTCAACCGGAGCAACGTGAACGTGGTGGTGCTGTTCGCCTCGGCCCGCGCCGCGCAGGCCCTCTTCCACCACAGCATCCGCTACAACCTCCTGCCCAAGGTGTGGGTGGCCAGCGAGGCCTGGCTGACCTCGGAGCTGGTCATGACGCTGCCCGGCATGGCCCAGATGGGCACCGTGCTTGGCTTCCTGCAGCGGGGCCCCCCGCTGCCCGCCTTCCCGCGGTACGTGGAGAGCCGCCTGGCCCTGGCCGCCGACCCGGCCTTCTGCGCCACACTGGACGCGGAGCAGCCGGGCCCGGAGGAGCTCGGGGCCAACCGGCGCTGCCCGCAGTGCAACGACGTCGCGCCGCACAACCTGTCGGCCTGGCTGCAGCAGAACCTGTCGGCAGGCCAGCTGCACCACCAGATCTTCGCCACCTACGCCGCCGTGTACAGCGTGGCCCAGGCCCTGCACAACACCCTGGGCTGCGACGCCGCCGGCTGCCCCGAGCAGGAGCGCGTGCGACCCTGGCAGGTGAGGCCGGGCCGCGGCGGGGTGGGGGGCGCCGGGCAGGGCCGCGGCGGCGTGGGGGGCGCCGGGCAGGGCCGCGCCTGCGCAGCCGCCCCGCCCCCGCTCACAGCTCGCGGCCCCGCCCGCAGCTCCTGAGGAGCATGAACAACCTGAGCTTCCGCGCCGCGGGCCTGGCCTTGCGCTTCGACGGCTCGGGCAGCGTGGACATGGAGTACGACCTGAAGCTGTGGGTGTGGCGCGGCCCGAGGCCCGAGTTCCGCACCGTGGGCTCCTTCGACGGGCGTCTCCGGCTGCAGCGCCCACACATGTGCTGGCACACGGGGGACAAGGTGAGGGGGCCTCGCGCCTGCCCGCCCCTCCGAGGCCCCCGCGTCCGGGGCGGGCGGAGTCTGAGCCGGCCCCGTGCGCAGGCGCCCGTGTCGCAGTGTTCCCGGCAGTGCAGGGAGGGCCAGGTGCGCCGGGTGAAGGGCTTCCACTCGTGCTGCTACGACTGCGTGGACTGCAGGGCAGGCAGCTACCGGCAGAACCCAGGTCAGCCTCCTCCCCGTGGGCAGCCCCGGAGGGGTCCGCCCGCCCCGCCCCGCCCCCAGCACCATCTCCCCTCGCCTCACAGACGACACCATCTGCACCCTGTGCGCCCAGGACCAGTGGTCTCCGGAGCGGAGCACCCGCTGCTTCCCCCGCAGGCTGCGGTTCCTGGCGTGGGGGGAGCCGGCCGTGCTGCTGCTGCTGCTGCTGCTGGGCCTCACGCTGGGCCTCACGCTGGCCACCCTGGGGCTCTTCATCCGCGGCCGGCGCAGCCCGCTGGTGCGGGCCTCGGGCGGGCTGCTGGCCTGCTTCGGCCTGGCCTGCCTGGGCCTGGCCTGCCTGAGCGTCCTCCTGTTCCCCGGCCAGCCCCGCCCCGCCAGCTGCCTGGCCCAGCAGCCGCTGGCCCTCCTGCCGCTCACGGGCTGCCTCAGCACGCTGCTCCTGCAGGCAGTGGAGGTCCTCGTGGAGTCGGAGCTGCCGCCGAGCTGGGCGGCCCGGCTGCACGGCTGCCTGCGGGGACCCCGGGCCTGGCTGGCCGTGCTGCTGGCCCTGCTGCTGGAGGCGGCCGTGTGCTCCTGGTACCTGGTGGTCTTCCCGCCAGAGGTGACCAAGGACTGGCAGGTGCTGCCCACCGAGGTGCTGGTGCACTGCCGCGTGCGGTCCTGGCCCAGCTTCGGCCTGGTGCACGCCACCAACGCCGCCCTGGCTTTCCTCTGCTTCCTGGGCACCTTCCTCGTGCAGAGCCGGCCCGGCCGCTACAACCGGGCCCGCGGCCTCACCTTCGCCATGCTGGCCTACTTCATCACCTGGGTCTCCTTCGTGCCCATCCTGGCCAATGTGCACCTGGCCCACCAGCCCACCGTGCAGATGGCCGCCATCCTCCTCTGTGCTCTGGGCATCCTGGCTGCCTTCTACCTGCCCAAGTGCTACCTGCTCCTGCAGCAGCCACAGCTCAACACCGCCGAGTTCTTCCTGGGCGCCGACCCCAGAGACGTGAGAGGTGGCGGCGGGGGTGGGGAGGAGGTCCAGGGATCCCACGGGTGACCACCCCCAGGAACCCACACCCAGCAGCAGCCCCCTGACCCCAGTGGCCCCGACTGTGCCCCGACCCCAGCTTGTCTGCTGACCGTGACCTGAGGCCTGCAGCTCACGTGGCCACAGAGCCAGGCTGTGTCTGTCCCCGGCCTGGCCGAGTCCCACTGCTCTGTCGGGGCCTCTGCAGAACTCAGGGCAGGGCCAGACCTCTGGAAGGCGAGAGCGGGCAGCACTCGCCTGGCCATGCCCAGCCCCGTGTCCAGGCACAACAGGAAGGGGAGTTGTCTGGGGAGGCGTGGGCAGGTGCCCAGGGCAGCAGCCAGCCTGTCCTCCTGACCCAGCCTAGGCAGGTAGAATGGAGTCGTGCCTGCTACCAGCACCGAGGACAGAGCCCCGGCAGAGCTGGGGTCAGCACCACGGCCAGCGGCGGCCGGGACACCCCCCTCCCCCCAACCCCAGAGCCCACAGCCAGCACCACGGACAGAAATGCCTGCCAGGACCCCACCGCTGGCAGCACCAGGGACAGAGCCTCGGGGCGGGGGTGGGGAGGCAGAGCAGGGCCTCCGTCAGGCCCCCCTGCCTCAGCTCCCCACGGCAGCCCGGGCAGCAGAGAAGCGACAAGGCCACATGTCAGTCTCATAAAATTAAATGCTTTTTAGTGTTTAAAATAGCATTTACACAGAAGCAGCTATGTGAACCGTCCAGCCGCTGGACGGATCCGGCATCTACAGTGCAGAGGCGCGGGGGCTGCAGACGCCAGGTGGCCTGTGTGCGGGCGGACACCGGGGACAGCCAGGGTGGCCTCCTGTCTCCAGCTGTGCCCCCGACCCTGGGGTCCCATGCCCCGCCCTCCCACCGCCGAGGCGAGGTGTGGGAGTGCCCGGCCCCTCTCTGCCCCCCCATTCCACTTTCAGACTCGGCCCTGGGGAGAGTATGAACACTGCTCCACTGTGCAGATGGGGGCAGCAGGCCGGGCAATAAATAAATAAATTAGGCCCCTCCCGTGGGCGGCCCCAGAGGGGCCTGGGAATTGGGTTTCGGCCGGCCGCAGAGGCCCGTGCACGTGGTCAGGGAGGGGACGCGGGGCCCAGGCTGGAGGGAGGTCACATCCACACAGTGGCGGGGGCAGGGTCCCTGAGCAGGGACCACCAGGCCTCCCCCGACAGAGGTCTGCATGGACACAGCCGCTGCACACCTGGAGACCCCGGGGTGGACAGGCCACCAGATCTGATGGTGCTGGTCTGGCTGCCATGGCACCTCACCACCTGCCCGCTCCCACGGCCCACCCGCCCCAGCCGGCCACGCTAAGGCAAGGCCACAGGCACTGCCCCTGTCACATGATGTCCACAAAGAACTCGCAGGGGTTCCCCATGGCCTTTTGGAAGGACTGGCGGCTGCCCGTCAGCTCCGGGGGCACGGCAGCCAGCTCCCGCACAGGGGGCCCCCCGGGCGGCCCCCCGGCCACCGCACAGGCCTTTGTCAGGGGGTGCGGTGGGGGTAGCCCCGGGGCGGCCGCAGAGGCCTGGCTGCCCGGGCGCTCTCGCCAGCTGCTGCTGCCCACCCCACTCGGTGCCGTGTGGTCCGACTCGCTCCCGCTGCCACCGGCTCCGGCCGCCCGACGCTCCTTCTCCCGGCCTGGGGCCCGACGGCTGCTCTGGGTGGACCCCCCACTGCTCTTGCTCCCTGGAGGCCATGGGGGAGAGAAAGGAGACTGTCAGCGCCAGGCCAGGCCACTTCCAGGCGGTCCCGTCCCAGGGTGGGGCCGGAGGGGGCAGCCATGCAGCCAGCACCCAGGAGAGGCAGGTGGGGACCCTGGGCGTCTGCTTGGTGCCCCCACCTCACCCCAAGTCTCGCAGCTGAGGATCTGAGGCACCCCCGGCCATCCTGGCTCCCCCGACCCAGTGTTCACGTGGCCCAGGGCTCTGGCCCTCGTCTGAGCTCCTTGGGAGCGGTGGCAACCTGAGTTCGGGGCTGGCGTGGGACACGCCGACAGGGACGCCGGGCAGGACCCTGGCTTACCGGTCCTGAGGGTCCACTCCACAGTCCTTCAGCCTAAGGCTTGCTCAGCACAAAGCAAGGGATAGCACGGGTCACACATGGGGCGGGACATGGGTGACAGGGCAGGACATGGGTTACACACGGGAGGGGACACAGGTCATGCAAGGGAGGGGACACAGGTCACATATTGGGCAGGAACATGGGTCACACGGGAGGGGACGTGGGTGACACAGGGGCAGGGACACGGGTCACACATGAGGCAGGGACACGGCTCACACATGGGAGGGGACACGGGTCACACATGGGCCGGGACATGGGTGACAGTGGGGAGGCGACATGGGTGACATGGGAGGGGACATGGATTACACACGGGGTGGGGACATGGGTGATGGGAGGTTACACATGCAGGGTCATAGGTGACAGGTGGGGACATGGGTGACACATGGGGTGGGGACATGGGTCATATTGGGGAGGTTACACATGGGGTAGGACACAGGTGACACACAGGACAGGGACATGGGTGACACATGGAAGAGGGGACACAGGTGACACATGGGGTGTGGACATGGGTGACAGGCGGGGACACAGGTGACAGGAGGGGTCATGGATGACAGCGGAGGTTACACATGGGGTAGGGACACAGGTGACACGGGACAGGGACATGGGTCATACGGGGGAGGGGGTACAGGTCACACACAGAAGAGGAGGCAGCACAGGTTACACACAGGCCTGGGCAGGAACCCACACCCATCACCAGTTGGACTGGACCTCGGGTGGGGAGGGGGCGGCACGGGTTACACATGGGGAGGGGCAGCAGGGGTCACACCCGGAGCTGGGTGGGGCTCAGGCAGGGGCAAGGGTCTGCCCGGGGTGGACGGCTGGTCAGACACCCCTGCATCCCACCACCCGTCCCTCACCCCTCCGTGGGTCCCCAAGAGGCTGCCTGTACCTCTGTCCCCCGAGCCTGCTGGCCTGCACTGGCCTTGCTGGGCCCTTCCAGGACACACCCCGTGGGGCAGGGTTCATGGCCGGCCTCCCCCAGGGGCCTGGGGTCTGAGCTCACCTGAGTCCCAGACCCTGCAGTGACCCCTGGGCGCCTGCTGGGTGCCTCACACACCCCTACCCTCACTCTTGGCCCACGGCCCCTTTGCCACACCTGAGACACCAGGCCAAGGGTCTGTGGCCTCTCACGGGGCCCCTGGTCCCCCAGGCACTGGCCCCTCCAGAAGGAGGCCACCCAGGGCCCAGGCCACAGCAGGAGCACCTGGGGAGGCAGGGAGAGCAGAGCCGGGGGTGAGGGCAAAGGCGGGGGCGCAGCGGGGAAAGCAGAGCCAGGGTGAGGGCAGGGGTGCGGGGCGGGGTCCTGGCGGGGCTCTTACCTTCACTCTGCTGACTGCCGGCGCTGCCGCTGCCGTAGCTGAAGCCGGGGTCCTGGTAGGCGGGTGGGAAGCAGGGCGGGGGGCCCGGGTACTGGTAGGGGTAGCCCTGCCCCAGGGGCCAGGGGGCAGCCAGGTGGGGCAGCGGGGCCAGCGTGTCCTGGTCCGAGGCACCGCCGCCGGGGCTGCTGTTGAGGTTCAGGGCGGCGAGGTCTGGCGGGCGGGGAGGGGAGGGGAGAGTGAGCGAGGGTGGCGCGCAGGGGCCCGGCCCCTCCCGCAGCCCCCCACTCACTGCTGCACAGGTCCCCGAAGACGTAGTAGCACTGCTCCGAGAAGGTGACCTTGTTCACCGTGTGCCGCAGGAAGCCGCGCCGCAGCATGCTGCTGGCGTACTTGCGGGCCTCGCGGCGCTCCCTGAAGCCGTCCACGTGCGCGTACAGCCAGTCCACCACGTCAGCCCCTGGCCCGCACGAGAGTCAGCCCGGCAGCGCCCCGGCCCCCGCCCCGCCCGCCCGCCCGCCGCGCCGGCCCTCACCGATGACGGCGTTGGCTATGGTGATCTTGAGCCACATGCGGTCCCGGATCTCCAGGCCTGAGTCCGGCAGCTGCATGACGCGGACGATGGCGCCCATGTCGCTCTTCACCGTCAGGGGCGCCTCCTGCAGCTCTGCAAGGCAGGCCCCCCTCAGCCCGCGGCCGCTGGGCCCTGGACCCCCGCACCGCAAGCCGCAAGCCGGGCGTGAGTGGTGTTAGCGGCAAGAAAGCAGAGGGGCTGGGCACACCCTGGCCCTGGCCGGCGTGCGGCGAGGGCTCGCGAGCTGCCACTTACGTGGAGCGCCAGGCACCGAGCTGGTTAGTGAGGAGCAGCTGGTGCGCGTGACGGCGCTGGAGCAGGGGCTCGTACCGTAGCGGGGCAGGGCTCCGGTCAGCGCCGCCGTGTGGGACAGCCAGGCAGCCGGGTCGATGGGCCGCACGGGGTCAGCTGGCAGCCCCGGCCAGGAGACAGACAGGGATGAGGAGTGAGCGGGCGGAACAGGGGTGCCGGGAGCCCCACCCCCGCCCTGCGGGGTCACTCACCCCTGGGGATGGTGAAGTAGCTCCGGGGGGTCGGGTCCCAGCACTTGGCCACCGTGAGGCTGATGGGCCTGTGGGGGCCGACGGGTCACAAGGGGGAGGCCCGGGGCGCGGCCCCGCCCTGCCTGCGCGGCCCAGCGCCCCCCGAGCCCCCCACGCTCACCCCGTCTGGGACACGATTTCTCGCAGCACCCGGACCGCGTCGTCGTTACTCATGTTCTCGAAGTTCACATCATTCACCTGCAGGCGGGGCGTGGGGCCGGTGGGGGAGGGCCCCGCCAGGCAGAGGGTCTGCCCCTCAGCCTCAGGCCTCGCCCCCAGGCCGTCCCAGCCCCAGCAGGGGGAGGCTCCACCCCGGCCCCGGCCCCCCAGGCCTCACCAGCTCCAGCAAGGGGAGGCCCCGCCCCGGCCCCCCCACCTGCAGCAGCAGAGGAGCCCCGCCCCCGCCCCGCCCCGCCCGCCCCGCCGCACCTGCAGCAGCAGAGGAGCCCCGCCCTCGCCCCGCCCCGCCCCCGCCGCACCTGCAGCAGCAGAGGAGCCCCGCCCCCGCCCCGCCCCGCCCCGCCCGCGCCACACCTGCAGCAGAGGAGCCCCGCCCCCGCCCCGCCCGCCCCCGACCCCGCCGCACCTGCAGCAGCAGAGGAGCCCCGCCCCCGCCCCGCCCCGCCCGCCCCCGCCGCACCTGCAGCAGCAGAGGAGCCCCGCCCCCGCCCCGCCCCGCCCCGCCCCCGCCGCACCTGCAGCAGCAGAGGAGCCCCGCCCCCGCCCCGCCCGCCCCCGCCGCACCTGCAGCAGCAGAGGAGCCCCGCCCCCGCCCCGCCCGCCCCCGCCGCACCTGCAGCAGCAGAGGAGCCCCGCCCCCGCCCCGCCCGCCCCCGCCGCACCTGCAGCAGCAGAGCCCCGCCCCCGCCCCGCCCCGCCCCCGCCGCACCTGCAGCAGCAGAGGAGCCCCGCCCCCGCCCCGCCCGCCCCCGCCGCACCTGCAGCAGCAGAGGAGCCCCGCCCCCGCCCCGCCCGCCCCCGCCGCACCTGCAGCAGCAGAGGAGCCCCGCCCCCGCCCCGCCCCACCCCGCCCCCGCCGCACCTGCAGCAGCAGAGGAGCCCCGCCCCCGCCCCGCCCCGCCCCGCCCCCGCCGCACCTGCAGCAGCAGAGGAGCCCCGCCCCCGCCCCGCCCCGCCCGCCCCCGCCGCACCTGCAGCAGCAGAGCCCCGCCCCCGCCCCGCCCGCCCCCGCCGCACCTGCAGCAGCAGAGCCCCGCCCCCGCCCCGCCCCGCCCACGCCGCACCTGCAGCAGCAGAGCCCCGCCCCCGCCCCGCCCCGCCCCCGCCGCACCTGCAGCAGCAGAGGAGCCCCGCCCCCGCCCCGCCCCGCCCCGCCCCCGCCGCACCTGCAGCAGCAGAGGAGCCCCGCCCCCGCCCCGCCCGCCCCCGCCGCACCTGCAGCAGCAGAGGAGCCCCGCCCCCGGCCCGCCCCGCCCCCGCCGCACCTGCAGCAGCAGAGCCCCGCCCCGCCCCCGCCCCCCCCGCCCCCGCCGCACCTGCAGCAGCAGAGGAGCCCCGCCCCCGCCCCGCCCCGCCCCCGCCGCACCTGCAGCAGCAGAGGAGCCCCGCCCCCGCCCCGCCCGCCCCCGCCGCACCTGCAGCAGCAGAGGAGCCCCGCCCCCGCCCCGCCCCGCCCCGCCCGCCCCCGCCGCACCTGCAGCAGCATGTCTCCCGGCTCGATGCGGCCGTCGGCAGCCACGGCGCCCCCCTTCATGATGGAGCCGATGTAGATGCCGCCGTCCCCCCGGTCGTTGCTCTGGCCCACGATGCTGATGCCCAGGAAGTGGTGGCGCTCTGCGAGAGGGGCGGTGAGCGAGGCCCCGCCCCGCCCGCCCCCCCAGCCCGCCCGCCCGCGAGGCCTCACCCATGTTGAGCGTGACGGTGACGATGTTGAGCGACATGGTGGAGTCCGTGATGCTGCTGAAGGAGGAGGCCTGTGGAGCGCCCAGGTGAGGGGGCCGCCCGCGGACCCCCGCCCGCCCCCCGCCGCCCGCGCCCCCACCCACCCGGTCCGTCTGCCGCAGGCGCTGCTTCCGCCGCCGCCGCTTGTGCTTCCGGATGAGCCGGGACGAGGTGCTCTGCTCCGTGGAGCTGCTCAGCCTAGGGGGAGGCCAGCGGTCAGCGGTCAGCAGAGGTCCCGACCCGGCTCCGGGTCGCGCGGGCACGGGCTGGGCGCCTGCACACCCTCGCCGCACCGGCTCGTGCTGCCGTCCTCGTCCGAGTCCACGAAGCTGCTGGACTCCAGCTCGCTGCTCAGCACGGTGGACGCGCTGTCCGCGGGCAGCCCCAGCTCGCGGCGCCGGTCTCCTCGGGGGTGCCCGTTAGTCCGGGAGACTGGGGGCAGGGGGAGGAGGCAGTGAGGCCGAGGGCCACAGGGTGCCTCCCAGGTCGTGGGGTGCTCAGGGGGAGTCCTGGGCCTGAGCCCTCCACTCAGGGAGTGTCGCTGGTTGGGGTATCAGAGGGTTCACCAAGGGGACCCCGGGGAGGCCTCGGGTCAGACTGGGCGAGTGCGGCCACGGTACCTTCCTCACGGTTCCGGCGTCGGGCTCGCTCCCGCCGGTGGCTGACCATGGATTCTGTGCCGGTCTCACTGTCCATCCCATCACGGCTGCTGGCCACATTTGGGCTGTGCCAATGAGAGGGGTGGGATGGGGTACCTCCCACCCCTCGCCTGCCCTGACCGCTGCCCACTGGGGGCCATTCTGTTCCCCACGCCCCGCTGGCCAGCACCAAGAGGGCAGCAGGGCTCAGCCCGCCAGGCCTTACTGGAAGGAGGGGGGCCGGGAGTCCCCAATGCCGCCTGTCCGTTCCAGAGGCGGGGGCAGGTCCGTGTGGCTGTCAGCGCCCTGGGACCCAGCATCCGAGTGGGCACCCTCGGCCAGGACCAGCTGTGGAGGGAGAGTGAGGGCTGGGGACGTCACTCTTGCCTGCAGGCCACCCTCAGCCCCGCTACGAGCCGGAGCCCAGCACACAGGCCTCCTGGGGCCTCCTGGGGGAACTCCCCACTCACCCAAGAAACCACACGGCCGTTGAAGCAGGGCAGCCTGGCGTTGTCGTCCGAAATCTCCTCCTTGACCACCCTGGGGACAGGTGCAGCCGTGAGGCCGCTGCACCTGGCCACAACTCCCACCCACCCTCCATACCAAGGACAGCAGCTGTGGATGGTCCAGGACTCTGGCTCACCTCCAGGGTCAGCCCCCAGCCCCAAGCAGATGGACAGATGGGGTGCCGGACCCCTGGCGTCCCCCTGCCCCAGCCCTAATCTCAGAGGTGCCCAAGTCCCCTCCTGGGTCCAGAGGCCACACCCCCGACAGGTGCCTGTGCAGCGGCCTCTTCTGGGCCTGATCCCAGTGCCCACCCAGGTGTCCAAGACCCCCTGGCTCTTCTCTGTCCCTCACCCAAAATCCACCGCGGACCATACAGGCTCCACCTGCTCACCACCTGGAGACTAGCCCCCTGCGGCAGCAGGGTGGCCACGTGACCCACACCTGCCTCACCCCTACCACCCCACCCACCAGGGGCGGCACCCCAGGCCCCCGGGCCAGCCCCTGCCAGCCCCCCTGCTGTGTGCCCAGTGGCCTCAGCAGAGACCCCATGGAGACACAGGCAGGCTGGGGTAGCACTCAGACCTGGCCCCAGCCAGGGACACAAGCTGACCCCTACTCACCAGGCCAGCCCCAGCTCGTGCCCTCCCCCAACCCCGAGGAGCCTTGCACAGAGCCTGATGGGCCTGGGCACAGAGGGCATCAGCTGTGTTCCTGACCAGTGAACTGACCCTGCTTGGGAGGACAGAGAAGGTCAGAGTTCAAAGGGATGAGGGCAGCTGGGCAGGGACTCTCACCAGATACCCAACCCTGGGCCTCCCGGTGCCTAGACAGCCAGGCAGGCAGGGTGGGGCCTGCAGCGGGGGAGGGGCTGGACACCCAGCTCCACCGCCCCCAGAGCCCACTGCCCCAGCCCAGCCCCTGGCACGCAGCCCCATCTAGTACCACAGGATTTGCCACACCCAGCCTTGGGCCCAGCAGAGAGACAGGAGCTGGGAGACCGGGCTGGGCCTGGACGTGCACCTGGTAGGAAGCAGCCTCGTGGCCACTGGGCCGGACGCCAGCAGCAGGGCCTGCCCTGCCGGCTGCTCCAGGCCTACAGGCCCCAGCACACCCCACTCGGGCAGCAGCAGCTCCCCAGCAGAGCTGCCCCCTCGGCACCCAGGGACCCAAGCCCCTGGTGGGAGGGGACAGAAGCACAGGCCAGCCGGGGGGGCTCCCACCCAGCCCTCCGTGGTCCTGCCAACACCGCCCCGTGCCTTCCCGGCCCAGGCCACAACAGTGAGGTGGACACTCTCACAGCCAGTGCCCAGGATCCCCCACTGTGAGCGGGCTTCTCACAGGAGGTTGTGACCTGGGGGACCCCGGCCACAGGCCACGGCAGGACCCAGGTGGCCGACGGCGGGAGGGATCACCAGCTTCCATCTCCGAGTGACCACGGCGGAGGCCCCAGCACGGGGCCCCAGGTGCCTGCCGGCAGCCTCTCTCCCACCACACTCAGGCCACACCCTCTCTGACTCAGCCTTGGGGAGACACGGTCAACCCCCTGGCCTGCCCGTCTCCCACCGTCCACAGCAGCCTCGAGCCCTTCCTGAACACTGGCCAGGGCCTCATGATGCCCCAGGGCTGCCTGGGCCTCTGGCCCCCCGCCCCCGTGGACACTTCCCCCCAGGGACCGCTCTCCACTCCCCGCCTGTGGTCCCCAGGTCCCACCCAGCAGGTCAGAGTCCGCTGCCCCCGCCCACCCCAGCCAAGCATGAAGAAGGCACACGTTCTGTCCAGTGGGCGTGGGGCCAGGTGAGGGAGGCCTGGGTCTCCGCAGGACAGGGGCAAGGTCCCCGCCGGCCCCCAGGCAGCGTGACCTCAGGAGCCAGCCTCCATTCCCCAACCTCAGAATTCCTAAGGAGATCCTGGTTAACCTCGAACTTGCGGCTACTGGCCCCGCCCGCCACCCCCGCAGGCCCGCCCCAGGGAGGAGCCGCCCTAGGCCACAGGCGGAGGAGGCCCAGCTCGCCAAGGACCGGCCCAGGCTGCCCCGCGCTGCCGGCCGCAGAGCAGGAGGCTGGCACTGGACGGACGCAGAGCTTCCCAGAGCCCCCCCAGCGCTGCGGGGCGCAGCTCCTGCCGGGCCTTGGTGGGGGCTGGGTTGGCACCTGCTCCCCGCGGAGCCTGGAGCCAGCTGCGCTCTGATGAGCCCATCCCACATCTGCTGGCAGGTCCTCTGGTGGGGGACCGGCCTGGACCCTAACACCAGGGAGGCCCCGGCCCCCAGAGGCGTGGGCAGACAGGCAGGCCAAGTACCAGCGTCACCAGGGCGCCAGGAGCCAAGGGGACAGCCAAGCCCACAGGCAGGTAGCCCCAGAGACCTGGCCTTGGTCCTTGCCCCAACCCCTCCCCCACTCCCTGGGCCTGGGCCACTCTTGGCTCAGAAACGGTAGGGCCCAGGTCCCACCCCCAAACACAGCACCGGTGCCCAGCACCTCACAGGCCCGGGACCTCTGCCAACATCGGGAACCCTGGGTCAGAGCAGCCGCGACTGACGGGCAAGCGACTTTTGCCCACTTGGCCAAAGAGGCACTCGGGAGGTGACGCCCAGCCCAGGGCATGTGGCCGGGTGGCCCTCCGCGCTCGGGCAGCGGCTCAAGGAACCCGGGCCTGGCTCATGGAGGGGTGGGGGTGGGGAGGTTGGGACAACAGACCCAGGCTCACCAGGGTGCTGCTCCAGCCCCCCAGCCGCCCACGGACCTGCCCCAGTCCAGCCACAGTCACTGGGTGTCCAGTGTGAGCGTCCAGCTCAGCTCTCATCCACACTGAAGTGTGAGTGACTGGCGAGCACCTCCCACCGGGAGTTTGCTGCAATGGCAAAAATGTTCTCCAAGACGGAGTTTGTAGGCAGCCCTCAAGGAAAGGGAGGGGGCTTCTCCCAGGCCCACAGCAGTGGCCCAAGGATGACCTGTGTGCTGGCCATGCCACCCAGAGTCACCCCCAGCCATTCCCCAGCAGCCAAGACAGCCTGTTCCTCTGTTGACAGCCCGCGTGCCCAGCTGGGCGTCCCCTGCACGGCCCCTGCAGGAGCTCCCGGGGCCAGGCTGCCTGTGCCCTGGGCACGCCCCGCCACACAGTCCACCCCGGGCCGGCGAGAGCTCGCGCGCTGGGGACCGGGCTGACACAGGCTTCTGCTGCAACAGCCGAGTTAGACAGAGGCACCCTTAGCTCCCCCACGTGTGGCCGTGCACCCGGGCTACAAGCCCACCCCACAGGAAAGGCCGCTGGGCAGAGCTGCCCGACAAGCCCTCCCTGGTCCCCCGCACTTCCCGGGGGCACCAGAGTCCAGTGGGCCAGATGCCCTGGGGTGGCCCGGGGACCACGCAGCCCAGCAGCCAGGAAAGGCCTCAATGTCAAGTCCCAAGACACGGCCACACACAAGGACACGGCTTGCTGAGGACGGCCAGCCACACCTGCTGGCCCCACAGGGCCCGAGCCTCAACCCCCACCCCCACCCCAAGCAGTGCTGAGCTGGGGACTCGAGTTACTCGAGGCTGTGCCAGGTCAGGCCTCCAGGGGACAGCCGGCCTCCAGCTCCCCGGCCCAGAAGCCCCACCCCCCCAGGCAGGGACGCACCGACCCCGGCCCGGCCCAGGCTGCTCCCAGGAACGCAAGCCCCTCGCGAGTCAAGTAGGGAGCGAGGCCAGCAGCCAGGAACCTCAGAGCCGGCGAGCGCAGCGCGCGGGGCCACTGCCGCCAGGGACCCCCGACCTCTGCCCCTCCGAGCACCAAGAGGCAGCCGCCCCCCCGCCCACAGAGTGGTGTCCCTATCCCACCGGGCCACTTGGGAGCCCGCCGTGCGCGGAGCACCCTGCCCCGTCCGGGGTCCTCTCCCTTGACACTTCCCTGACGTCAGCCCCGGAGACCCCACCCCCTGCTGAAGGGATGCGGCGGACCCTGAACCTGGCGGGGGCAGCCAGGGATGGGGCTTCGGGCCGGCGGTGGCCCAGGGTCGGGCACGCTCGCGCGGCCGCGGTCCCACAGGTGGTGCCCGGCCCCGGCCCGCGCGCCCAGGGCCACCCAGGCGTGCGCGCGCGCGCGCGGACGCGGACGCGGGCCCCGGCCCCGCCCCGGGCGGCCCCGGCCCCCGGCCCCGCTGGGCGCAGGCAGGTGCCGGCCCACTGACCCGAAGTCCTGGTCCATGGACTTGAAGAAGAATTTGTAGGCGTGCACGGGCCGGTTGCTCAGCACGTTCTTGAAGTCGGCCAGCGTGACGCGCTCGGGCGCCACGGGCAGCTTGACCAGGTACGGCGTCTCCTCCTCGTCCATGTGGTAGATGATCTTGGTCTCCGCCATGGCGCGGCGGCGGCGGCGCGGGGCCCGCGCGGCGCTCAGGGCCCGGCCCGGGGCTCGGACGCGGGGCGCGCTCCCCGCCCGCCGGCCTGCGCCCCGCCCGGCCGCCGCGCCGCCGCCGCCGCCGCCCCCGGGCGCCCCCGCCCGGCCGCCCAGGCCCGGCCCGCGGCCCCGGCGCGCCGCCCCCAGCTCCCGCGCGCGCTCCGGCTGCTGCCCCGCGTCCCGCGTCCGCCCATCCGCCCCGGCCCGGGAGCGCGCGTGAGCGAGGCAGGCTCGCAGGGCGCGTTCCAGCCCCGCCGCCCCCGCGGGCCCCGGGCCTGAGCGCGCGGCCGCCGGGGGGCGCCCGAGAGCCGGGCGGGCCTGACGTCACCGGCGGCCCGCGGCGGGGGCGGGGCGGGGCTGCGCACGCGCGGGGCGGGGGCGGGGCGCAACGTGCGCGCGCGCGGCGGGGGCGCCGTGCGGTGGGGGCGGCGGCGCGGGAGAAGCTCCCTCGGCCTGGCCGGTGGCGGCTGGCCGCTGGTGACGTCCACTCGAAGGCGCCCGCCGCGGCTCCCGAGCCCCCTGGGACCCGAGCTCCCCGCCCCGGGGAGGGGCTCTAGGGGGCACCACCCCCAGCTGCGCGTCTCGTCCCCCGGCCTTCCGCATGGAGACCCTGGCCCCGGCCGCTACGTGCCCCCGGGAGCCCCTCGATCCCGCGCGTCGGGCTCGCGCGCGAGCTGCGCCCCAAGTCCAGGGCGCTCCTGCTTCGGCCCGGAGCCGGGCCCCTGGCCCCCTGCGCCCCTGCGCCAGCTCCGCACTCGTCTGGGGCCCATAGGGCCTCTGAGGGACCCCGGGCTGGGGAAGGCGGGCACCGGTGCGGACGAGAAAGGTTCACCTTCTCGCTGCAGACGGAGCCCCGCCGGGGGCGCCCCACGCCGTACGGGGGGGGCGGCGGGGGAGCCTGAGAAACGGGGTTCGTGACGCCCTGGATGGCCGCAGACGCTGGCGCTGGGCCCCCGCAGGGAAAGCCCGCGTGGCTGAAGGGCTCCGAGAGTGGACAGCAGTTCCTGAGCTCAGGCTGGAGGCCGCCCCCATGTCCCTTTGAGCCGGGGGTGACCCCTGCACCCTCAGCTCTGCCAGGGCCAGCTCTCTGCCCAGGCCCTCTGTGCAGGACCCAGAGGTTAGCTGAGGAAGCCGCGCAGCAGGGCCGTAGAGGGGCTGGGCTGAGCTGCCCCGGGAAGCAGCAGTCCCTGCCCCAACTCCCGCCAGCTGGACACACATGGCTGCTAGTCAGGGAGGGGCGGGCAACACCCCCACCTCACCCCTGCGCTCTGCCCAAGCCAGCGGACCGCCGAGGCTGGGGCTGACCTGGTCAGGACGACGGTGTGGTGGCCAGAGCTTCAGCCCTTACTGGAGAAGCCTGGACCAGTGAAAGGGCAGCCATGGGGGGCGGTGCTTGTGGGTGACCACTATGCCTCCTTTCCCCACCTTCCTGGCAGGGCTCCCAGGGAGGGGGTCACTTAGTCCCTGCCCCCCGCCCCTTGCCACCTAGCACCTGCCAAGATCACAGCCAGCTCCCAGCCAATGACTGAGCGACAGGGTCCGGCACCTCCTGGGACCAGGCGACACGGTGCCGGCACCTCCAGGGACTGTGTGACACTGTGCTGGCAGGGTCTGGCACCTCCTGGGACTGAGTGACAGGGTCCGGCACCTCCAGGGACCATGCAACACGGTGCCGGCACCTCCAGGGACTGTGACACCGTGCCGGCAGGGTCCGGCGCCTCCTGGGACTGTGACACTGTGCCGGCAGGGTCCGGCACCCCCAGGGACTGTGACACTGTGCCGGCAGGGTCCGGCACCCCCAGGGACTGTGACACTGTGCCGGCAGGGTCCGGCGCCTCCTGGGACTGTGACACTGTGCCGGCAGGGTCCGGCGCCTCCTGGGACTGAGTGACAGGGTCCGGCACCTCCTGGGACTGTGACACGGTGCCGGCGCCTCCTGGGACTGTGACACTGGGCTGGCAGGGTCCGGCGCCTCCTGGGACTGGGCCGGCAGGTCCGGCGCCTCCTGGGACTGGGCCGGCAGGGTCCGGCGCCTCCTGGGACTGTGTGACACTGTGCCGGCAGGTCCGGCGCCTCCTGGGACTGGGCCGGCAGGGTCCGGCACCCCCAGGGACTGTGACACTGTGCCGGCAGGGTCCAGCACCTCCAGGGACTGTGTGACACTGTGCTGGCAGGTCCGGCACCCCCAGGGACTGTGACACTGTGCCGGCAGGTCCGGCACCCCCAGGGACTGTGACACTGTGCCGGCAGGTCCGGCGCCTCCTGGGACTGAGTGACACGGTGCCGGCACCTCCAGGGACTGGCCGCCCCGCAGAGCTGCTTCTGCTGCCTCCCTGCTGTTCCAGCTCAGGCTGCTTCTCCCAGGAGCCCCCGCAGGCCTTGTGCCCACCCACGCCCTGGCCCCGGTGTCCCCTCCCCAGGACACTCACTCCCCAGGAGGCCCAGAGCTCGCCCTGAGGAAAACACGGGGGCCCCGAGGCCCAGGCAGCGGCCACAGAAGCACAGCTGGGGCCGTGTCACCGTCAGAAGTGGCTTTTATTGTGAGGGACAGCTCCTCCAGGAGCAGACGGGGTGTGGACGGGGCGGCACAGCTCGCTCCAGAGCCGGGGCCACCCCTGCACCGCTCAGCCAGAGGAGAAGCCAAACGCAGCCTGGGCGGCGGCGGTGGACAGAAGTCAAGGCAGCTCGTGGACACGGAGGCCGGAGGTGGGGTTGAAAGCGGAGAAGCGGCCACAGGGCGGCCCCGAGGTGGACATCCCAGAGGGGCTGAGCCCGGAGCCTGAGTGTGCTGGGACCTCAAGCCCCGTGCAGGACAGGCTGCAGCTGGCCTGGGGCTGGGACTGGGCACTGTGCAGCCCCTGGGGGCTCGGCAGCCGCGGGGGTCCCTGCCCCAGGTCAGCCTGAGGCCCCTCCAACAGGTCCTTCCAGACCCCAGCGGGGGCAGAGGCTGGGGGACCTGAGGGTTCGGACGTCAGCGAGATCTCGGCTGTGCCAAGGGGGGGACAAAGGGCCAGGGCCACCAGTGACTAGAACAGCCGGGAGCCCAGGGTCACTGCAGGGGGTCAGGGTGGCTCCCAGGAGAGGAGCCTGCAGGTGGCCTGGCGCTGTGCCAGTCCAGGCAGGTTCCAGGACAGCGGGACCAGCCGCTGGGCGCGTGCGGAGTGAGCCACAGGCAGGTCGGGAGTGCGTCCTCCAGGGTGGACGGCCGTCGGTAGAGCTGCTGGCCCAGCCAGGAGTAGGGTCCCTACTTGCAGCTCTCCTTCCTGAACTCTGGGAGCCAAGCACAGGGCGGGCGTCCCAGGGAGCTCCGAGTGCCCAGGGGCCACGCCGTAGGGGTCCTGGGCATGGGGGGGGGTGGTCACTCACCTTTGTCCAGGTCCACGTTCTTGGCAGGCTGGGGGCCGCGGGCCAGCTCAGCCCTCTCCTTTAGTATGTTGTTTTTGTAATCTGGGGGGTGGGGACAGGAGGGTGAGGTCCCCTGGGAGCTGCGTCCCCTCCCGCGGCCCAGGCCTGTGCCTTAGTGTCGCCCCCCACCCCCAGCTGGACGTCCCCACCCCGCCACCTAGCTGGATGTCTTCGCTCCCGTGCAGCGTCCGGCCTCCTGCGGCGACGGCTAACTCCGACATGGTCACCTGCTTCCTGAGGGGTGGGGTGGGGAAGGTCAGCGCGGGGCATGGAGGCGGGTCTGGCCGCTCCCCAGCGCGGCTTGGGCAGGCGCTCACCGCTTTGACGTTGCTGGCAGCTTGTCCGAGCCCTCGTAGCCTGGGGAGGGAGACGCGTGTCGGGGCGGCGGCGCCCCTCTGCACCTCCCCAGCCCTGAGAAAGCTCCGCCCGCGGCCCGGGCCCCTCCTCACCTGCCCGGCGGCGCTGCGCGGCCAGGACCACAGTGACCAGCAGCAGGATGAACAGCAGCAGCGTGGCCAGCACGTAGCCCAGCTGCTGGAAGAACTGCGCGCGGCTCTCGGGGACGATGACGTTGATGACGCTGCGGCCGCGCGCCAGCGTGGGGTCTGCCGGGGAGCAGGGCGTTAGGGCCGGGGTCCCGGGGCAGGCGCGCGCTCCCGGCGCGGGACCCGCGGCGGGGCAGGCGCACACCTGGGCCGGGGGAGGCGCTGTGGCCCGAGCCGTTGCCCGGCGACCCCCGCGGGGGCGGCTCGGCGGGGGGCTCGTGCACGCGCAGGTGGAAGACGCGGCGCTCGTGCAGGCCACAGTAGTGATGGTGGAGGTGGCAGGAGTACGTGCCCTCGTCGGCCGGCTCCAGCGGGTCGATGCGCAGCGAGAAGTCGCCGCGCGCGAAGGCGTCGGCCGCCACGGCCACGCGGTCGCGCAGGGACGGCGGCCCGTAGGCCCGGCGCTCGCCGGACGCGTACAGGTCCAGCAGGCGGTCGGCGCGGTCGTGCGGCACCCCGGGCGGCTGCCGGTCCCAGTGCGCCACCTGCTGCGCCTCCTCCACGTGCCGCTCGGTCCACACGTGCGCACGGTTCTCGCAGGTCAGCAGCGCGGCCGCGCCGCGCGCCACCGCCAGCACCTCCTTCTCGCCATCCCAGTAGGCTCGCGGGGTGTGGGCTGCGGGGACGAGGAGGTCAGCTGCCCGGCGCGGGGACGCGGGGGCGCGGGGCGCGCGCGGGCGTGCGGGGCACTCACGCGGGTCGACCACCTCGAGGCGCACGGCGTGGCTCTCGTACAGGTGGCAGTAATGGTGGTGCAGGTTGCAGGTGTACAGCCCCGCGTCCGAGTCCTCCACGTCTGCGTGGGGGAGACCGAGGTGAGCGCCGCCGCCCCGTCGCACCGGGACCGCGGGACCGCGGGACCCCGGGCCGCCTACCGCGGAGGAGCAGCGAGAAGTTGCCGTCGTGGAAGGCGGAGGGCGACAGCAGCAGGCGGCCGCGGTCGCGGGGCTCGTACACGCGCTGCTCGCCCGCCGAGTACATGTCCACGAGCCGGCGCGCGGGCCCCGCGCCGCCGCTGAGGTCCCAGTGGACCACGCGCTGGCGGTCGGGCAGCCGGTCCTGGGTCCACACCATGCGCTGGCTCTGGCAACGCAGCACCGCGCGGGCACCCGCGGCCCAGCTCACCGCCGACTCGGACACCACCGAGCTGTCCGCTTGCCCGGGCGCTGCGGGCCCTGGAGGGGAAGGGGAGTCAGCCGCGCAGCGTGGGACCCTCCCCCCTCCCATGGGGTGGAGATGGGAAGGGGAGGGCGGGTTAGGGAGGGGTGCATGGCGGGCCTGGGCCGGGTCACTGACCTGAGGACAGCAGGGCGGTGGAACCTGGAAGGAGAGGAAGGGGAGGGTGCGAGGGGGCAGCTTCAGCCTCGGAGCTCCCCTCCCCGACCCAGCCCCGGGACCCTCCTGTGGTTCTGGACCGGCGGGGTGGGGCAAGCTGGGCAAGTCTGGGGCTGACTCTCCCAGGGCGGGTCTTGCCCTCGCCGCCACCCTGCCTGTGCTGGGCGCCTGCCCTTTGGGGAGTGGTGAGTGGGAGTCCAGGCCCCTGCGGGAGCAGTGACTTCAGCACTACGGCCCGGCTGGTTCTGGGCACCCTCAGTGCTCACCCGGAGGAGGCCCAAGCACCTGCCACAACTCCCCGAGGGTCTTCAGACCCCCAGACCCCCCAAGGGCGCAGCAGCTTTGAGCTTCCCAGCGGCAGAGGGAGCCCCGTCCACAGCCCAGCCTTGGTCCTGCTGCAGGGACATGGCTGGGCGCCGGGAGCCTCTCTCAGGAATGTGCAGGGTCAGCAGGGCCAGCGGGCAGGCGCGGGGCCCGAAGGCGGCCGGAGCAGACCCCGCGAGCCCAGTGCTCAGCACCTCAAGCCCCTGCCCTCCCCAGGACCTGGAGAAGCAGAGACCCGAGGGCCCACGGAGAGGGCAGCCAGGCGAGAGGCGCCCGTGGCCCAGCCTCCGGCCCCTGCTGGCCGCCTTCCTGCCACAGGGTGGTGTGGGGTCCACCGAGGCTTCACGCCCTCCCAGGTGTGCTGCCCCCTGCGCGCCCCCCAACCCGGGGCCAGTCCCTGCCGGGTGGGGGCAGCCACAGCTGGGCCTTGGCTCGCTGGCTGCCGGCCCGAAGGCGGCCGCCCGCCCACCTCCCACCGCCCGCCCTGCACTCACTCTGCAGAAGCAGGAGTTTCCAGAGCAGGGCCTGGGACAGCGGCTCCATGGCGCCCACCCGGCCCCCGGGCCGCTTTGTCTCTTCCACTCCTCCACTCCAGAAAAACAGCCGACCCCCTCCCCCTCGGAGCACCGCTGTGACATCACGGAGCCCTGGGCCGGCAGCCATCGGAGGACCGCCCACTCCCGCCCGGCCTGGTGGGGAGGGCGCTGCAGCCCCCCTGCCCTGGATGGGAGGAGGAGCCAAGCAGAGGCCCAGCCCCCTCACTGGCCAGTCCTGAGGAGTGGCCCGAGGGTGCAGACCCTGATGCCCGGGGAGCACCTCGGCAGTGGGGGCTCCCTGGACCACTGCAGGACTGGCCTCCTGGGGCAGTCCTGTGCGCCCCGGGCACCCTGGCTGCCAGACCAGGGACTCGGGGTGCCTGTGGCTCGTCCTCCGAGGGGCCACGGGTGGTGTGAGGGGCGCTGCTGCCCAGCCTTGCGCCTGACCCAGAGGGGCCAGCAGAGGGTGGGGCCCTGAGCAGACCCCTCCCCTACTGGGCCAGCCATGTAGGCTACACTGCTGGGAGACCCCCACAGGGAGGAAGTGGGGAGTCCCCCCCCCAAGTGCAGCTGCAGCTCTGGGAAGTTAGACTCATATAAACAAAGCAGAATAACAGTGCACGGTGTCCCAAACCCACTCCTTCTAGTTAAGCAAACCTCAAAAAAAAAAAAAAAAAAATCCACACAACCACAAAAATGCGCTGTGCATGGTTTAGCCCGCCCATCGGGTTCAGTTACTGTGGCAGGCCCCGTCCCCGGTGGGCGGGGGTCTCTCTCGAGAACCTGGCCTGGTCCCCACGTCCCCAGAGGAGCTCAGAGCTCAGCCCAGCCCAGACTAGGGGCCTTCGGCACAGGCCACGTGGGGGTCTGGCTGCGAGGACGCAGAAGCCCCCGCCCCACCCGGGACCCCAGCAGGACCCGGCCCTAGGGCGGGGCTCCTCCGGAGAACTTGTCCCCCTCCGTCCTCCTGGCCTTTGGTTCTGGAAAAACAAGGCCAGCCTGGCCGAGCTCAGGGCCTGGCCCCTCCTAGCCTTGCCTCCTGTTTTCCTAACTGGTTTCCATTAGCGCTGGCGGCCTCCCTCCTGTCTGTCTCCATCGCACTCCCGGAGGCCTGACCTCTGCTGGCTCTGGCGCTGACCCCACCTCTGTCTGCCTGGCTGTCACGCGTGGTCTCTGACGGTCTGATGGAGGGGGTGTCCAGGCAGGCTGCAGGGTCAACTCCCAGCACCCACCTAGAAGGGGCTGGAACTCTGCCCAGCTAGCAGGTCCCATGGCCTCCGGCTCTGCTTGTGGAACTTGGGCTAAGACTCCCCTACAAGACTCAAGCCGAAGTCCGCAAGGCCCTGGCTGCTGAGCCCTGTCCAGGGGCAAGCTGGCCCCGACCCCCGGCGAGGATGGTGGAGGCTGCAACCCTCCCCCTGCCCATCTAGTCCCCTCTGAGGTCAGCAGAGGCAAGAAGCCAACAAAGACCCCCCCCCCAACAGGAAGTAGCCACAAATGAGCAGAGACCCAGCAGCCAGCCTGGGCTGCCCCCCAGGCCACCTGCCCCTCCCTGGGCTGGGCTGGGCCCCCAGGAGTGCCCGGGGGCTGCTCGCTGGGCCAAGACGTCCATCCCTGCTTCCAGCCCGCATCTGTCAGGCTGGGAAGAAGACAACCAGGGCAGAAGAAAGCCACTCTGGCCAAGTCCCCCGCCGGACGCGGGCCCTGGGCCCTCCTCCCCTTGCTGTGGGAGGCGTGGCCAGACAGCCCACTGGGCCTGCAGACTGGGAACCAAGCGCTGGTTCCTGTGCCAGGGACTCGGACATTCCAGGCAGCCTGCTCAGCAGGAAGGAAACCACGGCACCCGCCCCTGCCGTCGGCCTGCTGCGGGGCAGCACTGGCCCACGAGCGGGATTCAGGCTAAACCCGATGTCCCATCCCTGTCCCTGAGTGGCAGAGACACAAGGATCTCCCGCCTGCCAGTTCACTCCCCAAATGTCTGCAACAGCTGGGGCTGGATCAGGGCCAAAGCCGGGAGCCAGGAAGTCGGGCCACGTGGGTGGCAAGGACCCAGTTACTTGAGCCACGCCCCGCTGCCCGCCTGGTCCGCCTTGGCCAGGGCTGGAGGCAGAACCCCAAAGCTGGGACCCAGCATGGGCTCCCATACTGCCCTCCTGGGGAGGCCAGGTCACCCCACAAGAGCACAGAGGGCGGGGCCGGGGACAGCCTCTGAGGGGCGACCCGGGCCGGAGGTGCAGCCTGCAGCCCGTCTGATGCTATCGGGAGGCACAGAAGTGGACACACAGCGAAGCAGCCCCTGGAGACTGTGGGGTGGGATTCTCTCACAGTCCCCAAGACCCCCGTCATGGGCGGACAGGATAAGGGGAGGGGGCAGGACCCCTCCCTGCCTGGGACACAGCAGACAGGTGTGAGCTGTCCCTCAGACCTCGGTGGAGCCCCTGTGGGGTCTGCTGCACTGTGCACACAGGGCCCAGGGGGTGGCCACATGGACAGACCTGGGGGCAGAGTTGTTCCCAGCCGACCACCAGGAAGAAACGCCCACACAGCGAGGGTTGGAGGGACGGCCCTGGGGAGGACCTGATTTTCAGCTGTGAGCGCCGGCCAGCAGGCCTGCAGTGCCCTCCCGGCTGCCGACCCAGGGCGAGACACAGGTGGTGGACAGGAAGCCACAGGCCAAGCTTCAAAGGTCAACAGCTTCATGTTTCAGGGGCAGAGTGACAGGTCCCCACACACAGGTTCTCAGCTTCCCAGCTCCGGACTGGGTGTCCAAGCCCCGGGGACGGCCTGGGCTCTGTCCGGCTGGGTGCTGACCCCCTCTCCCCCCCGCCCTAGGGCCCAGCTGCACTGGCCCCGGCCCCACTGTGCACCCTCGCAACGCTGTCTGTTGGGAGCAGGGTGGGGGTGGGGCATCCGTCCATCTTCCAGGGCCCGGATGCTTGCCATGCTTTGTCCACACGGGGCCCCGTCCGCTTCTCCATGTGAACCAGGACGGGCTGTGTCCTGTCTCCTGGGACAGGACCCCCCTGATCCATCAGCTGGGGGCGGAGCCATGACTGGTGCTTGGAGGTGCTGGACCACACACTGAAGCCTCATGCCCGGCGGCCCTGGGCGGTGCTCTCACTGTGTGACAGGCACACACAAACCTCGAGCGGCTTGGTGGGGGCAGCAGGCCTGGCCACCCTCTTCATTTATTTGCAAGTCAGTTGGGGGTGGTGAGGGAGAGGTCTTCCATCCGCTGGTTCACTCCCCAGACGGCTGCAGCAGCCAGAGCTGAGCTAATCCAAAGCCAGGAGCCTCCTCCGGGTCTCCCACGCAGGTGCAGGGGCCCAAGCACTTGGACCATCTTCCCCTGCCTTTCCAGGCCACAGCAGGGAGCTGGATCAGACGTGGAGCAGCCGGGACTCGAATCGGTGCCCATAAGGGATGCGGCACTGCAGTTTGCCCGCAGCACCATGGCGCTGGCCCCCGTAAACTTTACAACCAGGAACCCCGGATTTCCTTGCAGTGCATGACCGCGGAGCCCTGCACCCAGCAACAGCCAGGCGGGCCTCGCAGGACGGTGGCCATCACTGGCTGTGTGCTGCAGCTCGGTGGACGTGTGCACATCACGGCCGGGCCTGCCCCGGGCAGGAACCAACGTCCAACCTCTGGGGTGCTCCTTCCACCCACTGGGAACCCGGAGGGCCCTCACCGCCCACCTGCACCTGGGGTCGGCCACTGCTTCTCAGTGGCTGCAGGGCTCCAGGCCAGAAACCACCGGGTGCCTCTGCTCCCCCGGGGCAGGGGCTGCCCACAGGCCAAAGCCTGCCAAGAACCCGGTGGACCCTGGGCTCCCACGCCGAGTGGCTGTGATGTGCCCAGTCTCACCCCTACCCAGGTTTTCCTGGCGATGTGCTCCACCAGCTGGGTCCCCGCTACCCTCCAGGCACCAACCCTAGCATTCAGTGAGCTACTGGGTGGGAGATGCTACTGTGCCTTTCAAGCAAGCAAGTCCACTTGGAGCTGTACTCCAGCTGAAGGGCGGAGGGAGATAGAGACCTTCCACCTGCTGGTTCCCTCCCCAAATGGCCACAGTGGCCAGGGCTGGGCCAGGCTGAAGCCAGGAGCCCACAAGTCCATCCGGGTCTCCCACGTGGGCGGCAGGGACATCAGCAGGGAGCTGGACCGGAAGTGGAGCAGCTGGGACTGCAGCTAGAGTCCATGTGAACGCTGGTGCCGCTTGGCAGCTTAACCCACTGTGCCACAGTGCCGGGCCTCGGCACACCGTGACCCAGCTCTCCAGCACACCCGAGAAGGCGGCAGCAGGTGGCCCGAGTGCCTGGGCCCCTGCACCCACATGGGAGACCCGGAAGCTCCTGGCTCCAGGCTGGCCCAGCCCTGGCCGTTGTGACCATCTGAGAGGTGACCCAGCAGATGGAAGATTGGTCTCTGCCTCTCTCTAACACTGTCCTTCAAGTAAATAAAATAAATCTTACAGAGACCCACAGGCAGTGCCTCCCGGGAACAGGAATCACCTGGGAGAGACTGGACCAGGGGGACAGTGGACAGAGGTGGACGGCCGTGCAGCCTCCGCCCTCTTCCTCCGGAGGGAGACACAACAGGGAGAGAGGAGGGGTGCACACAAAAATAAAATCCCGACACGGCCTGCTGAGGCCATAGTGGGGCCAGGCTCAAAGGCTGGAGTGACAGGGCCGGGGTCAGCGATGCCTGGGGCGGTGACCCGGGGCTGGGGAGGCCACAGTGGGGCCAGGCTCGCAGCCTGGAGTGACAGGGCCAGGGTCAGCGATGCCTGGGGCGGTGACCCGGGGCTGGGGTCACACCATGTGCTCTAGAGCATTCCACAGCACCCCGGCCTCCACCCCCACTTATGACGACCACGCATGTCCCAGGTGTGCCCCAGGGCTCCGTGAGGCCACTGCCATGAGAAGCGAGGACAGCCCCGTCACACTGCAGGGTGAGCAGGACCAGGCTGCCCTAGCCAGGACGGACAGACAGACATTGGGGGGGGTCAGGACGGCCCCGTCACACTGCGGGGAGAGCTGGGCCAGGCTGCCCTAGCCAGGACGGACGCAGACGTGGCCGCGGCTCCGCAGCCTGGGCTCCACCTGACCCACAAGGCCCCCTCGCCCAGGGAAGCCCAGGACGCCCTGACTCCAGCAGGGGCCTCCAGGGAGCTCACCGCCCCTGCCACTGCCCAGCCACAGAGCTGCAGCCCCTCCGCCCACCTCAGCAAGGACCCACACAGGGCCTGTTTTCATGGGTGGTTTGCTGAGCAGAACCGACCCATCTTTCTCCTGGAGCACTGCGGGCTCTGTTCTAGAAACTTCTGGGAGTGGACTCCGCCCTTCCCGGGCCCTCCCAATGTGCAGGCACTGCAGGCCTGCGCCCGGGATGCAGCTCGGCTGGGGAGGGAGGCACCGACAGGGCTGCACCCAGCAGTGGGGGACGGGGGCCTGAGCCTCGCCCTGGCGCAGGAGGCAGGGACCTGTGGCCTCTGGTTCCAGGGCCGTGCAGTCCCCAGCCCCCTCAGGACCCCACTACGCGAGGGAGGCTGAGCAGCCAGTGGCAGCCAGGGGTGCCGGCTGGAAACCACCCAAATACCCAGCCCCTGAGGCTGCCCCGCCCACCCCGCTGAGCCATGGGCCCTAGGGCGACCTGCGCCCCTCCCGGCCTGGCGGTGAGGCCCCCACCCCCTCCACACACGCAGCAACAAAAGCAAGCACGCCCCCCACCCAGCGTCCCTGTCCCCCCCAGGGCGTGGGCTCCCTGAGGACAAGGCCCACACTGTCCAGCTGAGAACCCGGGCCAGCCCAGCCACAGGAAGGGGCGGCCACACGGAGGCTCAGGCCGCGGCCGGCCCTCAGGGCTTTATTGTGAAGGAGCACCCTGGGCGGGCGCAGGGCGTCACTTGCTCTTCCCGTAGATCCTGGGGGTCTGCCAGCCCTCGGGGGCTTCCTTCAGCCCCGCCTTCAGCCAGATGCGCTGCAGGTCTCGCTCGAACCTCACCTGCGGGGCAGAGGGAGCGCTGGCAGCGGGCGGGGCGGGGCCTCTCCCGCCGCGCCCCGCAGCGCCCTGCCCGCACGCACGCACCTGCTTGCGCTTCAGGCGGCCCTCGCGCACGCTGCGCCGCAGGAAGCGCGTGCGCCGCACCAGCTTGCGGTGTTTGTGGCGGTTCATCTTGCGCCGGCGGATCTTGAGCACGTTCTTGCAGCAAACCGGGGCCGCGCCGCGGGCCCCCGCGTCCCCCTGCGCCGGCCCCTCGCCGGGCTGCTGCGCGGGCGCCTCCGCCCCAGGGGCGCCAGCGTCCGGTCTGGGCAGCAGGCAGCGGGCAGCGAGCCAGCTCTCCAGCGGGCTGATGGCCAGCCTCCGGGGGACCAGCATCTCCTCCAGCTCCAGCCGGGCGCCCCGGCCAGGGGCGGAGGCGGCGCTCCTCGGGCCTGCGGGCTGCGTGCCGTACCGGGGCCTGCACGCATGGCTGCCCAGCACCCCCGAGACGGGCCAGGGCCGGCCGCGGCCTGCAGGAAACACACAGGGGGCAGCACAGGGCACGGCGGCCAGCACAGGCCTCGACTTCCTCCCCGCGCTACGTCCACGCTCACGTGGCCACGGCCGGCCGCGCTGCAGACAGCTAGGACCCGCGTTTCTGACCCCGGTGTGCCTCCCGCCCGCAGCCTCTTACCTGCCCAGGGGACGGCCCTAGCCAGCTGAGAGGTCAGGCGCACCAGGAACATGGCGGGCGTGTGGCGGTGACCGCGGGCGCTCCGGGGCGCTGCAACACAGGTGCAGGCTGAGCGCGGGCGGCGCGGCCCGGGGCGCCCACTCCCCATCGGCCCCAGTCACCCACCCGCGCTGGGGGCTCGGGGATTCCGCCCCACAGTCCCAGCGGGGAGGCCGCAGACCACGCGCCGCCCCCACCTCAGCTTCGCTCGCCGGGCACCACAGCCCACGACGCGGGACGGCCCAGCGCAATCCCGGCCCCCGGCTCTTCCCGGGGCCTGCCCGCCACACGCCCCGCACCTCAGTCTCCGCAGGCCCGACACCTGCAACCCAAACGGACCATCCTGCCGCCCCGCTCAGCGCTTCCGGTCCGTCCCCAAACCGTCCCCCGGCGCCCCCGACTCCGTATTCCGCGTACACGCAGGCCGTCGGAGCCCAGAAAGCGGCGGCTTCCGGCTGCGGGCCGCCGTCGTCCGTGCGCTAACCCTCGCCCCGCCCCTGATGGAGACCTGAAAACTACAATTCCCACAATGCAGAAGTGCCCCGCCAGACCCGCGCGTCACTTCCGGACGAGCCCGGCCGGTTCCTCGGGAGGATGTACAAGAGATGGGCTCGACGCTGCGGAAGTGACGTCACATGCGACGGAAGTGATTGGTCTGTTTCCTCCGTTTGGGCTGCTGCGAAAAGACGCGGAACCGGTGTTGGGCTGAGGGCGCCGGAGTTTCCGGCTGCTCGCGCGTGTGGCCGCGGGGAAGTCCTGCGTGGAGGGAGGGTGACGGCGGCTCCCGGCCGCCATGCGGGCTCCGGCAGGAGTATTTCCTTTGTCTTCAGTATAATCTTTAAAATATTTGAGAGGCGGGCCGGCGCCGCGGCTCACTAGGCTAATCCTCCGCCCAGCTGCGCCGGCACACCGGGTTCTAGTCCCGGTCGGGGCACCCGATTCTGTCCCGGTTGCCCCTCTTCCAGGCCAGCTCTCTGCTGAGGCCCGGGAGTGCAGTGGAGGATGGCCCAGGTGCTTGGGCCCTGCACCCCATGGGAGACCAGGAGAAGCACCTGGCTCCTGGCTTCGGATCAGTGCGATGCGCCAGCCGCGGCGGCCATTGGAAGGTGAACCAACGGCAAAAGGAAGACCTTTCTCTCTGTGTCTCTCTCACTGTCCACTCTGCTGTCAAAAAAATAAAAGAAATAAAAGAATTGTTAAAAAAAATATTTGAGAGGCAGAGTTAGAGATCTTCCATCCCCTGCTTCATTCCCGAAGTGGCCACAGTGGCCAGGGCCTGGCCGATCCGCAGCCGGGAGCCTCTTCCGGGTCTCGCACGCGGGTGCGGGGTCCCGGCCGCGTTAGAGGGAGCTGGATCAGAAGTGGAGCCGCCGGGACTCGAAACGGCGGCCATGTGGCGAGGCTTACCCTGTATCTTTTATTTATTTGTCAGGCAGAGGTAGACAGAAAGGTCTTCCTTTTGCCATTGGTTCACCCTCCAATGGCCGCCGCGGCTGGCGCATCGCACTGATCTGAAGCCAGGAGCCAGGTGCTTCCTCCTGGTCTCCCATGCGGGTGCAGGGCCCAAGCACCTGGGCCATCCTCCACTGCACTCCCGGGCCACAGCAGAGAGCTGGCCTGGAAGAGGGGCAACTGGACTAGAACCCGGGGTGCCCTCGCCGCAGGTGGAGGATCAGCCAAGTGAGCCGCGGCGCCGGTCCCCCGTATCATCTTTTATAAACGTTTATTTGAAAGGCAGAGCAGCCTTCCATCCGCTGGGTCGCTCCTCACATGGCCGCAACAGCCAGAACTCCAGCTGAGGCTCCCACGTGGGCGGCAGAGCCCCAAGCCTGGCCCCTCCCCTGCAGGCCCTGGCCGGTGGGCCCCCCCCTCCCCCTGCACACACCGGTGCCCGCAGCCTCGCTGAGCAGTGTGGAAAGGCACAGCCAGGCTCGGCTTTCGGGGTGCTCCCCGGGCCCCCCCGCATCAGCAGCGGTGGGAAGAGGCGACTGCAGGAGCTAACTGGGGGCCCCGGCCCAGGTGCTGTCGGCCAGCCCGGGAGCTCCCACAGGGCAGCAGGAAGCCGGCTCACTGGGGCTGCGAAGCAGCCTGCTCAGGGCCTGGACCCCGACCCACAGGGCCCCCAGCCAGGCCGCACGCAAGCCTAGGAGCCCAGGCCAGGAGTGGAGGCAGCCGGCGGGTGGAGCTGAGGGAGGGAGCGGGAGCCAAGCAGCAGTGTCCAGGGTCCGCAGGATGGCCGCCCCGCAGACGTGCCTCGGTGCACAGGCTGCCTGCCCAGGGCCCCCGGGGTGGGCCACCCGTGTTGTGCTCCCGGCGTGTGGAGCCACGCTCCCTGGTGCCGTGCCTGCCAGGACCATGACACGGAGACCGCCGGCCCTTCCCTGGGCTGCCTCGTTCCTCCTGGCACTCCCCAGGGCCTGCTGCCGCGGCCCTGCACCCGATCCCAGGGCAGTGGTCCCACCGCTGCCCCCCAGGCCCCTGGGGCCACTGCTCAGAGGTGCGTCCTGGGAGGCGACCACCAAGGTGCCATGGGGAGAGCCAGGCTGCGACTCCTGGACCTCGGAGCACTTCCGTCGGGGCCTCAGCTGCCGCCCACGGCCGAGCAGCGGCACAGGCACAGGACGGCTCAGGACAAAGCCAACACTTTAATGAGCAGGGAGTCGGGCAGCAGCTGCCACGGCCCTTGAGTGGAAGCCAGCTGGGCCAACTGGACAGGCCAGCATGTCGGCGGCCAGTCTTCAGTGTCCGCATGTCCTGAGTAGTCTATCCATCCACACGTAGCAAACTCGAGGAGCTGGTGCCCGCACTCAGCACTGCAGATAAAAACAGACGGCTCCACACGGAGCCAAGTACCTTCTCGTCTTAAAGATCAGGATGCCCCACGTGGGCCAGCGCTCAGCCGGCCCAGTCCGGGTTCCGAGTGAGCGTCCACACGAGGCTCTGACCTGTGTGCCACACGCCTGTCCACCGCGTGCTGAGCCCGAGGGGCTAAGGCCGATGCCTCACCCCAACACTGCAGACAGGGGCCCGAGAGCCGCTCTCCGGGAGTCGCCACCGGGCCTCGGGTCAGGAGGGGGACAGCCAGACGTTAGCACCAAGCCACACCCACAGGGCCCTGCGCCCTGCTCTTCTGCTGAGCTGCCCGTGGGGTCCGGCCGAGGTGGGCCTTGCACAGGGGCGCCACCCGGCTCCTCAATGCCATGTCCAGGTTCACCTCAAGGTCCAGCATCAAAGACCATTTCCAACCAGAACCGCGCTCAGGCCGCTGGAGCCGAGGGCCTGGGCAGGTCCGGGTCTGCCTCACCTCCGGTGCCGGCTGTGCCCGGGGCGGCCCCGATCGTGGCGACGGCCTGTGCGCTCGTACGACCGCGAGCGCTCCCGCCGCTCATCTCGGTAGTAACGACTTTTCTTCTTGTATTTGCCAGAGTTTTCTGCCCGCTCCCGTGAGCGGCTTCGCGAGCGGGAGGAGCTGCGGCTCCGAGACTTGCGTGGCTTCTGGGGGGGGCACTTGCAGTCCTTGGGCTTCCGAGGGCCCCGCGCCTCGGAGCTCCTGCAGGGGGCGCTGCGGGGCGCCTGCCGGGGCGGCGAGTCGCTGCGGCTCCGGGAGCGGCTCTGAGACTTGGACCCGCCGGACGTGGAGCCGCTGTCACTTTTCCTGAGGAAGGGCACACTCCACCCGTGTGACCGCCGGACCCGGCCAGGGCTCCCACAGCACCTCCAGCCACCCTGGGGAGCTCCCACCCACGGGCCGGGCACGCACCTCCTCTTCGGGGACGTGGACCGGGAGGGGGACGGCGAGCAGCTCTGCCCCGGGCTCCGGCTCCGGCTCCCGCGCGCCTTGGGCAAGCTGTGAACGGCAGTGCAGCGGCTGCAGACGGCGCCCGCGGCCGGCCCCGCGCACCGGCGGCCCCGCCCCTTACCCGTTCACCGGGCTGTCGGCCTTGGCTCTCCTCTTGGTGTCCTTGACGGGCGGCGGGGAGGGTTGGTTCCCTTTGGCTTCCTTGGGGGATTCCACTGGGGTCAAGCACAATGAGAACCACTCAGAAAACTGCTCCGAGGAAGCAGCTCAGCGCAGCCGCTGCCAGCCTGGACGGGTGCGTGCGTGCGTGCGTGCTCACACATGCGCACCGGCTCCCCTCGGGCCGTGGGCGTCCTGACTGCCAGCATCAACCTGTGGCGCCAGTGACGAGCCCTTCAGCGGGGGCACCGTGCTGCACCGAGCCACCGCCGGGACGCCCACCCCGCCCCGCTGCAGGTCCCTCCCGGGGGCAGACCTCTTGGGCCTGGCTGTCGTGGGTGCGGGGGATGAACCAGCAGATGAAAACATCTGTGTGTGCGCATGTGCGTGTGTTTGTGTGTGTATAGCTACCGTGCACGCGCAGCGTGTACGTAACAAGTGTGTGTGCGCGCGTGCACTGTAACAGGTGTCAGATCTGCTGGCAGCTGGACACCTTCAGAAGCCCGGAGAGCGCCCTGCCCGGCCGCCCGTGCATGCGGCAGCCACTGCGCCCGTCAGCGGTGCCATTTCTACGCTAATTCAGAGGAAAAGAGAGAACCCAAAGACGAGACTGACACCCTCCAGGCGCGCGTGCCAGTCTCACCGTGGCCTCAGAACCTCCGCCCTGGCGCTCACCTGGCTTGGGGCCAGGCGAGAACCCTGAGCCGCTGTCCAGCACCGGGGCGCCCGCGGGCAGCTGGCCCCTGGCCTGCGCCTTCGCCTCCTCGATCGCCTGCCGCCTCTTCTCCACCTCACCCTCCAGGTGCGCCAGGTCCACCTGCGAGAGCCAGAGCCACGCGCTCAGAACCAGACACCTCTGCGCCCGCACACACGCACCCGTCACGTAAAAACACGCAACCTTCTTCCGTGTATACAGCTGCAGGATTTTCAGGCAGATTTCTCGAATCTCTTCTTCAGTTGCTCCAAACAAAAGGAACCAGTGCGGACGACTGGGCAGAGGGATCTGCGGACACAAACGGGCCCGTCAGCGCCCCACCCTGGGGCGACTGGAACCCCACTCGGCCGGGGCTGTGGCACAGCATCCCGGACAGGCGCCAGCCGGTGTCCCGGCCGCTCCACTTCCCATGCAGCTCCCTGCTAATGCACCTGGGACGGCAGCGTGAGACGGCCCAAGTCTTGGGAGATCTGGATGGAGCTCCAGGCTCCTGGCTCCAGCCTGGCCCAGCCCCAGACATTGCAGCATTTGGGGAGTGAACTGGCAGATGGAAAACCAACCAGTCAACATCTGTCACTCTTTCAAATCAATGAAAAACAAAACAAAACAAAACAAAAACCAGCCTGCGGGTCCCCAAGCCATCCGGGCTCAACTGCTCAGCTGGGCCCGAGTTCTAAGTGTCAGACACAAAGGTCTCCGGAGACGAGAGGGATGGGAGCCGGCCCCCCGCGGAGGCCCGCGCTGACCTCCAGCGTCCGGGCGGCGAGGTAAATGCAGGCACAGGCGATGCTCTCGGGCTGGAACCGCACAAACACGTCCGTGCGCAGACTGTCGTTCATGTAGTTCCTGAAAACCAAGGGAGGAGGAGCTGCAGCCCACAGCCCCGGCTCCAGCCCGCCCCCCACGGCCCTGCTGCTCCCACCACTGCTCACAGCCTAGAGCTACAGGCCGGGGGCGCCCGAGGCTACGCAAGGACTCCTGGCTGCTTCCTACGCAGACAGGAGGACACATTACTGGGGGAAAAAAGCTGGCTGAATGTCAGACGAGTTGCTATGAAGAGAACCGACTTCAACTTGACTTTCCCTCAGCTCTGGCCTGCTCCGTGCCCTGCACAGGCCGCGGAGCAGCCTCCTGCAGCAGTGGGATGCACTGATTCAAGGGTCTGAACGCTCGTCCTCCACGGTGGTGCAGACATGCAAACTCAAAGGCACCGGCTGAGCCGCGGCCACCAGGCTGCCGGGAGACGCGCCGTCCTCCTGCGTCCTGTTCGTCCGAGAGTGCCCGAGGCCTGGTCCTTCTCTGGGCAACTGAGCTGCCACTTCCACGAGGGAGTCCACGGGACGGGGACAGCTCCCCTGGGTGCAAGGCGGGTGCCTGGGGCGCCCTGCAGAGGAAGCCAGTGCCCAAAGGGGCGTCCTCTTCTCGGGCTTAGACAGCCGTTTCCAAACTGTCCCGTTCAATAAGGAGTCTTAAAATGAACATTCACAGAATCAGACAGAAGCAACAAAATATTCCATTTCATCACCGTAAGAACATCTTTAAAATTTTATCATACTTCAGAAGAGATAGAAATACAAACTCTACATTTTTAAAAATGTTAAAACATTCAAAACCATCAATATTTGTAACATTCTCCTTTATATATATTTCTCTAATATGTAAAAGACTATTTTTCTAAGGTTTAATAGATTAAAATCAGATTTAAACTGACTTCATCAGTGTTGTGGCAAACAATTCCATGAGGACACTCGAAAGGCCACGAGCAGCAGTGAGCCCCGGAACCCCCCTCCCCGGGGCACACAAGTCAGGCTGCGCCCGGCGGACTTCCGGCCCCCGCCCCCACCCCCAGCCCAGGAGAGGGCAGCAGACAAACCCACCCAGACCCGGGGCGGGAACTTCTGGATTCTACAGACGCCTCCGGCAGGGCAGCCCCCAGCCCCGCAGATCCAGCGAGCTCTCCGCAGTCAGGGGTGCGACTTAACCCAACAAAGTCCTCAAGTTACGTAAGTCACGGCCATGTTTGGAATCAGTCACAGCTTTAGTGTCCATGGAACGACTGAAGATGCCGCCTCCCTAAGGACGCGTCGCTCCAGAAACAGCCTCCGCGCCCCGGGCCCGCGCCCAGCCCGCCCTCGCTGTGCCCGGCTCTGCCCAGCTCGTCCCAGAGGGAGGCACTGCGTCTTCCGTGTACATTTACCAAAGCTCGAGAGGGATAGCAAGGAGCACAACCGTCAGAGCCAGCAGCAGCGCCGGCCGTGGCCACTACCGCGCGCACCGCCAGTCTAGAGCAGCCTCCGCTGGACAGCCTGACGTCGCCGCTGGCCCTGCACCAAAGCGCTTGGACAGCAGAGGAGAAGTCTTAGTCACTTACCCTCAGAGGCTACCCTTCGATTGAAAGAGTACAGAAAAGAAAAGTCAAAATGGGTTCTCTGTGAACATCATAGCACCAGACAATTCAGTCAGCAAAAACACGACCCTTAAGATTCCACTCCACGGGGAAGTCACCACGCGACCCGGACTCTGCACTGCTACGGCAGCTCACCCCAGCGCATGCAGCCGGCACGCGCACGCCGCAGCCGACGGCCCCGGGCCAGCGCCGCAGCCCCACGGGGAGCCCCACTGACTGCTCTGTCTCACGGGCGGGCCTGGGGGAGGCTGATGGGCACCAGGACACCTCCAGCCCACAACCACGTCACGGGGCGACTACCCACTGCCCCTGCTGGACGTGCGGAACAAGGAGGTCGACTCACCATGAGGTCTGGACCAGGTGCTGGCTGCGCTCACACTCCAGCACCTGAAGGTACAGAACGATGATCTGCAAGACACGGGCAGCCAGTTACCCCACCCTCGAGGGCCGCAGCGCAGGTCCCGGCGTGGGGGCCGTTGCTGGAGTGCCCACTGCGTGATCTCTCTGTAGCTCTGCCTTCCAGACCAATACATGATAGCAAGACAGGGCCTGCGCGAGCCCTCAGCAGCGGCCCCTGGCCTGGTGACAGCTCGGCCAGCTGGGCAGCCCACGGCACAGGCGCCTCGTCCTCCCTGCAACACCTCTTCCGTCAGCGACGTCAGCCTGCGCCAAACATCTCTGTGCGCCAGCCACCAACTAAGCCCTTAACTACGCGGTGGGCGGCTTCCTAATACTTAGATGAACGCCACCAGGTGAAGCGACATGCAAACCAGGCAGCAGGGGGACCCCGGTCGTGAGGACACAGGTGACGGCCACCCAGCCGCTCAGGGCGAACACGGGGCAGCCCGGCTCTGGCTCGGAACGCGTCCACCCCTCTCTGAGAGGGAGCCCGGGCACCACCAGTCCACCTGGACCAGCTGAGGTCAGCTGCTGACAAGAGCGCTCCAGAAGACGTCACCTCCCACGCGGAGCCTGCGCTGAGAGGAGCAGCTCGGACCAGGACTGGCGAGCACAGGAGCGTCCCACACCGACCGGACTCGGCGGGGTCACAGTGGGGGGACGGTGGGGTCACAGTGGGGGGACGGTGGGGTCACAGTGGGGGCACAGCGGGGGGACGGTGGGGTACAGCAGGGACACAGTGGGGGCACAGCGGGGCACAGCAGGGGGACGGTGGGGTCACAGTGGGGGGACGGTGGGGTCACAGTGGGGGCACAGCGGGGGGACGGTGGGGTCACAGTGGGGGGACAGCGGGGCACAGCAGGGGGACGGTGGGGTCACAGTGGGGGGACGGCGGGGACACAGTGGGGGGACGGCGGGGTACAGCAGGGGGACGGTGGGGTCACAGTGGGGGGACGGCAGGGACACAGTGGGGGCACAGCGGGGCACAGCAGGGGGACGGTGGGGGCACAGCAGGGGGACGGCGGGGTACAGCAGGGACACAGTGGGGGGACGGCAGGGACATGGTAGGGACGCGGAGGGGACGGTGGGGACACAGCGGGGGGGCAGCGGGGACACGGCAGGGACACAGTGGGGGGGGACGGCGGGGACACAGCAAGGACAGTGTGGACACAGCGGACACAGCAGGGAGGCGGGGCAGGTGGCCAGCCCGACACCCACCTTGTGGGGGTGCTTCACGTGGACGCAGAAACCCAGCTCCTTCAGAACCCGCCTCTCGGCCTTTATGATCTGGTTCTTCAGGGTGACGTAGTCCTGGTCCAGCAGCAGAGGCGCGGGCTTCCTGCAAACAGAACACGCGGTCAGCAAAAGGCTGAAAGGCAGGCAAGGCCACAGAGGGCGCAGAGCCCACTCGGCCTGGGAGCCCACGCTCCCCTCACGCTCCGCGCTCACCCGCGCTCTCTCCCCGCCAGCCGCCCTAGGGGAGGCGCGTGACCGCCCAGCGGGCCTCCCCTGTGCTAAGGCCACTGTGACTCAAGGGCCAGGACGGAAACCGGACAATCACTTAGAGCAGCACAGTCGCCGCGGTGTCCGTGGGGCCAGTTCCAGCCGTCGGCCCATTTACTAGGTCTGCAAACACCTGACCCACCGGGACACGGCCCAGGGCTCCGGGACACGGCCCAGCACCTCCTCCCACCTCCTGCACCGCATCTGGCTCTAGGGGACTCCCAGCACCCAGGCGGGCACGTGGTCGTAAACACTCGCCATCGGGAGCACACACACACCGACAGACCCCGTCCTGTCAGTGTTGGGGCTCGCAGCTGGTTGGACAGACAGCACCTGCATCCGAGACCAGGCCAGGCCGATTCGAGAGGCCTGTGGAGCCTGGGGGAGGCCCAGGGCCCCGGTTCTCACTCAAGGGCAGCCCAAGGAGGCATCTCTGGCCGGGCCAGAAGCACGTGGGAAACCAGGGCTGATGTGGGAGACGGGAAGGCCACCCCAGCTAGGCTGCGCCCGCCGGGACGTGCGCCCCCCCAGGCCCTGGACCCACTTCTTCTCCCGCAGCTGCCGCAGGCGGTGGAACACGTTGATGACGTCCCGGATGCGCCGCGGCGCCTCTTCTATCTTGGAGGCCAGGTGGACACAGGCCATGGACACGTGCTGCAAGGCAGGCGGACAGACATTTGCCCACGTGCCAGGGCCTCGCGCAGGGCTTGGACCGGGCCCACCGGCTTCCCGCTCACCTCCATGGAGTGCTTCACGAAGGACTTGGTGTAGAAGAAGCGCTGGAACAACACTTGCCCGGTAGCCATGGCCACCTGGAAGGCGGAGCGCCTGTCACCGTGGCTCCGTGCGACCCGCAGGCTCGGCTCGGGCTCCAGGGGGAGGTCCGGGGTCGGGGCGGACGCAGGGTCCAGGGGTTGGGCCAGGATCGGGGGCCGGGGGTTGGGAGTCGGGCTGGGCAGGGGCTCCAGGGGTCAGGGGTCGGGAGTCGGGCCGGGCGGAGGCTCTGGGGATCGGTCAGGGTCAGGGATCTCGGCGGGCGCAGGGTCCGGGGGTTGCACCAGGATGGGGGGTCAGGGTTCGGGAGTCGGGCAGGGGCTCCGGGGGTCAGGGGTCGGGAGTCGGGCCGGGCAGGGGATCCAGGGATCGGTCAGGATCAGGGGTCTCGGCGGGCGCAGGGTCCGGGGGTCGGGCCAGAATCGAGGGTCAGGAGTCGGGCCGGGGCGAGGCTGCAGGGGTCTGAGGTCAGGGGTCGGGGGTCGAGCTGGGCGGGGGCTCCAGGAGTTGGAAAGGATCGGGAGTCAGGGGTCGGGATCGGGCCGCGCCGCGCCCACAAAGGCCCGGCCGCCCCTGGCCTGCGCGGCGGTTACCTGGCCGGGGCTCGCGGCCGCGCCCTCACCTGCGGCAGGCGGAGCAGGATGCCGGCCGCCTGGATGAGCTCGCAGCCCACCACGCGGAGGTCGGTCTCCGTGTCGGTGTCCAGCCCGCTCGACATGGACGGCGTGAAGCGGAGCTTGTCGTCAGGCAGAAGGCAGTTCTCCAGGGTGATGAGCACGCCCGAGTACAGCCGGTCCCCGATGAGCACCCCCTGCGGCCCGGGCGCCGTGCCGCCCGAGCTCGGGGCGCCGGCTCCCGACGCGGGGCCCACCGGCCCCTGGACCGCCGCCGCCATCTTGTGCCGCCGACTCGCCTTCAGACTCCTTCCCGGCCGGGCGGCTCCTCGCACCGCCTCCCGGCGCCCCCGTCCCGCCTCCTCGCCGCGTGCCATTGGCCGGGCAGGGAGTCCGCCCCGCGCCATTGGCCGCACGACCCGACCATCAGCATCGCGTCAGGCGCCGGCGACTGAACCCGGCGCGGGGGTCGACGGAGCCGGCTCGTTACCCAGCGGCCTCCGCGGCTCCGGCCCGACCCGGAAGCGCGTCTGCCCCGAGCACCGGGTCCGCCGAGCGCGGCGCCTGCTCCCGGGCTGTGTCCTGGGACCCCGCGTCGCCGCGGATACGCTGGGTCGCGCGGGAGCGGGTGACTCGGGAGCCCGAGGGTTCGGGGGTCTGTCTCTGCGGGGCCGGGCGCGACGAAGTGGCCTCGGAATCACGCGCGAGAGTGCCTGGGCAGAGGCAGGTCCTGCGGGCGCTCCCCGGAGCACCTCGTGGGTGACCCCACGCGCGGGCAGCGGTGAGCACTGACCCGCTTTCCTCTGCTTTGCCGCCAGGGGCGCGCTGGGGCCAGTCCACACCACCGCACGCCCAGGCTGGCAGCTCCAGGACAGAAGGGACTCGCTCTTTGCAGGACCCCCACCCCACCCCGTTCGTTTCTCCCTGGCACTCCCCAGGCCAGAGGAGGGAAACCGGTGCCTGCAGCCGTCTGGGCCCTGGGCTCAGGCGCACACCTGCAAAGGGATCACTGGGCTGGAGGGGTGTGAGCTGCGGACACATGGCAGTCACCAGGGGGCTGGCCGGACTATGCAGAGGTCACGCTTTGAGCACCTTAAGACCCTCTGAGCAGGACCCAGCCCCAGCCCCCCAGCCCTTAGGGCGCCGGAGCTTCCGGCTGCTCGCCTTAGAAGCTGGGGTGCAGTGACAAGGCCCAGGAGGGACTCCAGGGCCGTGCAGTAATGGGAACAGAAGCGTGGATGGAGAGTGGACAGCACGGAGCCAGCTCCAGGAGCGGGGTGTCCGGGGGCTGCACCGGGGAGGCCAGGTGCTGTCCAGGTACCCCTGGCGGGGATGGAAGACCCAAAGACGAACCCGTTGTTTTCTGGTTCTGAGTCGCTGGGGTCGTGTGATTTCCTGTGGACCTGGCCCCCAGGCTGGGAGCACCGGCCCTTACTGAGGCAGGCCAGCTACTACCCAGTGGCTTCCACTGGTGGGCTCGCTGAGCACCCTCCTGGGCTAGGAGGAGCGGTTCCATTTCACAGGCCTCCTGGGGACCGGGACAGATGGAACAAAGAGTAGACCTCGGCCATCGCACTCCCTGGCATCTGTTCCTTGCCCTTGGATCTCAGCTACGTCTCGCACCGTATGGCCTTTACACCCCTATTCTTTCCCATGTCCCCACAGCCCCGAAAGACCAGTGCCAGGAATTCACCTCCGTCCACTGCCCCCTGCCCCCACCCACCCCTCCTCAACTATAAAAAGGCCCGGCCCCGGGGTGGGGCCCTCTGCCTGTGTCCGTCAACCTGCAGGTTTATTTTCTGAGCGAGCTGGGTCTGGCTGTGGTTTGCACACTGTGTCCTCTGTCCTGACACTGCCCCCCACAACCTCAGAGCTGGACACCACGTGGCCTTTATTTGCAGTCAGTGGAAGGCGGTTCTGGGAAGTTACAGGCGACACTTGCACACTGCTGATGAACTCTCTCCCTCCTGTGCTTGGGTCAGCACCAGCAGGCAGAGCGGCCTCCCAGCGCTGCCAGGTCAGTGGTCCCGCGCCACTCGGGAAAACACGCCTTCCGGCTCCTGGCCGTCCCCCAGGGCCGCAGCGAGTCCTTCTTGTCGCCTCCTCTCGGCCAAGGCCGCCAGGGACTTAAAAGTCTTGGGTTCGTGGATGGCCAGGTCTGCAAGCACCTTCCTGTTGAGCTCCACCTGGCACTGGGAACAGCAAGAGCGCGCGGCTCAGAACGCAGCTCAGAACGGGACGAAGGGGCTCCCTGGGACTCACTGTGAGTTCCCACGGGAGCGCTAAGCCAGGCATCCTGGGGGACGAGACCACAGGGGATTCCGGCTGCCGTGGGGGCTGGCGGGCTCTCACTCTGCACCTGCGGCCTGCGCACCTCGAGCACAGCCCCGGTCTCCGCCGGGCCGACCGCACCCCATCACAGTGGCAGTGCGAGTCCTGGATGGTCCCCGACCAACCCAGCTCCCTGCTGTGGCCTGGGAAAGCTGCAGAAGAAGCCCCAAGTGCTTGGGCCCCTGCACCCACCTGGGAGACCCAGAAGAAGCTGCTGGCTCCAGGCTCCAGCCTGGCCCAGTCCTGGCTATTATGGGCATTTGGGGAGTGAACCAGTGGATGGAAGATCTCCTCTCTCCCTGCCCCGCCTCCCTATCACCATTCCACAGCACATTTCCCCCAAGCTAAAGCTTCATCCGCTGTGTCATCAGAAATCAGTCGCAGTTGGGGCCAGCGCTGTGGCACAGTGGGTTAATGCCCTGGCCATATGCCATATGGGCGCCGGTTCTAGTCCCGGCTGCTCTTCTTCCGATCCAGCTCTCTGCTGTGGCCTGGGATAGCAGTAGAAGACGGCCCAAGCCCCACCCGCGTGGGAGACCCGGAAGAAGCTCCTGGCTTCGGATGGGCACAGCTCCAGCTGTTGCAGCAGATGGAAGACCTCGCTCTCTATCGCTCTTTCAAATAAATAAAATAAATCTTTTTTTTTTTTTTTGACATGCAGAGTGAACAGTGAGAGAGAGACAGAGAGAAAGGTCTTCCTTTTGTCGTTGGTTCACCCTCCAATGGCCACCATGGCTGGCACGCTGCAGACGGCGCACCGCGCTGATCCGATGGCAGGAGCCAGGTGCTTCTCCTGGTCTCCCATGGGGTGCAGGGCCCAAGCACCTGGGCCATCCTCCACTGCACTCCTGGGCCACAGCAGACAGCTGGCCTGGAAGAGGGGCAACCGGGACAGAATCCGGCGCCCCGACCGGGACTAGAACCCGGTGTGCCAGCGCCGCAGGTGGAGGATTAGCCTAGTGAGCCGCGGCGCCGGCTAATAAATCTTAAAAAAAAAAAAAAAAGAAATCAGTCACTGTTAATCCTTTCAAATTAAGCCTCGTCTTCCCTAGAACTGTTTATTTGAAAAGCAGAATTAGAGCGAGACAGAGATCATCCATCCAGTGGTCTACTCCCCAAGTGGCTACAACGGTCTGGGCTGGGCCAGGCTGAAGCCCGGAGCTCCATCCCGGTCTCTCGCGTGGTGCAGGGGTCCACGCCCTCGGCGTCTTCACTGCTTCACCAGCGCAGAGCAAGGAGCTGGTGGGAAGCAGAGCGGCCGGGACTCCTGGCTCCTGCAGCTCTCCCGCCCGCGGCCTCTGCAAGCGCTCAGGGACAAGCTCCGCCCCCCTCCTTAGGGAGGCATCGAGCCAGCACCTCAGCGCCACACCCGGGCGGCCGGTGTGCTGAGCCCCAAACCTTGCCAGGCTGGCTCTGGGTTGGCGTTCGCTGTCAGCGGGGCCGGATCCTCAACCATACCTTAATTAAATTGGAAACGAATGCTGGGTACTTCAGGCCGTGTTCCTGGGAGGCAGCTGTAATTCGGTTAATCCAGAGCTGAAATGAGACGGGGAGAGGAGTCAGGAGGCCCTGCCGGGCCCAGGCCTTCGGGCAGAGCACACAGAAAAGCTGGATTCACTGAGAGCGCGCAGGGGCAGTGGTCAGAGGCGTGGCTCCTCCTGCAGAGCCAGCTCCAAGCCCTGCGAGGCAGGGAAGGCACCACGACGGGCTCCGATCCAACACACGACTGTCAGACGGAGCAGCGACAGACCCTGCGGCAGGCACAGACGGGCACGAAGCGGGGGCCGGCGCTGTGGCCGCAGCGGGTGAAGCCACTGCCTGCACCGCCGGCCTCTCACACGGGCGCCGTCTCCTGTCCCGGCTGCTCCAAGTGCTTGGGCCCCTGCACCCTCGTGGGAGACCCGGAAGAAGCTCCTGGCTCCGGATCGGCGAAGCTCCGCCCACTGTGGCCACCTGGGGAGTGAACCAGCGGATGGAAGACATCCCTGTCCCTGTCTCTCTCTCTCTCTGCAACTCTGCCTTTCTTTCTTTTTAATTAATTAATTTATTTATTTTTGACAGGCAGAGTGGACAGTGAGAGACAGAGAGAAAGGTCCTCCTTTGCCATTGGTTCACCCTCCAATGGCAGCCGCGGCCGGCGCACCGCGCTGATCCGATGGCAGGAGCCAGGTGCTTCTCCTGGTCTCCCATGGGGTGCAGGGCCCAAGCACCTGGGCCATCCTCCACTGCACTCCCTGGCCACAGCAGAGAGCTGGCCTGGAAGAGGGGCAACCGGGACAGAATCCGGCGCCCCGACCGGGACTAGAACCCGGTGTGCCGGCGCCGCAGGCGGAGGATTAGCCTGTTGAGCCGCGGCGCCGGCCCATCTGCCTTTCAAATAAATAAATAAATCTTAAAAAGAAAAAAGAAAGAAAAAAGCAGCTTTGAAGCCCATTTTCTCCCGCTACCCCGGTGACTCCTCAAAGCGTGAGAACGCGCGGGGCCGGCGCGCGGGGCCCCCCGACTGCCCCCGCCCTCCACTCTCCGGGCCACACTCCTAACGCGCCACCGCCCCGGCCCGGGGCTCGGCCCGCGCGCGGCGGGCGTGGGGACGCTTACGGTCCGCATGGTCCTCTTCTTCAGCCTGCGGGCCTGCGTGCATTTCACGAAGGCCCTGGTCACGGCCCGGACGGCCAGCCGGTAGCAGCGGTTCTTCCTACCCCGGAAGTGCTGGGTGGAGAAACGGGAGAGCGGCGAGGTCGGCGGGCGGCCGCGGCCCGGAGCGCCCCGGAGCGGCCCGGCCCCGCCGGCGCGGGCGGCGCACTCACCCGGGCGTGCTTCAGCACCTCCTGCACCCGCCAGTAGCGGTCGGTGAGCCGGTTCCGCAGCCACAGCTGCGCCGTGAGGAAAACCATGGCGCCCCGAGACCCTGCGGCTCACAGCTCGCGCCGCTCCGCCGCCATGCCGCCCGCCGCGGGAGCGGGGCTCGCGAGCGCTTCCGGGGCGCCGGCGGCCCGAGCACTTCCGGGGCGCCGCGCGTGCGCGTTGCCGTCCGGGAGCCGGCGCCTGCGTCGGTGAGCTAGCGGGCCCCGGCGGTCCGGCGGCCGGCTGGCGGAGCGAGGACGGAGGAGTAGACCTGGCCTGTGTTGGCGGGAAGCAGCCTGTCTACCCCGGGGAGGTCCCTGGAGAGCGTGGCCTGCGCGGAGCCCGGCGCTGGGGTCCGCAACCCCGTGCCCCGTGGGCAGAGCTCAGCTCCGGGAGCCGGGCTGGAGCGGGAGTGTCCTGGGACCCAACCGTGCGGGCGGCAGTGGGGGCAGTCCGACTGCCCCGGGTCGGGGGTCGGTCCTTGGCGGCTGCCCCCGAGAGACTCCCTTTGGACGAGGCGGCGGCGTGGAGCGAGCGGCCTCCTGCAGCTTCGTGCGCGGTGCGACTTTAAGTTGGAGAGAAGTTGCCGGACCAGAGTCCCCGGGTCGCTTCCCCCAGGGGCACCGGCTGTTCACGCTTTGCTCCATTTTGGGTTTTTTTATTTATTTATTTATTTATTTATTTATTTATTTTGACAGGCAGATGGACAGTGAGAGACAGACAGAAAGGTCTTCCTTTGCCGTTGGTTCACCCTCCAATGGCCGCCGCGGCCGGCGCACCGCGCTGATCCGAAGCCAGGAGCCAGGTGCTTCTCCTGGTCTCCCATGGGGTGCAGGGCCCAAGCACTTGGGCCATCCTCCACTGCACTCCCGGGCCACAGCAGAGAGCTGGCCTGGAAGAGGGGCAACCGGGACAGAATCCGGCGCCCCGACCGGGACTAGAACCCGGTGTGCCGGCGCCGCAGGCGGAGGATTAGCCTAGTGAGCCGCGGCGCCGGCCCCCATTTTTGTTTTAAGATGTATTTTTCGGTCGCAGCTTCCGTCCGCTGGTCCACTCGGCAGTTGGCCGCACCGCCAGGGCTGGGCCAGGAGCTTCCCCCTGGTTTCCCACGTGGGTGCAGGGACCCAAACGCTCCCCGGCTGCGTTAGGCAGGCCACGTGGGTGCAGGGACCCAAGCGCTCCCCGGCTGCGTTAGGCAGGCCACGTGGGTGCAGGGACCCAAGCGCTCCCCGGCTGCGTTAGGCAGGCGCTGGATCCGCAGCACAGCAGCGAGGACTCCAGCTAGCACGCGCACGGGACGCCTGCTGCGCCACACGCGGGGTCTTGGAGAGTGGGGGTGGTGTCTGGTGGAGGGAGTGGGGCGGAGGGGGCGAGGTTTGGGCCCCCGGCACCCACGTGGAGACGCGGAGGGGGCTCCTGGCTCCGGCCCGGCCGGCCCAGCCCTGGCTGTTGCAGGCACTGGGGCAGTGAACCGCCAGATGGGGGATCAAATGAAGTGACAAGAGGACGGGGCGATGCCATGTGGCAGCTCTCCGGACCGGGCGGAGTCCGGCGGGCGTCCGAGGCCTGAGGGGCAGCGTGCCTGCCCGTCTTGGAGAGCAAGGTGGGGACGGGGGGACCGTGCTGAGTAGCAGAGCACCCTAAAACGTGGTGGCCTGGCACAGGGCTCCCGCTCACCATCTCGCGAGCCGGGCAGTTCCGGGGCTGCCTCACGCAGCAGCATCGAGGACGGGGAGCTGGGCCAGCTGTCCCCTCAGGCAGTCTTGTCTCCACGTGCTGTCTGTGTGGTCTTCCTGGGGCTACTTGGAACGTGGGAGGGGCTGGGGCAGCAGAGGAGACCATGGTGTCTGCCCAGAGCCCCCACCCGGTGCCCCGTCCAGTGCCCGCCCAGTGGAAGGCAGAGGCAGCCTCACCTTTCCCACCTGGCCCGGGGGGCCACCCAGTGTCACCTCTGTGTACCCCAGAGTCCTCCACGTCACAGCGTGCAGAGGACACCGGCACGGCCACGCCGTGTGAGCGGGAGCCACTGGCAGGCCCGTGAGCAGGGGCAGCACAACCCAAGGTGTGGAACCAGGTGGCAGCCGTGTTTGGAGTGGGCTGCGGGGAAGCCAAGACAGATGGACTGGCTGGGTGAGGTCTGGGCACGAGTGGGGCAGCTTGCACCACAGTGGACACAGGGAGTGAGACGCGGGCAGCTCTGCAGGGCCCGAGTGCTGGCCAGCTGGGTGTGGTCCTCCTGGGGCTTCAAATCCGTCGTCCATCCAGCACTGCCCCTCCAGCCCTCACCTCTCCCCACCCTCTCCCGCACCCACCTGAGGGTCAGGCCAGTGCCTGCCTACCCAGGGGTGACCGGTTGTCACCTCCCAGGTGCTGGCTGTCCCTGGTGGCCTCCCCTGCCCTGCAAGTTCAATCGCACAGCTGGCCCGGGCTCAGGGGCGCCGCGGTGCTGACCTGGCACACCAGCTCTGCCTCTGTGGCTCAGAGGGTTAATCCTCCGCCTGCAGTGCTGGCATCCCATACGGGCACCAGTTCAAGTCCCAGCTGCTCCTCTTATCCAGCTCTCTGCTACGGCCTGGGAAAGCAGGGGAGGGTGGTCCAAGTGCTTGGGCCCTGCACCTGCACAGGAGACCCTGAAGAGGCTCCTGGCTCCTGGCTTCGGCTTGGCCCAGCTCCAGCCACTGCAGTCATTAGGGGAGTGAACTAGCATATGGAAGACCTCTCTGTCTCTCCCTCTTGCTGTCTGTAACTCTACCTCTCAAGTAAGTCTTTAAAAACAAAAATCCTGCTCTTAAAGCAGCTGACGACCGTGGCTCCTTTCCTAGGCGTCTGGGAGAGGTGGGCAGTCAGACAACAACCCCGAGGCTCCAGGTTCCTGGAGATGCCGAAGCCAGGACATGGGGGCCTGGTGCTGCTGCAGGGAGAGACGGGCACACGGGACACACCGGGCAGGGCGGGCTCAACCTGTACTGAGGTTGCTGTGGGCAGCTCAGCTGGCCTCCGTGCTCGGGCAGCCCCTGGCCCCTGGCCCCAGCCCTAGCCCTGATGACACTGGTCCAGGGAAACCTGGGCTTGGGAGGGCAGTGAGGCCAGCAGGAGGTCCAGAGAATGGGCTCCACACAGAAGGGCACACTCCAGCAGCCGCGGCCCTTGGCTTGAGCCCCAGGTGGCCAAATACAACATCTACGAAAACAGCAGCTTGAGGGGGTGTTGGGATTTGGTCACAGCTGTTGTCACGACTCAGCCTTTACCAGAGAGCCTGCCGGAGCCGCGGGGGGGTGGGGGGGGCACTGCAGCCCCAGGACAGACCCCGTGTGGCTGCCGCCTCCTCCAGGTGCCTCCAAGCTGAGTTCTGCTCTGTCCAGGCGCGTGGCCGGGAAACGCAGGGGCTGGGGAGCCAGACGGCCCTCAGAGGGCAGGCGGTGCGCGGGGCAGGCCCCCCTCGGACATCTGGGCCAGCTCACCCCACCGTGTTCTCAGGCCAGGGCTGGCCCCTCTGCTCAGCAGAAGCCGCGCGGTGGCACAGTGGTCATGCTCCGTGGCCAGGTGCAGAGCCGTCTTGTGCAGCCAGCCAGCAGCGTTGACCTGCGCTCCCTTGTCCAGCAGGTGGCTGGCGACCTCCACGTGGCCCCCCCGAGCAGCGTGGTGCAGGGGTGTGAGGTCCAGCGAGTCCCGAGTGTCCACCTCAGCTCCCCAGGCTACCAGCAGCTGGACGGCAGGCAGGTGTCCCCGGGCAGCAGCCCTGTGCAGCGCAGAGCGGCCATGCCTGTCCCTGAGGCTTGGGTCCGCCCCGTGGCCCAGCAGCACCTCAATGTCCTGGAAGGGGGGGACAGGGGCCACCTCAGCCTGAATGTGGGAGGGGCTGGGGCCGGGAGGAGCCACTTGTCAGCCACCTGCTGACAAGACTCTGCCCCTCCTTGGTAAACGGCCAGAGCCCAGGACACCCCGGCAGGGCTCTGAGTGGAGGTGTCCACTGTCCCCCAGTGAGCCACAAACTCAAGCCTTGGGGCGGCTGGCATGGCAGGGTGCACCGGCATCCATACGGGAGCGACAGCGCAAGACCTGGCCACTCCACTTCCCATCCAGCCCCTGCTGTGGCCTGGGAAAGCAGCAGGCGATGGCCCAAGTGCCTGGGCCCCTGCAGCCACGTGGGAGACCCGAATGAGGCTCCTGGCCTCTGGTTTCTGCTTGATCCAGTTGGCTGCTGGGGGAGCGATTCAAATTCATTCTCTCTCCACACACACACCCTCACTTCCTGTTTGTCGCTCTGCCTTTCAAATAAATAAAAATATTAAAAAAAAAATCTCAAGAGTTGGTGGTGGACCGCAGCACCGCCCGGGTCCGTGGTAGCATTTTCCAGAAGGGAGCCGGAAGCAAGGCCAGGGGGTTCCCTGGGGCTCTCCGGGACGGCCACCCCCCCTGGGGACAGCCGCACCTACCTGCTCGCGGCCCAGGCTGGCCGCCAGCCCCAGCGCGGTGGCCCCGGAGCCGTCGGCGGCGTCCGCCTGTGCCCCGCGCGCCAGCAGGAGGCGCAGCGCGGCCCCGCGGCCCGCCGCGGCCGCCGCCAGCAGCGCGCCGTCCAGCTCCGCGCCGCCCGCCGCCAGCAGCTCGAGCACCGGCAGCCGCCCGCCCGCGGCCGCCCAGTGCGCCGCCGTCCAGCCCCGCGCGTCAGCCAAGGCGGGGCCCGGGCCCGGCGCGGCCAGCAGGACGGCGGCGAGCGGCGTGCGACCGAGCGCGGCGGCGCAGTGCAGCGGCGTGAGGCCGGCCCCGCAGCGCGCCGCCGCCGGGGCCCCGCGCCGCAGCAGCAGCTCCGCCACGCTCGAGTGGCCGTGCCAGGAGGCCTCGTGCAGCGGCGTGCGCCCCGCGCTGTCGGCGGCCGCCGCCGGGGCCCCGCGCCGCAGCAGCAGGTGCACCAGGGGCGCGTGGCCGCGCAGCACCGCCAGGTGGAGCGGGGTCCGGCCGGCGCGGTCCCTGCGGGGAGGCAGCGGGGTCTGCGGGTGGCCGCGCCCCGTCGTGCCCCTCGGCCCTCCCCTCCCCGGGAAGGGACCCTGCCCGGCTAAGACACTGCGTCCCCCAGGGGCCCACCTCTCCTCCACGCTGGCCCCTTGCCGCAGCAGCTGCAGCACCAGCCCCACGGGGCCCCGCCACACGGCCCGGAGAAGGCAGCCGGGGCCCTGGGCGGCTTCCGCGGGGGCCTCCTCGGAGCCCAGCTCCGTCCACCGCAGCTCCTGCTCCGCGTCCTCCCTTGCCAGGTCCCACTTGCAGCACTCGGGTCTCCTGGCGTCCACCTGGGGAGAGTAGGGTCCCGCACCCACCCTACAAGGCCTCTGGCCAGTCCCGCCCAGTGTCAGCTAAGGAGAAGCCCCGCCGGGGCTTAGCCTGTCTGGGGGCTTCACTTACAGCTACCCCCAGGGTTTCTGTGTGGTCCGGGGTCTTCTCCATGGCTGGCCGGTCCCGCCTGCAGGCTCAGAGCTGCAGTACCTGCTCCCCGACGACCAAGCTCACCTAGGGGGAGGGGCCGCCCTGGCTCCGCCTCCTGCCCATGGGCTGGCAGAGTCCACCCAACACTGTTTACCCAGCAACTTAGTGGGAGGCCCTGCCTGCCAGGCTGCAGCCCCTCCACACCCACACCCCGGCTCAGCCCCCCTCCCAGGGAACACAGGCCAGAGCAGGTAGTTCCAGAAAGACGAGCAGGAACTTGCCTGGGGACCACGGCCCGTCCCACCACCCGGAGCACAGCCTTCCATGTGCCCCGACTTGCTGGGGGACCCCCCACCAGGACTCCTGGGGTCCCTGGGGCCCTGCCCCCACCTGACCTGTCCCTGCTGCCTAAGGCCCCCCCCCCCCCCCCGCTCGGGGGCTGGCCTGTCCCTGCTGGTCCCAGTCAGCTGAGGCTCACACACAGCGTTTGCATGAAGGTGATCCAGCTGCGTGGGGGGGGGGGGGGGGGCACAGCAGGGGGCCGGTGCCTGGGCAGGGAGGCGTCCCAGCAGAGCTGGCTCCCCCAGGGCAGGGCCTAAGTGGGCCTTGGAATCCTGCAAACCTGGGTCCAGGATACCTGTCCAGTGTCCAGACGGGAGACGCTGCCCTGCCGGCTGACCCCTCGGCCTCTCCCCTCCAGTACCTGATGGGGGTCCGTGAGGAGGCAGCAAAGTCGGGGCCCCTTCCCATCCCAGCACCACTCGGACCGCCAGACGCCCAGGAGGAGAGGAAGTCCTGAGGTCCCCGTGGGGACCTGGAGCAGCCCTGGGCTCCCGCCTGCGTTAGTCTCTCCTGAGTCCTTGCCACTGCCCGGAAATGTCTGCTTGTGCTGTGGCAAACGTCTTCCTTTCTCTCCTAGAGCGTTCCATGGGGCAGGTCTCGCAGACATCAGCCACTGTGGTTTGCTGTGAGCGGCAAAGGCAAGTTGGGCCAAGTCCTCGGTCCCCTGCCCCTCTGTGCCACAGGAGCGGCTTCGTGCTGGCCCTGGCCCTGGGGGCTGGCCGGAGAGTCCCACTCCTCACCCCAGACTCCCGGGAGACGGACAGGCAGTCAGAGGCCGCCTGTCTGCCCAGGGCGAGCTGTGGAGCTGTCGGAGAGCCAGTCCACAGGGCGCACCTGCAGGCCGGCAGCCTCCCCAGCCCCTTGGCCTGGGCTCCTCAGAGCTTCGGGCACTTCCTGGCACAACCTTGGAACTTGATCCCGCGTCCTGTCCTGTTGGTGGTGTTTGGAGGCGGGGGCTTTGGCAGGTGATCAGAGTTAGATGGGGTCACGCCCCCCCATGGGCACCTTGCCCTGTGTGGCCGGACGCCTGAGCGGGCACCGGAGCCAGGAGCCCAGTGAACGTGCCTTCTTCATGGATGACCCCGCAGACACAGAGAGACCCAGCAGCAGCCAGCGTCAGCCAGTGAATGAGGGCCTGTGGAGGACGTGGATGGTGCAGCTTTTCTTTGTTAATCCCAAATTCATTATCTGAATAAACAGGCACTGGGCACGCGGTGAGCACGTGGTGCACCCACGTGGGATGCCTGGTTCACGTCCTGGCTGTGGTGCTTCTGACCCAGCTCTCTGCCAAGCCCACGGAGACCCGGATGGAGCTCCAGGCTCCTGGCGTCAGCCTGGCCCAGCCCTGCCCGTTGTGGGCGCTTGGGGAGGGAACCAGCGGATGGAAGAGCCCCTTTCTCTGTCTCTTCCTCTCTCTGTCCTTTTGTCTGTCATATAAAATCTAAATAAACAGTTTTGAGAAAAGTTCTTGGCACATGTGTGCCAGTGAAAACAGGCTGCCGCAGAGTCGGGCAGGGCCCCTCGGCTCCCGACGGGCGCGGCCATGCCGTGCGTAGCTGTCGTCATCCTGTTTTGGGGCTCTGCGGGAGGCTGGCGCGCGGGAGGCCTGCAGACGCTGGGAGGAAAGTTGAAAGGGACGAAGCCGCGGAATCGTGCAGCTCACAGGGACTCACTATGGTTTGTCTTTTTTCTAAGATTTATTTTATTTGCCGGCGCTGCGGCTCACTAGGCTAATCCTCCACCTTGCGGCGCCGGCACCCCGGGTTCTAGTCCCGGTCGGGGCACCCGATTCTGTCCCGGTTGCCCCTCTTCCAGGCCACTCTCTGCTGTGGCCCGGGAGTGCAGTGGAGGATGGCCCAAGTGCTTGGGCCCTGCACCCCATGGGAGACCAGGAGAAGCACCTGGCTCCTGCCATCGGATCAGCGCGGTATGCAGGCCGCAGCGGCCATTGGAGGGTGAACCAACGACAAAAGGAAGACCTTTCTCTCTGTCTCTCTCTCTCATTGTCCACTCTGCCTGTCAAAAAAAAAAAAAAAAGATTTATTTTATTTGAAAGAGAGACAGAGACAGAAAGATCGTCCGTCTGCTGGTTCACCCTCCAAATGACTGCAGCAGCTGGGGCTGGGCCAGGCCAAAGCCAAGAGCCCGGAGGTTCTTCCAGGTCTCCCACATGGGTGCAGAGGCTCAAGGACTTGGGCCGTCTTCCACTGCTTTTCCAGGCCACAGCAGGGAGCTGGATTGGAAATGGAGCAGCTGGGACTTGAACCGGTGCCCATATGGGATTCAGGCATTTCGGAAGGCTTTACCTGTTATGCCACAGCAAAGGCCCCAGAATGAAATTAAATTTAAAAATGCTGGCCGGCGCCGCGGCTCACTAGGCTAATCCTCCGCCTTGCGGCGCCAGCACCCCGGGTTCTAGTCCCGGTCGGGGCGCCGGATTCTGTCCCGGTTGCCCCTCTTCCAGGCCAGCTCTCTGCTGTGGCCAGGGAGTGCAGTGGAGGATGGCCCAAGTGCTTGGGCTCTGCACCCCATGGGAGACCAGGAAAAGCACCTGGCTCCTGGCTCCTGCCATTGGATCAGCGCGGTGCGCCGGCCGCAGCGCGCCGGCCGCAGCGGCCATTGGAGGGTGAACCAACGGCAAAGGAAGACCTTTCTCTCTGTCTCTCTCTCTCACTGTCCACTCTGCCTGTCAAAAAAAAAAAAAAATTTAAAAATGCTGTATGGCGTGCAGGAAGGTTACATGCTGGGATTTGGGGACGGAGTGGGAGGCGATGAGGAGCGGTCTGCAGCCCCCCTCCATGGACACGGACGCCTTCACCCAGCACTGGAAACCCACTGCTGTATCAGCCCCGCTGAGCACTGTGGCCGCCGTCCCTGCGTGCACCAGGTGCGGGGCCTGCAGGCACCACAGGGCAGGCTCCCGTGTCACGGAGGCTGAGCAGCCGCCAGGTTTTCAAAAGAGGGGAGTAGCGGGGGCTCGGGCTGGGAGGTGGGGTGGTGGCACAGCTGTCAGTCCAGGCTTGTGACATGCAGTCATTGTGTGTGGGAGCTGGGAGGGACCAGGAGGGAGGAGGGCCCCTGCCCGGGGCCTGTGCTGTGGGGACAGCCGTGCAGGGCCTGATCGGAGCACACAGGAGCTGACAGGGAGACTGGACGGCTGGCTGCATCTCCTGGCAGGGGGAACTGACGCAGGGGAGTGGCCCTGGGGGCCCACCGTCAGGGTTGGACCTACCCGGGCCAGGGGGCGTTACCCAGTTGCCAGCATCTGCATGGGGGTGCAACCTGAGGAGGGCTCAGGGTCTCCTGCCTGACCCTGGAGGGCACTGGCCCTGCCTTCTCGCCAGCCCCGAGAGCCCCAGGCCCACCTGCAGGAGAGCATGAGTGAGCAAGAGAGGGAGGCAGAGGAGGATGAAGGAGAGGGCACCTCGGACACAGCACCCATGCTGCCCCGAAGGCCCCCTGCCCTGAGAGGCCGCGGGGGGCCCAGCCTGGCCATCAGAGGCCTCCGGACCCTGCTGCTGCCCGGCCGCGCCCTGGCTGGGCTCCTGCTGCACCTGCTGTTGCCCGGCACCGTCTTTCTTCTGGCTCTGCTGCCGGCCGCCGCGGTGGTCTACCTGGGGTTCCTGTGCCACTCGAAGGTGAGCCTCAGCTCTGGGTGGGTGTGGGGGGGACTGGGGTCCCGCCAAAGGTCAGGGTCCAGGAGGCTGGAGGCACAGGTGGCTTCCCGGGGAGCCCTTCTTCTGCCAGGCACCCCCACACGGGCTGGGGCCGCAGAGACAGGGCTATTGTCGCTCAGCGCCCGCCCTCCCGGGGCCTCCCAGCCCGGTACCAGGGGCCACCAGGGCGCGCCACGCCTCCCTGGCTCCTCCTGCGGCTGGGCTCTGGCTTGGTCTGGGGCTGGGAGCTCGGGGCAGGCGGCCGCTGCATCCCCTGCTGTGGTCGGGGAGAGGCGACAGGTTGGGGACAGCGGGCAGGGGCTCGGGTCAGCTGCCCACACCGGGAGGGGGAAGCAGCAGAGGCGGGAAGGCCAGGCCCGGCGTGACCGCGCGCCGTCCGCAGGTGCGCCCCGCGCCCGGCGCCCGCTGCCGCGCGCTGCTGTCGGACCGCGGCTCCGCGGCGCTCATCGTCCTCGGTTTCCTCGCGCTGCCGCCGCTGCTGGCGCTCGCCTCGGCCGCCCGCGCCCGCCTGGCCCTGCGCCTCCGCGCGCTGCTGCCGCCCCCGGCGCCGGGCTCCCGCGCCGACGACGGACCGCAGCAGCTGTGCGCCCGGCTGTGACCCCTTCCCGGAGCCCCGCACGCGTCCTGCGACCCCAGGAAGCCGCTGCAGGCCGGGGCCGAGCCGGGTGCATCCGAGGTGCGGGGCGCCAGGTGAGCGTGAGGGCTCACAGGCCCCGCAGCCACCCGGGGTCCCCTCCGTGTGCTGGGACCACGCGGCCTGCGGTTCACAGACTCGGGTCCTTCGTTCTCTCTGGAACGTTCTCAGCCCGCCCCCCAGAGTTGCCTGCAGCGGCCGATTCTCCCCACTCCCCCACCCCTCTCTCCCGCCCGTCTCCCAGTCCGGTGCGGCTCCTGTGGGTGCGCCTGTCGGGGGCCTCGCCCTCTTCAGGGCCTGGCAGGCCGGTGAGCCCACCTGAGCGCCAGTTGCAGCTCTGGCCCCTTCACTTCCGGTCCAGCTCCCTGCCCATGGCCTGGGAAGGCATCCAAGGGTGGCCCAAGTGTCTGGCTCCTGCCCCCGCGTGGGAGACCCGGATGGAGGCCCAGGCTCCTGGCTTCAGCCTGGCCCAGCCCGGGCTCCCGCAGGCATGGGCAGGGTGAACCAGCAGATGGGTGTCTCTGCCTGATGCTCTCTGCCTTTCAGATGAATAAATTCCTAAAAAATTAAATTTGGAAAGTTGTATTTCATTGCTTTTCAGATTTACTCGATCACTTTTGCAGGTCTCTTGGCACCTGCCCGCCTTTTGGGTTCTGAGGGTGCCTTAGAACGCTGTGGGAGACACGGGGAGAGCCAAGCGCCGCTTCCGCGGGTTCTTGGAGTTGTTTTACATTCTGTACCGGATCATTCCAGTGTCCTTGTCCTTGGGCACGGAATCTGTTGCCGGTCGTTTCTGACTGCCACGTGCGCTGCCTCTGCGGGCCGCGGGGACAGTCCTGAGGTCCCTCCTGGGGGACACTTCCCTCGGGGCGTGAGCCCCTTCCCCGGCACCCCGGGAGCCCCCTGCCTTCAGCCCCCGGGGCACAGCGCTCCGGCTCGCCCCTCCCGTGCCAGGCACCTGCTCCGCTTCTCCGCCCAGGTCTCTGCTCAGGGCCTCGTCTGTGGTTTTCATGTTTGATTTGGGGGTGGCTTGGCGATCTTTGTCTTCCTGTAAGCCCAGCAGTGTACTAAATGTGATTATTGTGATTTGCCCAGAACCCAGATGTAGCTGAAAGGCCTCTTAAAGGGTCCCGGAAACCATACTGCCAGCCTGGGTGGACCAGGGTCAGGCCCAGCTGGGTGGACCAGGGTCAGGCCCAGCCTGGGTGGACCAGGGTCAGGCCCAGGCTGGGTGGACCAGGGTCAGGCCCAGCCTGTGGTCTCAAGCAGAGACTGCTGTGGGGCTGCGTAGGGGCCAGCAGGAGTCCTGGGGTTTTCCAACCTCCGTTTGTGTCCAGCTTTGATGCCTTTCCTGGTCAGACAGGAGCCGGGCCGGTAGCCAAGCTGCCAAGGATGGCTTCCCCCGCGCCAGGCTGCCTTCCCTTCCCCTTCCCCCGCGCCTGGGGCTGAGACGGACTCTCCTGGGAGGCCCTTGGCTGAGGAGCTGCCTGGCCCTGAAGTCATCAAAACAACAGCTGGGCTTGCGGGGGGCGGGGTGGGAGGCCCAGCGGCCAGGCAGGGAGTGCTGTCGCCGTCCAGGGCAGCTGCCTGAGGCAGCCCACTTCCGAAAGGTGCTTCCCAGCTTCCGAGTCCTGCCCTGAGGGCCTGTACTGCCTCCCTCCGGCCCCAGGTGTCCCAGGCTGGGCAGTGGGGCGACCAGATCACACAGGACGCGGTGGGCGCTTGTGGGAGGTCCACAGAAGAGCGCAGGGGTCAGTGACTGCTGGGGGGGCAGGAAGAGGGAAGTCAGGGGGAGCAGAGCCCGCACGCCGGGGGCGGCGCTGACCTCCAGAGGGCCAGAGACAGGACGTGGGCCAGCAGACAGGAGGGTCCCGGCCCTTCCTTCCACTCAAGAACCCCAGGGCTCCTAAGTGGGCTTCCTTCCCTGTCACCATCCAGACGGCTCCTGGGAGGGGGGAGGGGAGCTGGAGATGAGAGGCCTGGTGTGTGTATGCACACATGGGTGGGTGTACACGTGTGTGCATGTGTGTCCTCTCACCTGCTCCCCCCTCACACCCACGGGTGGGACTGGGATCAGGGTGCAGGGCCCCTGCCCTCTATGAGAGAGTGTGTGTGCACGTGTGTTTATGCATGCATGTGTACATGTGTGCACACACATGTGTGTTTACGCATAAATGTGTGTGTGCGTGTCCTCTCGCCTGCTCCCCCCTCACACCCATGGGTGGGACTGGCCCAGGTGTTTGCTCACCAGGCATCCGCAGCCCCACCCCCCGCAGAGCAGCCGGAAGGGCCCTGAGCACTTGGCTGCCCCTGCTCCTGGGCCCTACCCCAGCCCAGGCAAGAGGACTGGGGCAGACACCCAGTGGGGGAGGGTGGGCTGTGTCTCTGCTGAAGGGGAGAGCTAGGGCCCCTCCCCTGGGCCCCACCCTGCCCACACACCTGCCCCACCCCCGCCATGCCATGGGCACTGCCCCTCTGCCCATCAGAGTCCCACCCTGCCCCACCCCCACCATGCGCCCTGCCCCTCTGCCCCTCTGCCCATCAGTCCCGCCCTTCCCACACCCCTGCCCCACCCCCGCCATACTCGATGCCCCTCTGCCCATCAGAGTCCCGCCCTGCCCCACCCCTGCCATGCACGCTGCCCCTCTGCCCCTCAGTCCCGCCCTTCCCACACCCCTGCCCCACCCTCGCCATGCCTGCTGCCCCTCTGCCCACAAGGTTCTTCCTTCCAGCAGGCTCCCGGGTTGCACACGGAGCACAGGCAGGCCTGGGTCATTGCTAACACGGCTTCCCTGCCTGCCCCAGCGGTGCCGGGGTGGGGTGGGGGTCTGCCCAGTGCCAGTGTGGTGCCCAGTGTGGGGGCTGGCACAGGGGTGGCTGAAGGCGGATGGGGAGGCTTCCATCCCGTGTCAGGTGGCCCACCTGCCGATGTCTCCCCAGCCACCCCAGCTGTCACTGGCAGGGGCCGGGGTGGGGTTTAGGGGCCAGAGGGCTCCTGGGATGTGAGCTAGGACCCCAGACCTCAAGCCCTGGCACGGCTTCTGTTTTCGTCTAAGCTTCATGTATTTATCTGAAAGGCAGAGAGAGCGAGAGAGAGCGCTTCCCTCTGCTGGTTCACTCCCCGAATGACAGCAACAGCGGCCAGGAGCCAGGAGCCAGGAGCTGCGTCCAGGGTCCAGGTCAGGGGCAGCCGCAGCCAAGGCTCTGACCTGTGCTCAGCACCAGCCCAGGGAATGGGGCACCCTCGGACCCCTGCCCCACCCCCACTGACACTTGGACACCACCACCACCCCGCGGGGCAGGGCTGCAGGGCTGAGCTCACCCCATTCCCGGCCCTCGGCCCTCGTCAGCCACCCCCACTTCCTGTTTGTGACCCTGGGTCCTTGTGTGAGATACAAACAACTTGAGAAACAGGCATGGGTGCGGCCCAGCCCCCTCCCCCAGCTGAGGTCAGGGGTGGGGTCAGAGGCCCCAGGAGCTGCCCTTTTCCCTGGGGTCAAACATGACCACAGCTGGCTGGGGACAAAGGCCCTTTTTCTCCGCAGAAGCCTGGAATGTGTGCAGGAGGGAGTGTTCCCCAGGGCCCGGGGTGGGGGCAGGGCCCAGCAGGGAGCAGTGTCCCTGGGTGTGGGGGCCTCTCACCTGCCAGCAGGGACAGGCAGGGTGGCGAGGCACCGGGATCCCCTGGACCTTGGCCAAGGAGGACTTCAGCCACGTGTGTCCAGAGAGACAGGTCAGGTGGGAGCTGGGCCTGGGAGAGGGGCCGAGGCCCCCCCACCCCGGCCATCTGGCCTGACCGTCCTTGCCCACGCCCACGCCCACTCTGCCCCCAGAGTGGTGGCTTCCGGGCCATTATACTTGTGCTTCCTGTGGCGTCTGCCTCAAGCTGAGCCCTGGCCCAGATCTCGCACTCCTGGCTGACCCCACCAGCCCTGGGACTCCGTCAGTCTCCGCCCGCCCTCCCGGTGTGGGGATGAGAGACCTGTGCCGCTGGAGCCGGGGCTGGGGGATGGGCTGCGTGGGGGAGGGAGCAGAGGGGAAGGGCGGGGGTCCCACAGGGGGCCACAGAGCTCAGCAGAGTGGGGCAGGTGCCGGCTCGGCCAGGGCTGGCTGGAGGCTGAGCCTACTCCCACCGCCGCCCGAGGCGGAGGGCGGCTGCGGCTGCTGCGGCTGCTTCCTCGAGGGCTTGCGTCACGGACGAGAAGACCCACTCACTTTTTCCAGGAGGGACGGAGGACGGAAACTCCCTCAGCCCCGCGGGCCCCATGATGGGCAGGGGTACCCGCACTGCCTGCCAGCGGCGGCATGGGGCGGGGGGGGGGGGTGTCCCCGGCCCTGCCCCCTGCTCAGGGAGGATGACCGGCACACCTGGGCGAGTTGCCCCTGCCTGCGGCCAACTTGTCCACGGCCCCTCACTCCCCAATGGCACAGCGGCCTTGGCATGCGGGGGAGGGGGCTGGGAGCCAGGTGAGGCCCCCTGGGGTCCACGCCCGTCTCTCCCCCTGCAGCACCCAGGAGGAAGCACCAGGCAGTTTCTGGTCCCAGCCAGCAAGGCCTGAGGTCTGTGGCGAGCAGCCAGCACCAGGCTGCCAAGATTCCCGGCAAAGGGGGTGGGGACGGCGGGGACACAGCCTGGCCTGTTCCTGCGCGGCTCCTCCAGCCTTTTTTAGGCAAAGTCTCGCTCCTGCCTTCCCAGGCCCCGTCTCACCTGCCAGAATAGGAGGAAGGAAACCCACGGAGACCCATCCGCCTCCCCCCGGAACACCCCCGCGGAGAGGACGTCCCGGGCACGCCCCCCGCCCAGGCCGAGGGAGGAGGGGCTCCGCGAGGGCAGGGACCCTGCGTCCCTCAGCCAAGACCCCAGGGCCCAGCTCCCCGCTCACGGGGGTCTCCCTCCGCTTGGGCCCCTCACTGCGGGCGCGGCACGGTGCCAGAGCCGGCCCAGCGGTCACACTGGACAGGGCAAGCATCTCCCGTGGCCGTGGCTTTCCCGCTAACAGCCCAGAGGAGGCTGCGGCGTCGCCTTCGCGAAGACCCTAGCAACCCCTGCTGGCCAGTCCCTGGGGACGCGTGTCCCGGCCCTCCCCCTCCCCTGAACCCACCCCGCCAAGGTGAGGCAGGGCCGGCGCTCGGGGGGCGTGGTCCTTGGTGCCACCCTCGTCGCACCCTCGGGGGTGCTCTCGGGCTGGGGGTCACTGGCGACGGTGGGCGGCCCGCCCAGGCACGCAGCGGCGTCGCCCGCGCGGCCGAGCGCGCGCCTGGCGGGGCGGGGCCTCCGGGGGCGGGGCTGCAGGCGGGGCGGGGCCTCCGGGGGCGGGGCCGGCCCGGCGCGCGGCCGCACGTCCCGCAGCCCGGGAGTGAGCGAGCGGCGAGCGGCCGAGCGCGCCTTGGCCGTCGCGCGCGATGCTGCCCTGGACGGCGCTGGGCCTGGCCCTGAGCCTGCGGCTGGCGCTGGCGCGCAGCGGCGCGGAGCGCGGTGAGTGCGCGGGCGGCACCGCGCGGCGCCGTCGCCGCCTCCCCGCGGGCGCGGGCGCGGGCGCTGCGGGAGCCGGGCGGGGACGCCAGCGGGCA